CAGAGTCAAAGCGGTCGCCGTGACCGTAAACGACCAGGACTCATCATCAGTATCATGAATTTTGTAATGATTGAACATGTTTTTCGAGGAACAAAATCTTAATAATTCTAATTCTAAATACATCCTCCCTGATATTATATTTTTAATTTTGTGTCAAAATAAAAAAAAAACACTGTACTGTATACACTGTACACTGTATTTTTGTTATTACTAGTATTTATGGCTTAGATTATGCAGTATAGTAAGTTATACTAAGTCTATGATTTATGGCGTATGCGTAAAAGAGGTAGTTCCACGTGATCTTTTTTAATAGATGATAATAAAATGGTAACCCCACCCGCGCTATCGGTATACACTGGCGGGGCACTAGTGAAGGATGATAGCTGAGGATGAAGTAGGTCAGTAAGTCCATCGCGACGAAAGCAACAAAAATGTTTCACGATGGTTTCCAGGGGGGACCACGTGGAGGTCGACCTAATAACGCATATTACTAGCAATGGGTCTGTCAAACTCCATTGCTAACAATTGGTGATGGAGTATAGACAAATAGGTACAATGAGTCCATAGGTATACACCTTATTGGTATTGGCACATAATTTCCTAGAAATGTAACACCAAACACATTCTTTTCAACCGATTTGAAAAAAGAATGAGGTTCACAATTTCGTTGTATTTTTTTAATGTTAGTTACTCCATAACTACGTCACTTATAAAGTGTGTAATGGTCCCCCCTACAGAATTTTTTTGAAAAAAAAGAGAAAGGTCATCAACCTTTTTATAACTCTAAACACATATATATAATTAGATCATTATAGTGAACACTCGATCATTTGGCCAAATTAATAAATGTGTGATCGTCTAGTAATGTAGGACCCGTTGTGTATGTAATAACTAAGAGGTTCTTAAATTGGTATATGACAGGAGTTAAATAATGAAGATGATTGATAAATCTTTAAGGATTAAGGGTATTTAATGAGTTATACTCATTTTCATGAAACTAGAAGTTATGTTAATTTAATATTGAATTACAAAATAATTGTAAAATATAAATAGGGGAGTGGTCGAGCTCCCCACACGCCCAGATCAGTGGAAGACTTTCCAACTATCTATAACTCTTCCTCCTGAGAAGACAGGGGTATTGGAGATGCATAATGCACTGGGTAAGGTAGGGAAGTAAAGAGTATTCTCAGTTCCAAACCAAAACAAAAGTACATTAGTACATCAACATTACAATAGCTCCACCAGCCCCACAATGCTTCCAGTAGAAAAGTAGTTGTTTTGCCAAAGGCAAAGAATCGAAACTGAAGTCCCAGGATTACTCAGACACGAGAGTTTTCTCTGGATGCAACCCCTTTCGGTCCTATAAGGTGACATTAAGAGATTAACCCGTAGATAGAGCACGTAGTCGAAACTGAAGTCCCAGCATCACTCAGTCACGAGCTTACTTATGGGGGTTTCCCTTCGGCTCAAATGTGACAATAGAGATCAAACTGTGGAGACAGCCCGAGATGTGACTGAAATCACGAGATCACTCCGACACCAGAACTTACTTATGGGAGAGGCTCTGTTTCGGCTCTATAATGTGACATTAGAGATCAACCCGTGGAGACAGCCCGATTAATATGTAGAACAGTGTGATTTACCTTCCACACCGTAAGATTGGCAAAACCAATATAATGTTGATAGCTGCTATATGTAAACATAGCATATTTAATTTTGTATAATTTACTTAATACCAAGAATACTCAAGGATTAAGATAGGTTTTGTGAATGTTGAGTAGGCCGGAGCCAAGTATGAGTAGATCAACCCGTAGGAAGAGAGCTACTAAGAGAGTTTGTCGAATAGGCCGTAGCCAGGTATGAGTAGGTCAACCCGTAGGAAGAGAGCTACTAAGAATGTTTGTTGAATAGGCCGTAGCCAGGTATGAGTAGGTCAACCCGTAGGAAGAGAGCTACTAAGAGAGTTTGTTGTATAGGCCGTAGCCAGGTATGAGTAGATCAACCCGTAGGAAGAGAGCTACTAAGGGTGTTAAGTAGGCCGGAGCCAAATTTTAATAAGAATGTATTTGTATTGCATTTGTATTTAATGTAGTATTTAAATAAATATTACGCTAAAGATGGCTAAGTTAATAGTATACCTTAATAATGTTTAAAGTCAGTCTATTCAGATAATGATATTTTAAATAAACTAATCTACCTAGTAGTCAAGTAATAAATGAATACCACACAACTATAATAACTATTTAGAAACGATTAAATTACTATTTAAGATGCAGTGGTTAGATAAATTTATATGCTAAAATTTGCTTAGAATTCAGCTTATTTGGATAATGAACTAAAGGTGTCTAAGTAAAGAGATGTCAAGTCTACCTAATAATAAACGCATAAATATAATAACCAAATAGAAAATATATGAAATCACGAGTTTAACAATGTAAACTCAGTATTTAGATGAATGATTCGTTTTCTGTAAACATTAAAATTTTAAATTTCTTGCAAGTTCAACACTTCTTTGCAAGATGGCGTTGGATGTATTTTTACACATATGACGAATCGTTACACACTGAGGTGGCAAACAAGCATACGGCTCACCCGATCGTAAGTGGTTTCTGTAGCCATTTTAATCATCGATTTAACAATGCATCAAGATCAAACAATATAAATTAATATTAAATGGACGCTCATTCAGTATTAATTTTGTTAGATCGTGTACTAGCCTTATACTTACTTCGGTAAACATTAAAATATTAATTTATTATTTAAATTTCTTGCAAGTTCAACACTTCTCCGCAAGATGGCGTTAAATGTGTTTTCACACATATGGCGAACCGTTAGTGCTAGAGAACAGTGCTAGAGAAGTTAAATCTATATACATAAATAAAAAATAATCCGAATGTATGTAAGCACATCACTTCAGAACGCCTGCACATATTTGACTAATTAATTCTTTTTTGTTGTGTCAAATTTGTCAAAATAAGGATTGTATGAAAAAAATTGCATGAAAAATCACACAGAACGGTAAAAAAATTTCTCGTTAGTACACTCATGTGAAGCCGGAGTGGGCAACTAGTTAAAAATAAAATTCTGGTTTAATCAATATATAGTTAGTATATTAGCTATCCTTTTCCTATAGGGATAAACCAGTGTCCAGCATTGGGACGTTAGTAGAATGTTTTATATGTGCACACTAAGGTTATAATCATAGATAAAATTACAATTAAGTATATTAGAAAAAAAAAATCTGGTAATCTAAATAAAAAATAATGGCCTGATTCATATATTATATTCTAAAAATTAATATTCGAAAATCAAACTTGAGCAATTGCTCAAGTTCGAATTCCAAATATTAATTTTTACTTTGAATTTTTAAAATGTTTTGAATTTTATTATCAGCAAAAACTGTTACCATCCAAAATGTGACTATAAAACCAATAATACTGTCATAACGTGATGAATAAATGAACTGCAACTGCATAATAGACAGAGCACTGAGAAGCAATAAACGAAATAGGCACCAATAGAGCTCAACAAGAAAATTGCTGGAAATAATATTCATAACGACGAATATCCGCCGCGAATAGACGAGCTTAAAATCTGCGGGTATCAAAAAACGTCCATTTTATATAGACACGCACGTCAGTGATTTGTGTGCACGTGGCGAGGTCATGAACATTGGTTACGACCCGTATAGCTCCACTTAACCCAATAAAAGTCCCCTTGCATGGCATTAAATTTAATAGACTATGAAAAGAACTACACGCGCGCAAACGACTCTTCCTGTCGCGGACGGAAGACGCCGATTGGCGCAATTGTAGGGGCATTCACCAATCAGCGTTCAGTTAAGTTAGCAATGGCGGCTATACGTTTGAACAGCGAGTGTTGCCAGTTTAACAATATTGTAGGTAGATATATCGAATTTTTTATGGGTTTTACTATAAATTGACCAAGTAGCTCAGTTAATTATTTTTATCTAGATACTTGCCTATTATATAGTTAGCAATGGCAGGCAACCGTTTTAGTTCCGTATGTTGGTATTTTAGTAATGTATTGTAATTTAGAATGGTAAATTAATACAGCCACTTTGGATGAGTTTTTTTAAGTGGTTTAATATAGAAGTGATCTCTCCTATGATATCGGTTTAAAAGTGTAGCTATCAAATAATAATTTTTATTTGTGTCACTTATAATTTTAGAACTAGGTACAATTTTTTTTTTGTAAAAGTAATAACTTTATTTAAGAAAAGATTACTTTCATAAATTCAAAGTATTTTAAAAATAATAAACAATATGTACATAAATAACAAGGACAAAAAAAAATAATTAATATTAATATAAGTAATTCGCCGTAACTTCAGTTAACAAGGAAATATTTAAAAAATCAAAATTGTATAGAAATAATGCAATTGTAATATTTATTGTAAATATAACATCAAAATTGGTCTCATAATAATTAACGATATATTACTTAAATTCATTTACTACTTAATGAATAATAAATTGTAATAGTTTTTGTTAATATTTTATTCTATAACAAAAATTAATAACATGCTATTCACTGAAGTAAATAGTTCTCAAATCTCATTTTTTTATGAAATATTTAATCTGAATGAATGAAATATTGTATACGAACTACCGTAATTTTTTCTCGGTAATTTATTTTAAACATGTACAATTCTTGATAAGCTATCAAGCATTTTAGTTCAATGAGATGTCCTTTTGGTATTTTAGTTTTAAGTGTCTGATGAATTTCATTTATTGTTTATATTAATATATTTCGTATTTATTTGCGATTTAATAAATATAGATTCAATTAGCTTTTCTAAATAAAGTTAATATCAACATATCCCATTTGCCTTTCCTTGTTAATGATGTAATAATATGGAATTGAACATAATAATTTTATTGAAACATCTTGAAATCTTTTATTTCGGAACTCTACAAAACTTATAAGCAACCTGATGTATTTTAATATTTATTTAATACAGAATAAATAAAAAATCATTTTATAACAAATCAATATATTATTATTATAACATTTGATTAATATACAAAAATAATTAAACCCTAATACAATTGCACTTATTATAAAATATTTTTTAATATTTTAACCCTGACTTTACAAAATGGCTTTTCAATGTCGTGCATATATTTAACTGCACACTTAGTTTTTACAAATAACGTAATATTTGGTTCATTATTTGGCAAATGAAATAGATTTAATATGCAATATATTTACATACTTAATATAATTAATAAAACTTCTATTTAAACAGTGGAGGCTTAATAATTTGTATGGAAACATAAACTTCCAGCACACTTAATTCTTATGAGAACACGTATGGGAAAGAATAAAATGCCGATTCTGATATCTTCTTCTAATTCATGTACACGGTAGTGATACCGTATCTATCAATAAATTCGTTTGTTGTCTAGAGGGTAAGTTAGTCTGGTCCCAATTAAAAAATCATTAATCAAATAACGTATAATAAGTAATCCCAGTCTGTCAGACTGCATATAGCCTGTTCTGACAAAGCTATTTAGGCTAGCGTCACATTTAATTATACATTCGGCAATCGAGAGATTGGCAACTAAACGCAGCAGCCACTTTTAACATATCTTCAGACGTATGAAAACTTGCCAACGCATACGCGGTCTGCGTTGTTATGAGATGTTATATCACTTAAGTATCCAATGCAGTGTTGCCAATTTTTCGTTGACTGGAAATCGGTGAGCGCCAAAGTTCCGCGGTATTACGTCGACATAATGACGGATTTCCATGTAGTATGATCGAGAGTAGTAATTGTATTCATTTTGGTGTTTCGTTACGAACGATCTGCTGTCAAATGTGGTGCTAGCCTTACTCGAGCACCAATTAAAACTTCTCCAATCTAGTTTCCAGAACTCCAATATTCTGTATCTCGCTGCGGATAACGTCACCGGGCTTCAGATACTCCGGGGGGCTCCGGTACATGCCGACGCCGCCTGGAGTGCCCGTTAGAATTATGTCCCCAGGGAGGAGGGTCATCACCCTGGAAAATCAGGTATTCAATCATTATTATTGTTACACACATAATTGTTTATTGTCTATTATGTATGATTACAAAATATATTCTGTGAATGAAATAACAACAGGCAAATAATTATTCTATAAGAAAAAGAAAAATTACTTGTTTACTACCCACACGAAATTATAAATAATCTAGCATAGTACAAATTAATATGGGAACAGAGTTTGTTCGTTAACTTAGTTTATTCACTAACTGTATTATTTAGGACGGACCATAAGCTTTTTTTTATTCTAGTCCATCAATTACTCTGGTCACATGGTTGAAATTGCAGGTAAAAATTAGTATTAATATATATTCATCCCAGTGGATAATTAAGGAGCGAAATATTTCCAATGCACCCATTCACCCCGTCTACTGCTAAACATAAGTCTTTCATATGGTTTACCAAAGTTGAAATCCCACTGTACATGAATATACTTTGTATAACCCATCGATGTAAATACATGTATTAGTCCGATGTAAATATAATACTTAACGAGAAACTGCTATTAAATTTGACAAATTGTGCAAAGTAAAAATCTATTCTGATTCGTGTAAGGTACATCTCTAATATTCCTGATCATTTGCTGGCTTCTTACAATGTATGTAGTAGTAGCAATAAAAAATAATACGTCATGCAGTGCTCCTCACTTATAGAAAATCCATTCTCTTACGCTAAAACTGAATGGTCGCGCGCATTTCTATTTTAGAGGAATTTTCTCCCGCAAGCGTTCAAGCTGTGAGAAACATTGCCTGTTGAAATTTTCCCTAGACACTACAATATGAGATTCTTCAAAAAGTGACCGTTTACCACCAGACGAGCTGTACGCTAGTTTGCCGCATTGTGGTATAAAAAAGGCTTATCAAATATAGAACACTTACGATGTCAGTCGTTCAATGACATCGGGTATTTTGTGTATGAGCTGATTGGTGTTGCTGGTCTGTTTCAGGACACCGTTGACGCTGCACTTGATGTCCAGGGTCTGAGGATCGCCGACTTCGTCGCTGGTCACGATGTAAGGCCCAATGGGACAGAAGGTGTCCATCGACTGTGAGAGACAGTAAAATATATAGAGAAATACTGGTATATATACACAGGGTGAAATCGAACTCATTAGGAAACTTTCACAGGAGTGTACTTTCTACCAGTAAAAGCGAATTAAAAGAACATGGGTCGATAAAAGAAAATAAAAGTGAAACTTCGGCGCGACGTGTACTGCCGTCAAAGTAGTTGTATACGTTATAATTTTATTGTCATATTTTAATTTTTAATTTCCGCAATTTTTATCCTAAAATATTTTACAACATGGTTAGACTCAATGCCGTCCTTAAGGGAGCGAGAGCAGCTAGGCAGTGCTAGAGAGCACTGTGATCTAAGATCTATTCTAAACAGCACGCACGACATTTTTCTTCGTCGTGCTCAGGCATATCTTAATAAAAGCTCGTCATCAGGGGAAGAGAGGAATTATAAACTTGCCCCGAGCCGGCAGACAGGTTAAGGCCGACCCTAGGTAGATTCTTAGAACGTACAGTTACATACAGTTAACGACTTCGTTTACACTCAGTATCTAATCATAAATTAACGTTTATGAGAACATACATTTTTAAGTGAAGTAAATAAACACAAAAAATCATGTTGATAATGTCTTATATTACCTTCATCATCATATCAGCCTTTAACTTTCCCTAGGAGTGGGAGGAGGAGAGGTTGGGTTGCCAAGCTTGGCAGAAGAATTGGCAACCGCAGTCAGGCTTTAGAAGTGTTCTAAGAGAGATGCTGCTGCCCATCCCTCGGCTCCCTTTAGTCGCCTCCTATGACACCCACGGGAAAGGAATGGGTGGCCTATTCTATGTCGGGACCACACAGCTACATATATTACCTTGCCAAGTAAGAACTGACCGCCGTTCTTCTCTTTTTGCCAGTCTCTAGCGCTGATGTCCTGCGCCACCGTGTAACCCAGTACATAGTTGTAAGCGTCGGCCGCTTTCACGAAGCTCGCCTTCTTACCGATCACAACAGTCAGTTCTACTTCCCAATCCACTTTCTGAAAAAAAAAAAATTATGACAACAACTTTATGTAATGAAGAAGTAGACAACATAATACAGATTTTTCTCGAATTAATTTAGTTTCTTAATTTAAAGTTCATTGAAAATTGGTCTGAGATTTTCATGTAATTCAAATTACATGAAACTCTCAGAAAAAGAAATCGATTGCTTACAAATAATTATTTTTCACAATGCTACAATCATATTCGATAAGTTGAGGGAAATTTCTGTTAAAGATCTGGGGTAGTAATTCAATCCATTATTAATCGATCCCAAAATTATTTGGTTGAAAAGTAGCATTATTATGTATCTCAGTTTCAATCAAGTTTTGTTATCAAAACACGATATGATAACTCCTATCTCAAGTGTCTTATTATATCTTACTTTTTATCTTATTGATCTAGCGACTTCACACACCGCTTAAGCTTCTGATGGTCATAAATTCGATCTTCTTACAAACAAATATTTGTATTTATGTCTGTTTGCATTAATCTAGCTATTTTAAGCATAATGTAAACTAAAGCCCTCAGTACTAACAATCCTTTCCCTTCCATTAATAAAGATTGAGAACTATACAAATGAGTGGATTGCTACTTGACGAATGTACCTAATTGAAGACAGTTCTCCTGCACATTAAGCTGATGGGGTCAGAATGTTGCGTGAATCACAGAGGTCTGCTCTGACCTCAGCGACACAAATTGGGGTCAATTATTGAAACAAATTGATCGCAATTCATATCGTGCCGCGTAGGTGGCTACACGATATAGGACAGTTTACATCATCAGGACACATTAGTGATAATCTAGTTTTATCTGCAGATTTATAAATTTATTTATCATGAAAAGGTATTTACCTTCTAAGTTCTGTTGAAATTCTCACAGAAACAGACAGAAAATCTCAAAATGAAATTAGTAACAAATCGAAACATTAAATCTATTTATTGGTATTAGACATAAGGGGGTTTACAATAAAATGTTTTTCCGAAATTTCGGGTCCGAACGAAACACAAATTTGATGTTAAAATTATATGATACATACTGTTTAAAATGTTAAAAATGCTAAAATATTGTTCCTTTGGATTTTTTGGTAGGATTTACATGACGAATGACATGTACCATTTACTGGGTCTATTTCGTTATGAACAAAAACACAAAATTGAGTTCGAAAATTCGGATTTTATATCATGGTAGACCTCCAGAAATCTTATGGTCGAGTCCGTTATTAGTTTCTTTAAATTTTCAATATATAGGTACTATTACATAGACTATACAAGGTGGGACTGCGACTTCCTGTGAGTCTTATGGTTCGAAGTAAAGTAAGTTGTTTATAGAAGATGAGAAGTCGACGGATCGAGTGCGTTCCCAGTTACACAAAGACGAAATATCTAGTATTAGGTGGTAAATTTTTCAACCTCTTTCGGTCGTAAGTATAAGGTAGGTGCTGTCTACCATGTTGATAAATTATTAACGTGTGATAACATTTTTCAAATTAGTATATTTTAAATAAATAACCTTTTAGAGTGTGACATTTCTTTCTATACTAATAAAATTGCAAAGATTAAAAATCCCACCAGAGGGAGACTTTGTACAAAAGTCTGGTGGGCTATGGCGTGAATTTATTGGGTACAGAGGAATAACATCGGAGTCCTCAGGAATGGCAACGCATGGGGGGTATCATGGGCGAAACAGTATACTCGTGTTATGTCCATGGTACTGCTCATGTCTATAGGCGACGGTTACCACTTTCCATCAGGTGGACCGTCAGCTTGTTTGCCATTTTAAGTTGTATAAAAAAAAAATATGAATTTTACTGTATTACTGTAAGCCATACATTAAGCCATGGGAGATCACAAGAAACACTGTAAGTATTGGTTATATTAATGTATAATTTTAATCCAACCTGTATATCACAGAGAGATAAATAAATAAAAGTTTTAAAGCCTTACCTTAGTGACTTCTGTCCTCAGTCTTACTGCATCATTGGGTCCAACAATAACACTAGGGAACTTATTAAATATCATAGGCACAGCCGGTGGAGTGAGGTTCTGTTCTACGCAATGATCTTTGTAGTTCAGTCCAATGCATAGTACTTTATCTATACCGTGAATTGGAGCAGCCAAGGTCACCGCTGAGAGTGGCACCGATGGTGGTTTTGTTGATTTTAATCTGGAACAATTAATAACATTTAAACATTAACAAACAATAGATAATAATATTTATACAAAGCAAGCCGTGTAGGTCCCGGCACAGAATGGACTATCCCTCCCTTTCCCGTGAGTGTTAAAGGAGGCCATTAAGGGAATTTAATGGTAGAGAAATGGCCAGCAGCTTCTCTCGTAAAACATCACTAAAAGCCTAACTGCAATTATCAACCCGTCTGCCAAGCGTGGCAACTACTGGCAAAACTGCACTTTTAGGAAGACTTTTGTTCAGCAGTAGAAAGTAGAGGACTGATATGATAATGAAATAACAGTAAGTATAAAGTAACAGTAAGCTAATAAGAAAAAAATTGGACTGTAGTTTTTGTTCAGCAAAGAAAACTATCCGTCAAGAGTTGAAGTTGACTTTTCACAACTTGGTGATCTAGCAGCTTAAGACACTTTTTCCTTCCATGGACGCAGGTTCAATTTCTTTATAGGTTTTTTTTTTTATACAACTTAGAATGGTAAACAAGCTGACGGCCCACCTGATGGAAAGTGGTAACCGTCGCCTATAGACATGAGTAGTACTATGGACATAACAAAGTATGTCTGCAAAATTGTGCTATGTCTGCAATATTAAATTGGTTTACATGTAATAACCTATTATTAAATTCCAGCAAAACAAAGTGTATAAAATTTACACTTCCTAATGTAAGACTAATAAATACACAGTTATTGCTTAATGACGAAATAGTAAATTTTGTTAATGATACAGTTTTTTTAGGTATAACAGTGGACTCGAAATTACAATGGGGGCCCCATATTTCAAAATTGGCCAGTAGACTCAGTTCTGCTGCATATGCAATTAGAAGAATTAGGCAATTAACAGACGTGGCGACGGCTAAACTTGTATATTTTAGTTATTTCCATAGCATAATGTCTTATGGCATACTGCTGTGGGGTAAAGCAGCCGATATAAATACTATATTTGTTTTACAAAAGAGAGCCATACGTTCTATTTATGGTATGGGTTCGAGAGAGTCATTACGTCAGTGCTTTAAAGACTCAAATATCCTCACAGTTACTTCACAATACATTTTTGAAAATATTATGTATACACGGAAGAACTTAGCGAGTTTTAAAAAACTCAAAGACTGTACAAGTAGAAACTTACGCAATATAAATAAGCTTATTTTACCTAAATGCCGTCTGCACAAAATCAGTAATTCATTCTATGGTAATTGCATAAGATTTTATAATAAACTGCCGGAATCTGCATTAAATCTGACAGAGAGGCAATTCAAATCTTATATTAAACAATTTTTATGTAAGAAAGCCTATTACAGGATAGACGAATTCATAGATGACAACATATCAAGTAAATAATTAGTTTATTAGCATACAACGTTATAATTTTATTTTCTCATTGCTTTCTTGATTTAATTGATTAATTTTAGAAATATGAAAGCGTAGCGGTTTTTTGTATTAATTGCCGCATGCATTCTTATGTAAAATGTGAATACTATAACTATCAGATGGCAATTGTGAGTAGCTTTGACGTGGTCTAGTGTTTTGAGTAGTCATGCTCACTAAAATGTCCAGACTTGTGGCGGCGTGGTGGGCCGGGTCATTGGGCTCCCTAAAATATGGTCGAGCGCAGTGATGGCTGGCTCATCCGTCATACTCGTGAACGGGTGCTGCTTGTAGGGACTGGTCTGCTCTAATCACTATGACTGATTTCCTCTTATTAATTGTTTAACCAGTTGGTTATGTATTCAATTTTTTTTTTTCTTTTTGAGTATTTAATTGAATTAGTGCTAATTGGTGGTTTGTATTCACACAATTAAACTTAAAAATGTAAAATAATAATAAAATTATTTAAAAGAGCATCACGCAAGTTTCTTGCTCGTTCTTCTTGTGATGAGACAGCTTTCCGAACGAGCGGTAAATTAAAAAAAATGTAATGACTTTTCAAAAGTGCTTCAATGTAAGTTTATTTGAATAAATGATTTCTATTCTATTCTATTCTATACTGTTTCGCCCATAATACTCTCCATGCGTTGCCATTCCTGAGGACTCAGGTGTTATTCCTCTGTACACTGTAAATTCACGCCATATCCCATCCTTCAAACCGAAACACAGCCATGCAAACACAACTGCTTCACGGTAGAAACACGAATGGGACAGAGGTACCGAAGCAATCGACTTTTGTACAAAGTCTCCCTCTGGTTTGTTTGTTTGTAATTCTTTTATGTATTTTATACGTATAATATTTTAATACAACTATGTCTATAAGTTATCTACTATCTATATTTCAAGCTCTGCTTAGTTTGACACTAGTTGGCGTTGTGAAAGATGTTCTGTGGATATCGCTGTTATCTTGTGGTAATACTTATTTAATTGCCACAAAATCTTGAATTATAAACTATTGATCCGATTTTGATAAAATTTCTATGGGTTTCAATGGTAAATATATACACAAAAAAAAAAAAAAACTTAAATCGGTTTATAACTGACGGAGTTACGAAATAACAAATATTAACAAAAATACAATCCAATTGAGAATATTGTTTTTTTATAATTGAAAAAAAAAAACTGAAAGGAACTGATCTGAAAGAACAATTTATTTTCTTTTTTTTATATGGGGTGAAAATGGAATGGTAAACTCGCTTGTACTATCGGGATATGCTGGCGGAGAACCAATGAATGATGATAGGTGAGAATGAAGTCAGATCAGTTGGTCCATGACCAATGACGACGAAATCTCTAAAACTAGAAACACGAATGGGACAGAGGTACCCAAGCAATCGACTTTTGTACAAAGTCTCCCTCTGGTAATTGTGGCCTATAGGCATGAAAAGCATCACAGTTATATCTGTGATGCTCATAGTACCACTCATACCATTCTTGAGGACTAAACTGTTGTAAGACGAACAATATATTGCAAGTTGTAGGTATTTGTGTATCACATATGAATTTATATTATACATATAAAAAATATTGATAACAATAAGTAGATAGGTACACATTATAACCAGGCGATATTTAATACTATTAAAATTATTATTATAATTAAAGATAAAAGAATTAACTAACATTAAAAGTATGTACTAAATAATTACATAGGTAATATAAAAATAAATAAATGGATAAAGATCAAATTGGTAATATCTTAATTATTTTTTTAAATGGATGATAATGGAATGGTAACTCCGCTTTTGCTAACGGTTTACAATGGCGGGACACCAGTGAAGGATGACAGGTGAGGGTGATAAGACAGGTTACTTTGCCCATGGTGATAAATCCACTCAGAATTAAGCATGATGGTTTCCAGGAGGGAACCACGAGGAGGTCGATCTAACAGGTGTATTGCTAGCAATAGCATTGTTAGTAATGAGGATTAGTATTTCCATTACTAACAATCCCTTCTCCCCCAATATCCTAGTTATGTGAATATTTTCATAGATTTTTTTGGGTTTCGAAGATGTATAACCATATGCAGCTAGTAAGCAAAGCAGAACAAGACAAGACATAGCATGGTAAAGTGGTGAGTTAGGTTCATCTAACTCATGTTCATGGATTGTACACCAAATGCATCTTCTGCAGGCTAACTACCTCTGGTCTAATCATTTATGTATTTAAGATTATTTTTAATGGAAGTCTGCAGCCTTAAAAAAGGCACATATATACTTTCACACATTTCTGACATTTTTCAGACAATTCTGGGGTGGGCATGGTATATGGCACAAACCCATCTTGCAAAAAAAATACTTCATATGTAAAAGTAAAAACAATATTTTAGGTCCTCGACTATAATGCTTGGGTAAAGTAATTCAGTATTATGAATTGTATAACTATATTTTCTTTTGAAATATCTATTCTTATTATTAAGTCTGTATAAATAAAAACTAGTTTTTATCAGTATTCTCAGATAGGAATGATAACAATATCACACTAATGATTTACTTGTATAATTTTTCTTTAAAAACAGTAAAGTAAAATATAAAAAATCTATTATATAATATTGGTAATGCCATGTAATGACCTGAAAATTACTGTAGGTCCCCCCCCCCCTTTGGTTATGAATGGCAGTTGATAGAAAGCAGTGGAAGGCTTTGGAGGAGGCCTATGTCGAAAGACATGCCAAACATAGGAATGTATTGTAAATAGTTTAATATCAATCTTTAAGAAAAAATGTACAGAGTAGTTTGGAAATAAAGACTTTGAAAAAAGATACAGCGAGTCAGCAATTAGAACAACTTCTTTGCAATTGTAGGCTTTTCTCTAAAAGAGACCTCTTCCAGCCAACCCAATGCAGTGAGAGAAAATAATTAGCGGGATATCTAGTGCAGAAAAGGTACATGGAAAAGATAAATACAATACAAATAAAATAAACATACACAAATTAATAATAAATTAATAAATATATATATTTCCCTAATGGTTAGCTAATAGACAATGCCATATGGCATTAAGTTCATTACTTGTAAAAAGTTTTAAAAAACATAGTAAATAATAATTATTAATATAGTAGACACAATACACAGTATTAAGTATTATTATGTATCATTAGTTAAAAGGTGAAACTTCAACCTTTTCTTGAATGAAGTAATGGAATAACTCTCCTGTATGTTAGAAGGAAGTCTGTGGAATGAGTAGGAATTCCCAAAAAAATGGGTCTTACAAGTAGGGAGTTCTAATACTTTTGACTGGACCAGGCAAGCACATCTGGGACGTGAGAGAGGGGGGCAGGATTCAAAATTGGGAGCGGAGGTAACATGGAGAGTTGGGATTATTAAGTACATTATAAAGAGTAGAGAGGATGTGCATATCATGTTGAAGTCAGATCGGAAGCCATTTTAACCCAAGCATGAAAAGCAGAGACATGATCATACCTACTCAGATCAAAGACAAATCTGATACCTAAATTTTGAAGGTGCCCAAGTTTGTTCAAATATTATTATATAGTGCCAGGTAAACTAATAAATAGTATGTTAATTTGTGTTATGATCCATCTCTGTGCAGAATTTCATTTAAATAAAACTTTGTATTATAATTACAAAAAGCTTTGATTATTAAAACCAAGCTTCATATAAAAAAAGGCAGAAAATAACCAAAGATAAAATAAAATATAATTAAAAACATTATTTTACTAATATTATAAATATGAAAGTTCATAAAGAATTTTAGACGTTTGTATGTTTGGTCATGATTAAATGGCTAAAAGGATTTTATTTAAATTTAGTTAACAGCTAGATTATATCCCAACTTAACAAACAGGATATTTTATATATAAATTTATAAGGAGAAAGCCATGGGAAACAGCTAGTATTACATATTACTAAATATATTAGACCATTCAGTCAGTGGATACCTTTTGTGGATGCCAATTAATAATTTACAAGATAATATTTAATTTATAAAAAACTGTGAAATAGTGTCTTGCAAGTTATAGATAAAAAAAAGTAATTATTTAATTTTTATACTAACTTTTGAACTTTCTCTACATCTCCATTTTTCAGGATTCCCAGCAAAGTTGTAGGGATTGATGAATCCACTTTATTGAGGTCTACAACATTGTTTCCTTCAATATAACCAACGCGTACTTCTTCCGGTTGATTTTTATAAGTAAACTGCACAAATTTCATTTTTCTGTTATTTGTTACAGAGAAATAACGTACTGCTGTCGATTTCAATCCAGTGCCCACTGATTCTTTAGTCAAACAAATTATTTTTCGAGTTATCACGCGCCCAAATTGAAGAGCACTCATTTTCAAGGTAATATCGGTGATAAACGTCACGAATATTGATGAAATCTCGTAAACAATTCATTCAAAGCTTATATAACAGGGGGCAACGACTATACGACTACTGCTAGGCAATAAGATGCTTTAAGACCAAACCAAAAAGAACATTCAATACTTGGAAATTTTATGATAAGTTTACTGGATTTAATTTAATCTTAAAACAAGAGGTGCTTTAATATGTTTGATTTTAAACAAACAGTCCGTAAATCTTTCTAAGCACATTAAAATTATAATTTTGTTTCTGGTACCGGTTGTTTACTTTAAGCAGGTATTGTGACATTTTAAACCAGGATTGCCAGATGTGAATTTTGATTTCCACCCAAACTTCAAATGTTTTCCTCCAAATCGATACGATTTTTACCCTATCACACATTGTATTGTATCATTTTACCTAAGCAATTTATTATGTGATTAATCCCAATATCTTTGGATGGGGGAAAGGAATTGTGAGCAATGAGGTTTTACAGCTCTATTGCTAGTAATATATCCTATCAGGTCGACCTCCACGTAGTTCCCTCTGGAAATCATCGTGAATAATAATAAAATGGTAACTAGTCGCGAATAATTCAACAAGAATTCGTCGTGATGGGCTTACTGTTATTACTCACTGATGCCTCGCCTTCGCTTTCAGTGTACATACTAAAAGCGAAGGCGGGCTTATCGTTATATTATCACCCATTAAAAAAAAATCTTGGATTCAATTAGTTTTTAAGATTCTTTTAGACATAGTCTCTCTAATTTGTGGGTTCTGCAGCAAATTGATACCGAAATAATTAGGGTTTATAAATGTATACGTGAATATTCAGGAATAATAAAATGATATTTGTAATTAACACAGTTTTTGAGAAATTATCAGAAAATCTCCAGATACAAATTTAATTTGTCGGTGCAATTATTAAACACAATTTCGAATTTCAATATAAATAATAGTAACTAGTAGGTATGTATTTCGTAGATATACCTTTTCATTTCTCATTAGGTGATGTAAAAGGCGACTAAGGGAACTTCATGGTCAAGGGATGGATAATAATATCTTAAAACATCACCAAAGTCCAACTGCAGTTGGCAACCTGTATGCTAAGCATGATAACTACTGGCATAACTCCCCAATAGGAAGAGGCCTTTGTTTAGCAGTGGACAGTTAAATGCTGATAGGATAATTATGATGTATTTTATATAAGAAATACAATAAACATATTTGTAGATAAGAACATTTTATCTCATGTCTATGTACCGAATACTTGGCGTGTGAGTTTAACTCTCACCTGACTAGTTTTATTTAGTATCTCATTTTATCAACTAGGTACTTCTCAAGTACTTTAATTGGATAGTAAAGGAGAAAATATTTTCATAACAATTTTTTTTTTATTTTCCATATAAGTCTGTAACTATTTTGTACCTTTTGTGATAAGTAGAGATATGAAAGATTTTGTATCATTTGCTCAGCAGTAAATTGATTAATTTACCTTCCGATGGTAATGGGTTCAATCTTTATACTATATATATATATATATATATATATATATATATATATATATATATATATATATATATAGGTCTATCTGTGTTTTCTATGTTTCATATAGGTGTTGTAAGTATTTACAAAAAAGTATTTTTATCAATCGTTTAGTAGTACCCATATAAATAATGTTTTAGTACAGACTTTTATGAACTTGGAAATAGATGATAGTGTATTTCATTGATTATATATATGATGATAATGATGGCACAACACAGAAACTAGACTGTTGATAGAATGGTAATCCTTATTCAGTATTGATATATACTGAAGAAGTATTAGTGAATGATAAAATTAGGTTAATTTGCCCATCATATTGAATTCACTAGGACTGAATTATGATGCTTTTCAGAGGCGGCCATGTGATAGTTGACCTAACCTTTGTTTATACTATGAAGGTGGCAAAAAAGCACACAGTCATACATATATTGATAGTAATGGGGCCCTATTACTAACAATCCTCTTGCTTCTGGCATACAGTGAGGGATGGTCAGGTGACAATGCTGGAAATTTGGCATGACGATAGTTCATGTGGGTCCGCATAGTTTTACTGCAGTTAAATCATTTATTTCTATATAATACAATAATTGTATTAACTAATGAACATATTAGAACCATTATTATTGTTTATTATGTTAAAATGTTGATAGTGATATTATGGTCTAAGTAGTAAATATTATATGCAAACAATAGGTTTGTTATTTATATAAAGGTCATTAATTTTACATGAGTGCTATATTTTATTACATTACTAAGGTATAACAAGAAAAAAATGTATATAAGTTACACTGAAAAACTAAATTTGTTCTAGTTAAACAAATATACAATCAAAATCTCACTAATTTCTAACTATGGGCTTTCTTCGTGTAATATAAAATTCTTCTCTTGTATGATATGGTGAATATGGATCATCAACATAATACTTGGGGCGCTTCCAGAATTTTGTAACCATTTTATCTAATAAGGTACTTTGAGTTGAATTACAGAGAACATGCTGACGAAGACGTCGTTTTTGCGCACTTGATTTTTTCCATAGCCTCTTCTTTCTGCCCACTTTAGGTCTTATCCATCCACCCCAATGCAAACGAAAGAATCTACGAGTTACAGCTTTAACAGTTTTCCTTTTGCCTTTCTTTAAACTGAACTTTGTTACAGTTCTTATTGGAACGACTATGTTATTAGTTAAAGCCAATATTTGTGGGTTAGATGATAGAGATCCATTGCTAAAACTTTGCAGTTTAGGTGTAACTTGAAGATTATTGTATGTACACAAACTTTTTACATTTTTGGTAATGATACTGGCCTTATAATAGGGGACAGTAAAAGTTCGTAGATTACGTACGGCTGAAAAAGAAAGATAACCTCAATTTAAATTGCCACCAACATAATACTTCACAATAGAAATAGAAAGTATATATATAGTTTTATTGTCATTAAAATATTCAGAAGTAGTTTACTAAAGTAAAGGTATATTTTACTTATAAAATTATAAATATTTACCACAAAATATAGAACGAAACATTTTTCAATCATTACAAGGTTTTTTTTTTCTTGCAGCAATAGAGCAGCAGTGTTGCCAATTAAAGCTGCCCTTGCAACCACAGCTTGCAACTTAATGTTTAGAATTCTATCGACGAATCCTCGTTTTAGTGATCTTTGAAATGAAGTTTTTATCTGTAACTCAGACATACTTTGTGTCTTTAATCTATGGTCCATTTGCTGTCAAATACCCAGGTAAAATTTTTCTAGTCTCTCATTTTTGACAGCCCAAGTGGAAAGAGATTCAGTGCCGATAGTGCCGAAATGTATAAATTTTCGAATCATTTAGCATACGCCAATCTTGTTTTGGTATGTATTCCTTTAAGTGTTTCCTTCGTACTTTTATTTTAATTCTATAAACAAAGTAAACGATTACAGCTCGATAAATTACTTCTACAATTACAATGCCACTAAATATCATGTATTCATGAATATGACGAAGCTTTTCGTTTAAAATTCGTTGTTTTGATCCAAACACATACCAATATCCAGCTTATATAGTAAATATAAATATAAACTCGTATTATTGTTGTCCCTTACATAACAATCAATAGACGTCATTTTCATAAATAACCTATCACCATCATCATGAAGATGATGAATAACCTAATCAATGATGATGTATCGGTAGCGGTTTTGCAGTACTTTAATTATGAGTTGGTATATTCAGTTCAACCTAGATAATAGTATCAATATTTTTTTCACTAAATAATACAGTCAATGGGGACAACCCTACTAACAATCATTTTAATATAGTGAGTGCATAAATGCAACTGTATAATTTTTAAGAAAAATTTATGGTCCATAAATCACAATGACCTTATAAATTGTAAGAAGAAATTAATTCAGGAATCTTTAGTAAAAAGTCTTAGAAAAATTTACTAAATCATGAAGCTTTTTTGTCACAAGCTTGCTTATCTGATGAAAATAATGCTACTTAACAAAAAATAACTAGTACTTTTGGCACTCTACATAATTATGTTGACAGTTCAATTGACTGTAATTTATAATTGAGTATAAGTATGCCATTGATATTAAACTTTTTTTTCTGTATTTTCATCTGGACTATAAGTTTTTGTAATTGTATGGAGTATCCTTCATAACCCTAATTACTAATTAACATTATTCATTAGTTACTATATTTTTATAATTTGCTTACATGTCTCACTTTTTTAGTTTATGCTATTCATTTAAGATCATTGGTTTATTTAAGATTATTTTCTAAGGGGCCTGACTCCTTAAAATGGTTACATATGTGTCTCTTAGATATGTCTTTGTAAGTAGCAAAAGAACCACCCTTATTATGCATATGTATAGTATTTTGGTGATGGATGGATGGATGGTGTAAACCTGTGTTTATAAACACAGGTGTTTGCTTTGCTTGTTACTTCTTTTACACAGTAGGTGTTAACTTTGACTGTAGGAAGAGCTTGGTCTAAGTTTAAAAATAAGAAGTTTATCTTACAGCTTTATGTTATTGTTTTTATGAATACAAATTAATGTTTTACTATTTTTAATATAAATATGTATGCAAGCCACCATGTTTCGCAGAGAAGAGAGAGTGGGCAGTACAGCTAAAAAACACCAGTGTTTACTACAGATTAAATATTATATAAAACATAGATTATTTATTATATTCTAATAAAAATAGGTGTCTTCAAATTTTATATATTGACCATTCTAGGTGAGAAAACCAGTTGGCGAAAGCTCATGCGCGGCTCTAGTTGTAATGCGGGCGCCGCGCCGCCATGCACACTATGACAACCAATCTCAATCCACACCAAAGACACCACCAAAGTCGAGAAAACTTCTATGGGGTACAATCGGCGCTACGGTGCTCACTGGAGCTGCTGTTGTATATGCAAAGTTAGTTAAAGTTCCCCAAATTATTATTAGTTGTCAAAGTGTTTAATCTTTTCAATCCTAATTTTAAAGTATCTATGACTATTCTTATTGTCACTTTTTTGCTTGAAGATAAATACAGGAATCGGGAAGCATTAATTTTTCTCCATTAAAAAGACAAAGCATCCAAGGACTGGTAGAAAGATTTACAGACAGATATTGAAAGCTGGTTAATGTATTGGCCTCATCATATGTTAACAAAATTTAAACCTGACATCCAAACAGCAGATTGGAGTATTGTTCTATAAGGAACAGATTGCCAATTAGCAGATTAGAAAAAAAATAAAACTTCTTTGCTTAAAGATACATTGGTCTCACAACCAAGATTATTCTTTGTGAAACAACCAACAATTTTAGAAAAATATGTAAAACCAGCTATAAAATCCAACTGCATTGTCTATAGATAACTAACTACAATTATTTATTATATTCTAAAAGCCCCAAAGGGATTTTATTTGAAGTAAGATAGATAAGGGAAATGTAAAGTAACACTCATTTTGTTAACAGAAGCACTCCTGAAGCTCGAAACTGGCTTGAATCTAATGTCCCTTGGGCCAACGATTTTGTGGCTCTTGTATACCAAGAGAATACAACATACTGGAAGTTCACCGTCAATCAGTTTAATAAGATCTCATCATCACTGGGAAATATCATGTTTGGAAAGGTATAGTATGATATTAATTGTTGAATATTGGTGGCTATGTTATGTTATTGCTATTGCAGAATGTTATTTATTATTATAGTAACCCTATTTCTAGGGTGTAGTAATTAAGGTAGATGACTCAAATTTTAAAAATAATTATTAAATATTTACAATAAACTCATATACATTATAATTAAAAAAAATTATATGATATCATTACATAGCTTTATTCATGATTCACTAAGTTTTAATGATTCATATTCATTACCATTATCACAATTTAGTTCAATGCTAGGTTATACCTGCAATTTTTTTATAACTGATTTTATCAGTTTCTTCCTACAGTTGTATCTGAATGTATTAAACTGAACTCATCAATTATCATCAAAATCATCCATATTTAATTTTGAAATTCTGCAAAATATAATTTTAACTAGAAAATCAATATCATTCCTTGAAACTCATCTTTCTAATATTAAATTAATTCAGTGTTCACAACTATCTTATTTTTAAATACTTTTATTCAGTTATAAATATCTGTTATAGGAGGGTGTTTCACCAATAGATTACAAGAAGAGACCAGAACAGAATTTAGAAAAAGATGCCATAAAAGAATTCGGCAAGAAAGATTATCAATGTGAGTGTTACTTTACAGGTTTAAAAAAATACTGTTATTATCTTTTATAGGTTTAAAAGTTTATTTTGCAAGGGCCAATATAGAGGAATGTTATAAGTAAGACCTTATTGTATAGTAAACTGTTTGTGAAGTTTGTATTGAGTTTGAAGCATACAATGAAATTTTTAATATTCGTTAATTATTAACAGCTATTGTCATTTAGTTAATTAATAGTTTTATGTTAACAATTGAATTATTTGCACTAACTTTCATTATTATTGTTATATAAATATATCCATTTGGTCCATTTAATGCAACAGTTCAACATCAATACGGCGTTATATCTTAATTATTTATTGAATGAGAACTGAATATATTATGTATTTATGGATTGTAAAACGAATAGTTTGTAGAACTAAAAATGTATGTTTAATTATGAAAAATTATCAGTTTAGGTAATCTATATTTTTAGATTTTGTTAAATAGAAGAGATGTCCAAACTTGTACCAAATTAGTTCTGAACATTCAAATGTTTTAGATAAAAAGAATATTGGTAAAACTGGCACAAAATTACAAATAGTCAAAGTTATTACATCATATGCATAAAAAATATACTGTTGATTCGAAAAAATCTTATTTCTGAAGTTGGGCCAAATCTAAACACTAAATACTACAATATAGTAGTCAGAATAGAGATATCTGTAAAGATTAATATTAGATATTTTCATATCATTAATTACCGTTCATCTTTTATTTAACAAGTTTGTATTTAACAATCACTGCTTAACTTAATGAGAGTTGTGCCTAACAGTGCCACCACCTTCATTTGAACCACTGTACGTTGAGGAGAAGAAATTGGAGACACCTGATGTAGAAACCACTGGTTAGTTATTTAATTAGAATTATTATTAATAATTATTCAGTATCATCATAGTTGCAACTATTCTTTGTTCAAAGCTGAAATTGATGATATCCATAATTACATATATACTACACGTATATAATTATTATTTTTAGATAATTGAATTTTACTTTGCGTTTGTACTCTTAGAGTGATTAATTTATAATTAATTCAAAAGAAATTTCAATTCAAAATTTTAGTTCCTAATTCAATTCAAATTTTTAATAATAATTTATAATAATAATAAAATTGTAGCTGCTAGATGGCGATGTATTTAGTTGCAAAAACAAATAAATTGATGTAGAAACATTTAAAAAAGTACAGCAGTGCAACAGCTTTACTTTTTTTTTTATTTTATATATAAATTTATTTAATAATAATAAAACTTATGGTTGAGAGTTATATGCATTATAAGTTCTTACTAATAAATTTAATAGTTGGTTTGTTTTTGTTACCTCTTGGCATTTACTGTAACACAAATTCACCATAACAGCAACAATTTACAAACGACTAAACAACCAAATTTGGTATTTTAGGATACCAATTTGACTACACAATTTAGTATTTTAGGCATAAGCATATTTGATTATTTGTATAGGACATATTGTACATATCACTTAGAGAGATTCTGCTAATTAACCTTTAAAATGTTTCTCAAATCAAAGAGGAGAAATTGTCTAATGTTTGTGACATACAAAATATACTGTAACTGATTTTATTTTTTAAAAACATCTTCCAGCGACGTTAGTCCAAACGGAAAAAAGCGATCCACAGTCGCCACCGCCTATAAATATCACTAAAAACATGGTGGAGCTGGAACATGATATGCACGAAAATACCAAAGCGGCCATTGACAACTACAAGAAAGCCACGAAGTTCTGTGCTGATTACAATAAGGCACTATTTAAGGTATTTACGGGATTTTTGTTTTACAAGTCTCACTTTATTTTATTTAATTTATAATTAATTCAAAAGAAGAAGGTTCCTTATTCGATTCTAATTTTTTGTATTAATAAACGTAATTATTCTCTTCCGTAAAGAATTGGTAACATTAGAAATAGATAAGACTGTCGTAAGGTTAATATATAATTTTCCAACCTGTTAAAAACCAATTTACCTATTTAGTAAATAGCTAATTTACTTATGTAGAAAATGTGATCCTATACGGTTAGCCATATGCAAAACTTTCCAGTTACTTAGCGAGCTATGTTTGGAGTTTCTTTGTATGATAGAATCTGAAATGAGGATATCTGCAGAAAAATCAAAATGACCAATATAACTCGAAGAATAAGCAATCGGAAGTGGCAATGGGCTGATCACATAGCTCGAAGAACCGACAACCGATGAGGAAGAAAGTGTTTTGACTGGTGACCCCGCACAGGAAACATAGTCTAGGACGACTCCCCACTAGATGGCGTGATGACCTCAAATTTATTACAGGGAGCCACTAGATGCAGGTGGCTTAGAAATGTTCCTTGTGACAGTCTATGAGGGAGGCCTATGTTTATGAAAATGCCCATGTGATATAGACATTTATGATAATGTGGATATATTTTGCAGAACTATTAATTTAATAGAATTAACATTGGAAAAGTATTTATAAAAAAATAATGAGTTCAAAGAAAGAAGAAGAGTACAGATGTTTTTTTAATAATATCAATATGTATACAAGGGGGAAAAGGGATTGTTAGTAATGGAGACTGAGAATCCTATTGCTAGCAATATACCCAATCAGGTCGACCTCTTCGCGGTTCTCCCTGGAAACTATCATGGTTAATTCCTGATGAATTCATCATGATGGGCTAACCGGCCTGTTTTCATTCTCATCGATCACCCTTCACTAGTGCTCCGCCAGCGTATCCCGTTAGCCTAGGCGGGGTTACTATACCATTTTCGTCTATCAAAAAAAAAATGTGTATACAAAATCCCTCCACGACAATTAACGTATTTCTGTTGACTTTCAGATCGTTGAATCGTCGTTGGATGATTTAGATAAGAGACACTATAGCGCGCTCCATGGAGCACAGAGCGAGAGAGATGCAGTCTTTAAAGTAGCGAAAGATGCGTCCGCGAAAGCTAAATGTGCCATAGGTGCGTAAATTATTAATAATACTACTTCTATAAAAAAAGAAGTTTTTTAACTTATTCTTTTTTAATTTAGTATATATATCTTCACCGTATGGTCCAGGCATAGATAGGGTTAATCTTTTACGTAAGTGTCGTAAGAGGCGACTAATTAAATGGTTGAGGCATGGGCAGCAGTGTTCCTGTTAAAACATCACCACAGTCTAACTGCGGTTGTCAATCAGTCTACTAAGACTCGACTCCTGGCAAAACCCGCTAAAGGAAGGGCTATGTTCAGCAGTGATAACAGCTGAGGAAGACTTTGTACTTTTGACTTCGATTGCTTGGGTACCTCTGTCCCATTCATGTTTCTACCGTGAAGCAGTTGTGTTTTCATGGCTGTGTTTCTGTTTGAAGGGTGGGATATGGCGTGAATTTACAGGGTACAGAGGAATAACATCTGAGTCCTCAGGAATGGCAACGCATGGGGGGTATCATGGGCGAAACAGTATACTCTATTATGTCCATGGTACTACTCATGTCTATAGGCGACGGTTACCACTTTCCATCAGGTGGGCCGTCAGCTTATTTGCCATTCTAAGTTGTATAAAAAAAGCTGGTATGATGATGATGATAATATATATGTATAATCGACTGTATACATATGTTATTTTATACTAATATTTCCAATTCTGACCTAAATAATAATTATTTAGGTTGGAATTAAAATTAGTAGCCACAAAGTATTGGGTCTCTCATACTAAATTGACAGCTGGGGGTTTACCGTGAAATGAAATTCCGAATTTTCGGGCTCAATTTCGTGTTTTTGTTCGTACCAAAATTGACCCTATAAATGGAGCTTAACATTTCATTTGTCATAAATCCTACCATAAAAGTCCAAAGGAACGATTCTTTAGTATTTTTAATATTTTTAAACTGGATGTATCAAGTAATTTTAACATCAAATTTTTGTTTCGTTCGGATCTGAAATTTCGGAAAACATTTCATGGTAGGCCCTCTGGATTAGGCTATGTTAGTATGGAAGGCTCAAATTTTTATGTAAAGTTTCAAACCATGTTTCTTTAGGAATTTATTTATTATTACTGTTATAGCATTGCTGAAAAGATGCCGCTGTTTGGTGTTAGTTTCGCTCTGTATAATGATTCCTTATTACCATAAGCACTGAAAAGATCTTAAAAATGTAGGAACAGGTATGGCGCTAGCGAAGCTGTAGAGAGTTAGTAACATCCAATAATTTGAACTATCTAAAGGTTGCCTGGAAGAGAACACTCTTAGCGATAAGACGACCCATTTCTAGTGTAGTGTTAGCACAGTGTAATCTTTTATTGTAATTCTTTGTATTTATAATAAGTTTATTAATGAAATATTTTGGAGGAAAGAAGAGGATCTATCTATCAATTTATTTATCTCTACATTCTTTAATATTAATTTAATTGGAAAATTTTGGCTGGTATTGTAAATCTGAGTTTCATTGTTTGTTACTTCTTGACACTAACTGGTCAATCATCATCACGAAATTTTAGCATTAGGCACACACTCACTCTTTAGGATATAGCCTGTTATTTATCCCGGTCAATGGATATAATCTTGTCTTGCGGACGTACTTGCGGGTGGAAGCTGTTAAAGTCAATTATATTTCAATCTTCAGACACCTTGGACCGCTTGATCAAGGCGGGCGTGCAGGCGCCACCGGAAAGCGTGGCGGCCACTACGCGGTACATCAAGCAGTTCCGCGCCGATCTCACCGAGGCGGAAGTCGCATACAAGAAGGAACAGGAGAAGTCTGTGCTAAGTGATAGGTACTGGAATAAGGTCAGTGTATGGTAGTACAATAAGAATAAATATCCAGATAGAACTGACAGTCCCGTGAATTCAATAATAATAATTACGTTGGCGCGTTGATGACTCGTGTTCAATTCACGTCCTATTAAGTCAGGTTTCGCAACTTACAAACACCGCTGTGAGAGCGTATCGATTCCTCGCATATATCTCGTGTCATATCTTAAAATTATTTATTAACCCTCTGACCCCGTATTTTTTTCGGTCATTTTCACACGTCGCTTTGACTACTGAGAAACAATATTTTGAGATACTGAGAAACAATATCAATGTACCAAAACAAAAGTCGCGGGATAACAGCCTCAATAAACATAAAAAATGCGAGCACGCGGAAACCGCGGGATGCCTGGTCAGAGGGTTAAATCTGAATAAATTTATGTCACCCTTCAATCTCTGCGGGTTTTTAAAGGACATTTTGGCGATATTACTGCATAACACAAAGTGTATTGAGTATCATTTCTATTTATTACTGTTTACCACGTTTTAGTTCACTTGCATATATAAAGTGTAATTAGGGTATAACCTATTCATGTATCAAATTTCATTGAATACCGTTCAGCTGTTTAAGCATGATTGAATAACAAACATCCAAATATTTACAAGTTTTTACATTTACAATATTAGTATAATTATGGTGGTAATCTACTTAGATTGTAGATGTTTAATACATAGAGTATGCATTAAATACAGCAGTACTGTATGTGTACGAAGTAAGAAACTCTCATATCTTGCTTAGTCAAGAAATACAGAAATACAATAATATTGTGGCAATAAGTTTTAGTGTATCGTCGACAATCTTTAAAATTCAGGTTTTCTTAAACTTTTTACAGTCACAGACCACTTTTACAATTTAAACAATTCCATGGACTCCATCAAAAACATTTTGGTTAGGTCCTAAATTTTTTTCATTAAAAAAACAAACTTATTGGTGGTTTTATTATATTCTACTATACAATTTCCTAATAAATATTTTTATAGTTAACTGACCTACTGCAAACCCTAATACCGATGCTATGGACCCCTAAGGGGTTCCTCGACTCCTCTTTAAAAACCTCTGCTTTAATTTGTATAAGTTGTTGCTAAAACTTATATTTGAGGCATCTATATACTTCTATATATATATATATTATTTTTTCTATGTACAAATCGATATATTATATACGTCGTTCACAGGTCGAAGCGGCTCGGCAAGCGTACAAAGACGAGTTGCAGTTACTATTCCCCGGTATCGACATCTCAGCACGCAAACTCGATGTCAAGGGTGACACTGATCTCTTACTGCTCTACACACTGAAGCAGGTAAACTCCACTTTTTTAATGCCATTACAATAGCTCTAATTCAGTATACTTTATGGGCTCAAATAGAGGTCGTTTAGTCGCACATAAAACTAAGAATATACTAGCTATAATTAGAAAAAGATTTGAAATATTCTTTTATCAACTCATATTCTTTTGGTTTCACTGGTAAAGTATTTTGCTATAAAAGATGGTACTGATTTTTATTTAATTTTGTTTACATTAAAATGCAAATGGTAATGTATAAGGTTATGTTTCTAGTCAAATAAAATATGTTTCTTGCTTGGTAACTCTTGCTATGTACACAGAAGTGTATTTTTTTTTAATGGGTGATAATGTAATGGTAACCCCACCCGCGCCACCGGCATATACCGGCAGGGTACCAGTGAGGGATGATAGGTGAGGATAAAGCAGGTTAGTTAGTCCATTGTGATGAATTGAACAAGAATTGTTCATGATGGTTTCCAGTGGGAACCACGTGGAGGTCGACCTGATAGGGCATATTGCAATGTCAAACTTCATTGCTAACAATCCCTTTCCCTCCACAGAAGTGTATTAATGTGATCACAAGTATAAAATAACAATTTTTTCTATAAATTTTACATACGACATGTAATACAATTTATTGCCAGTATTTAGTTTTTTGTTTCACATATGGTTATTATTATTTCACATTATTTGTTCTCCTTAATTTTAAATATTACTCATTTGAAAATATTGGAAGATTTATGTACTATTTTTTCTTTTTTAATTTTGTAGTTTTTTAATCTGCGGTATTTTATTTTAAGAAAATTATACTTTTTATTTTATTAAATTGCCTCATTTGTGAATCTCAAACCTAAAATTGTATTGTACTTAGAAACACACTGAGTTAAATTTTTAAATTGAGGAATAAAAACATATGTTTATGTAATTTGTAATCACTTTTTTCAGATCCAATTTCTTCAAAATCAGTTGGCTGAAATTCAAACAGTGAGAGACCTTAAGATCAAGAGAGCTATTGAATGTATGTTTGGTCTTTTGCATAGTTTTATTATATACCTAAATGTTTTATTAAGAAATATTTATAAATAAATCTGATAAATCTCTTATAGGTCACGATCAAAAGGAGATAATTGAAACAAAAGTCGACGATTTGATTCATCAAGAGAGATTATTAAAAGAAAAAGAATTCCAGAAAAAGGTAATTTACAAATGTATATTTTTTTTCATATTTTCATTTATGCTTGAAATAAGATGAATATCGTGTACAAAATTATTACTCTAAATAATTGCAGAAATGTGTAAAAACTACAATAATTATTATTTATGATGTTTATTGGGATTGTTTTATATTATTTATAATTTGTAAGTGAATTTGTAATATTTGAAATATTAATTTATATACATACATATTATAATGTTTGAAACATCACTCTCCTATAAAAAAATATTTATTTACCTATATCATAGTTTTTTGACTGTATACAAATCTAATAGTTATTTTTGGTATTTTGTTAAAATGTATTGTTTAAAAGACAATTTTTATTGATGATTAATATTTAATATTATAGCTGAGGTTGTAATTCCGAATTAGACTAATATTAAGACTCATAAAATAAATTACAATTAAAAAATGCTTGTAATAAAATTTCCAGAGCCTAGAAATCCAAGCAGAAGCTAATAGGAAATTAAAAGAGCAACTTAAAAAGCAATTTGAAATTCAACAAGAAGTTTTACAAGATAAACTCGCGAACAAAGAAAAAGAGGTAATTATGCATACAGTGTATGCTGTTTGTTTCCTTTGTGCTGTTTATTATAGATATATATTTTTTTTTTTTGGAAATGATTCTTTGACTTCTTTTGTAATATTTTTAGCGAGAGTCAATAGACACAACATTTTTTTTTTATTTGGATTTTTATTATAATATTATTGTAATAATATAGTAGTCAGATCATTAAAAATTTGGCAAATATTTAACTTTACTTTTAAATATTTAACTTTTTACTTTCTATATTTTTTTTATTAATGACTTCCAAAATGTCACTTTACACGGTTTGTGCCGTGTGATCCCAGCATAGAATGGGAGCCGTTCCCTTCTTTTCCCCTGGGTATCATAAAAGGCAAGGTGAACTTAAAGATCAATGGAAAAACATTATTAAAGCTTAATTATGGTTGCCAACCTGCCTGGCAAGTGTGGCAACTACTGGCAAAACCCTCCTTATGGGGGAAGCTATGTTCAACAGTGGACAATTAAGGGCTGATACAATACAATACATATTTTATGAAAGAGAAATGTACTGTGATATTTGTTATGGAGCGTCTCCATCCAGGGTTGTATTTTTTTTTAATGGGTGAAGATTGAATGGTAATCCTGCCTGCGCTATCGGTATACACTGGCAGGGTACCAATGAAGGGTGACATGAGGATGAAAACAGGACAGTTAGCCCATAGTAATCCATTGAGCAAGATTAACCGCTATGGTTTTCAGGGGGTAACTGCGTGGAGGTCGACCTGATAGGGTGTATTGCTAGCAATGGGGCAGTTAAATCTCATCACTAATAATTCTTTTCTCTCTGGATTATAGCTGATTAGGTACTACAATATTTTTATATATTTAAAACAGATCCTGGGTAAATTCAGCCGAGCCGTGTCCGAGCAAGTGGAGAAGGAGCGTGTTGTGTTCAAGCGTGAACTAGCCTCGATGGCCGGCAAATTGAAGGCCATTGAACAGACGCTCAAGCGTAAGTATTTTATACATGTTTACGTAATAAGCAATTTGTTTTTGGTACAAGTGATGTTTTACGATTATATAAAACCTGGTCCCTGTTAATAAACCATGTATATACGAAAAGTTAATTCGAAGCATATTCCAATTTAATCTATCTTTTTTTACAATATTGATTTGTTTTGTGAAGCAATCGCACTGCGTTAAAGTCTCTATTCGCTCGCTATTATCATAAAAACAAAAATTCATATGTTACATTAAAAAGAAAATAGTAGTGAGTTCGACATTAAGTTATTGCGAGCCAATCACTTGTCACACGTGATATTATAGTGAATAAAAATAATAATTTTACTAAACGATAATGAATTAAATGTAACAATAATTTCTGTCTTATTACACGGTAGAGCGCGCGAAGGCGGAAGCGGAAGCGCGGCGTTCGCAGTCTCTATGGGCTGCCGGCGAGGCGCTATTGGCTGCTACTCGCCGCCTGCAGCCCGCTACTACCATAGACAACGAGCTTAAGGCACTAGAGAAAGCCGGTGAGTTGTGCTGGTGAAGTGATTGGAATAATTTTAAAGTTTTTATACATACATTATAAAGGTGTCTGTTGCTAATCTGATATCTTACTTAATATTATAAGTAGGATTTTTTTATTTTTGTATGTATTTATGTATGTTTGTTTGTTTATAGTGGATATACTACTCAACAAATTTTAAAAATTCTGTCAGGCTATACTTATTATTTATTTATTTATTCATTAGTACAAATGTGTACATGGCAGACTTAATGTTAAAAGCATTCTCTCCCAGTCAACCATAGGGAAGTGTCAGAATACTCGAATGCGGTACTACTAATTATTGATATACATAGATACTGAAATTATATATATAAACAAATAAATATATATGAATAACAAATATACTTACACATACATTACTTGCCCCTTATGGGAAAGGTCTATGATCATCAGTGGCGTTAATTGTCCACTTTAGAATAAATATCCGATTTATTATAAAATAGATTATATATTATTAAAAAAAAAAGTAAATATAGGTCCTAACGTAAATTACAGTAATGCAGTCCAAGGTATCAAAAATTATTTATATTATTACTAGCTGACTCGGTAAACGTTGTTTTACCATATACATTATTTCTAGAACTATACATGAAAATATATCGTACTACAATTATTATATTCGATTGACATCCTGTAACCCTATTGCGACATATAAAAATCGCGATTAAAAAACAGGAGTTGATCGTAAAACGGTGAAAATTTGAGGTTGTATGTATTTTTCAATGTTAAATCATAATAAAATAAAAATAAAAAATTTTGACAATAAAATAAAAAAAAGAATATTTAGGGGTCGGTTACCCTTTTCATTTAGAGGTATGAAAAATAGATGTTGGCCGATTCTCAGACCTACCCAATATGCACACAAAATTTCATGAAAATCGGTAAAGTCGTTTCGGAGGAATTTGGTAACAAACACCGTGACACGAGAATTTTATATATAAGATTAATACCAATTTATCTTTCTATTTATCCATGCCAAGCTGAGGCGGATTGCTAGTCAATAATTAGAGTATTTGATTGGTTGAATGGTCTTAGTCAAAGTATCACTACATAATATAAAACAAAGTCGCTTCTTGTCCATATGTCTCTACCTGTGCTTAGATCTTTAAAACTACGCATCGGATTTTGATGCGCTTTTTTTTTTAATAAGAGTGATTCATGATGAAGGTTTTAATGCATAATATATTAGAGAAACACTGATAATTTTAGAGGTTTCTAATGTGATGTGAACTGCATCCGTGCGAAGGTGAGGCGAGTCGCTAGTAATAATTATTATATTACTATACTATTATAACTAAGTTAGAATATTTTTTTATGGCAAATTTAATTACATGAAACAAAAAAATAAAAGGGACATTTTTATTTTTGAAGATTTAATGAAAAATTGTGTCAAAATAATAAAAAAGTTGATGTGTTTTAACAATAATCTGTGACAGTGGCAATGATTACAGATAATGCTAGTTCATGCGTTTCGAAACGTATTCTGTTTAGCCAAATTCTATTCTATTTGAATTGTAAATTTAATCCAGAATCGATTTGAAATTATTAAATAAAAGAAACATTTTACAAATAAATATATATTATATAATGAATATTACAGGTAAAGACGACAAATTGGTGCAGACTGTACTTAAAGGTATACCACAAGAGGTGCGGGAGAATGGAATCGCCACAGAGAAGGCTTTAAGGGAAAGGTTCGATAAAGTAAGTACATCAACCACTTCGACAAACCGACTAGGAATTTACATTAGAGGATATGTCTAGAAAAAAAGTCTAAATTTTATAGGATTGATATAAAGATCACATATAGAAATATAGCAAAAAAAAAATGGTACACAAAAAACAAATAATTTTATTAAATATAGTGTATATAGTAACACCGTCTGCGGTATATGCTACCGGGGCACAGGTGAGAAATTATAGGTAAGCAAACGGAGCAGTTAGACTTTATTACTAAAAATTTACAATTTAAATACCTTTCTTCCAGTCTTATAGTTCCCGAGACCTCGTTACTGGACCCCATTACTGACAACCCCCCCCCCCCCCTCCCACATTCTCCTTTTATTTGGTAGCTCTTAACACTACTTACTGAATGGCAAATATAGTATTTATGTCGCGGGAAGATTTCACTTTTCTCAGGTTGCCTGAGTTTAAGAGTAGACTATACTCTTGTATTGTTATGTAGAGTGATTCAATCAATGTTTACAAAATTTATTAAAGACAGAATTTTGTATGGAGAAGGACAAAAGCTACTTTTTATCTTGGTAAGTCAATATATTTCACTTATGCAGACGAAGTCGTGAGTAAATACTAGTTATTCTAATTAAATTAAGCTTAAGTATTGTTCTAATGTTTTTGTATTTATATTCAGCATCTTAATTTTTATTACAGATGGAAAAAGCCGCAGTGAAAGTGGCTCTGATTGGTCGTGAGGGTGCAAGCCTACCTGTATATTTCCTTTCATGGCTGCAATCCAAGCTTTTGTTCTATAAGGTATATTTTTTGCATTACTTTTTTTAATTTGTATAGTAGTTGAACGCCTGGGTAGCTAGGTTGAATTCTACATAGATGTATGCACTTTTACGTTGATATCTTTATATGAAAAATATAATTTACGAAACTATTCGCTCGAGGCGAAGCTATGTTTTCAAAAGCAAATTAATAACGTGAACGCTAACGCATTATTAGCGCAAATCTTTGTATAATTCATATTATTCACTAAGATATCTTGTTGGCAACTATGTATAAAATTTTATATTTTTTTTCTTAGTGCTTACAATGTTCTATTCTATCTAAAATTTTATACAATAAATTTTATGTCAGTGTTTTTATTAAGTTATATATAACCAATTTTTTTAATGTGTAGAAAATTCCAATAACCTTCAATTCAATGTGAGTTTTTTTTTTCCAGTTTGCTGAAATACCAAAGGACGAATTAGACAATCAACCTACAGACTTCACTAGTTTAGATACCTTTGATATAATTCAAAGGGCGAGGTAATATATAGATATTATTTATTCTTTATTGTACACAAAAGGTTATTGAAATGTAAAAACAAACATAATAGTGCACATTCTGTGCACAATCAGTGATATTGTGTGGTATGGTATTTTTTTTTTGTTGGGTGAAAATGGTATGATAACCCTGCCTGCGCTAACGTGATACGCTGGCGGAGCACCAGTGAAGGGTGATAGATGAGAATGAAAACAGGCCAGTTAGCCCATCATGATGAATTCACCAGGAATTAACCATGATAGTTTCCAGGGGGAACCGCGAGGAGGTCGACCTGGTTGGGTATATTGCTAGCAATGGGAGTCTCAGTCTCCGTCACTAACAATCCCTTTCCCCCCTGTGGTATGGTATTATAATCTATAGTAAATTAATCTAATTAAAAAAAAATGAGAGTTTTTCAGACTAACAATATCCGTTATTTCCATTCATTCGAGCTCGATATATCTCCTATGCAATTCTTTAATTTCTCCTTTTTAAAAGACTAAATCAACATAAGAACCTCTTACAGTTTTAACTGTTGGCCAGATGGTTCAGAATAATGTTCCTTTTTTAATTTTCTTTCATCTGCATTGGTATTCTTTCTTTAATTATCTCTTAGGAAATGCTTGGGATGAAAAAGATTACTCTTATTCCGTTACTGATATATGATCAGGCCCTCTAGACAAGTGGCAAGCAAATTCATCGATGTAATCGACATCGCTAGCGAGTCCGTGAGATAGAATGAGATAGCAACGTCGGATATCTCATAAACTCGGAAGCGATATCAATTCCATCGACGAATTCGCATGCCACTTGTATAATGAGTCAGTTCAGTGTACGTTTTACTCTAATCATACCATTTCTTAGTTTGACATTTAATGTTACTTCATATACACTCCTCAAAATTATGGATAGTCCTTTTTATTAAAATAATCCAATCATCTTTAGTAATTTTTATGTAATATTTTACGTGAAAATTTCTAAAGATGATTATGTTTGTTACTCAAGCACGCTTAAGCGGATGAACGGATTTTAATTAAAATTTGGTTCGTGGGTTGGGTTATATTGTAACACATAAGATATTTTATATCCTTATGCACGCGGGCAAAGCAATAGCAATAGCAAAGAATAAGAAAAAAATTAGAAACATAATCGTACAGGTACTACATGGACCAGGGTAACCTGGGCGCGGCGCTTCGCTACGTGAACCTGCTGCAGGGCGGCCCTCGGGCTGCCGCGCGGGCCTGGGCCTCCGCTGCCCGCACTCATCTCGAAGTGCGGCAGGCCGCGGAGGCTGTGATGGCACATGCATCCGTCTCCGGCTTGCTTTACCTGTAGGCACCAGTCACCAGTCAACCGTCGCTAGTTACCAGCCTAAATCACGGTGAGTCTACCCTGCTAGTTTGGGATTGTTATGGGTGATACAGGAATGGTTTACTCGCCTGCGTTATCGTTAGGTATTCACAGGCGGGGTACCAGTATGCCGGTGCATCAACCGAGTGGTAGGGTAAGCACGCCATCCACCCTATCTTGAGAGAGGAGACCTGCTCTTACCATCAGGGGGCGGGTCGCTGCCGTCGGAGATGTGGTGAGTGTGAAAGCGAACCCATGTCTCCGACATATGGCACCTCGAGGATATATGTCTGGTTTTTGGTGGGTACACCCCCACCTTACGGGGGGATTCCCACAGTACCCATTCACCTCCCACAACGTGTATGGGTCTGCATAAAGCATTGTCCAGACGTTAAAAAAAAGGCGGGGTACCAGTGAGGGATGATAGGTGAGAATAAAGTCTGGCTAATTGTGAAAATTACCACCACATAAAATACCATTAAAAATTACCTTTATGTAATTTTCCCTGTGAACAATAAAATGTCTTTTCTCCTGAATTTAAGCAGTCATATATTACTATAAAATACATTTTTAGACTTTCAAACGGTAAATATTTATTTCAGATGGTAATCACCGAGCTACAAGTGAAGAATTAAATCTGCGAATCTAGCATTCGTTTAAAAATAACATGTTTACATTCATTTATACGATTCAATACATTTGAAGCTGTTTAACTTTATCTGCTTCTTTTTCACTCATTTAGAAACAAATGAAATGGCATTCAGTACAATTCGAGAATGTAATATATTTAGGGTGCGTTATTTTAATTCATTGCTGGCCAATATTAGTCATAGCACTGTATACTTTATGCTTTTGTTACGGTTGTTTTAAATATGGTGATAACATTTCTCATTTTATTTTTTTTTTTTACCGCATTATATTGTATTTTATTATGAAATACTTTGAAGATCTGTTGCCATTATTGTTCTGATTTATCCAAACTACTATTTTTATGCTCGTATAAATAAAATGGCAAAAGTTTGAACAATTTAATAATTTAAACTTTCTATACAATTTTATCACAATTTTGTTCGTGAAACAGAATATAGAATGTCGTATATTGAAGAGTAAAATTGTCTTTAATTTATTTATACGGGAACTGTCATTTTGCATTAGTTTCAATAAATAAGACTATTTATTTTTGTTATTGATTACACTGCAGTGTCAAAGTTATGGTTCTTATGGTGTTCACACACGAATAAGGTGTTATAGTATAGAATGCCTGTTGTGAGTTGTATAAAGATTTATATTACGAACGCGTTCATATTTATATCGATTTTGTAACAGCGCCTCTAGCGGATAGTTTTAGAAACTTAGATGTCTTTGAATCCTTGTTCGACCCACATTAGGCACTCGGAATGCATGTAGTACGTATTAGTATTGTATTACGCGATGAATGCTGCACTGTGAGTGCTTAGGACGAGTTCATAAAAAAGTGTTGATCGAGAATTATTTATCATGAGTGTTTTTAACTTTGACCAATTGTCGTATGTAAACTCGTACTAAGACCTCAGTATGATTACCCATTCGCTAAGATTCGTGTGTGAAGGCACTTTGGTAATGTTGTTCAATAATAAACTTTATAATATAGTTATAATAATTGTTATTGATTGTGAAAAGGTAGCTGAGACGTCTTGAGTATTTTGTTGTATTTTATAATCTCCACCATACTTAAATATGTCATTTTAAATGCAGATACCGACTCAGAAATGTACAGTAGTATTAGATTTTCTGTAACATGTTGATAGTTTATAAATATTAAAAATCATGATAGATTTTTTTCTGCCATTTCGCATTTATCAATCGGGATATTTAAATTACGGTGCCAGGTGCAAACAAGGAGGTTCTTTAATTTTAGTAATTTATGTAAATATTAAAAAAATATTGTATGTAATTTAAATTAAAAGAATGATTTTTACTTGGTTGTTTCTATTTTATTAATTTATACCTCTATTCTTTATCATGTCTTACATCAATACCTACCCTGGTATTGATGTAAGACATAATTTTTTTTTTAATGGGTGAAAATGGTATGATAACCCCGCCTGCGCTATCGGTATACTGGCGGGGTGCCAGTGAGAGGTGATAGGCGAGGATAAAAAGGCAGGTCAGTTAGCCCATCGTGACGAATTCAACGATAAATCGGTCGCGATAGTTTCCAGGGGGAAACGCGTGGAAGTCGACCTGATATGATATATTGATACCAATGCGGATTAACTTCCCCATTACTAACAATCCTTTCCTCCCAAGACATTACATTAACTGAGATATTAGCTTAATACTACCACAATAATGGAACGGTGTTTATTTTTACTTCCTTAATTCCATTACAATTCGTTTTAATATGCATAAATGCAGAGGGATTTGTGGAAGAAAAAGACATTGCGCCGACTCCAAATAAATGGGAAAAGGCAAAGCGATGATGATGCATACAGCTAAACTTACAACAAAAACGTGAGTAGATACATAGATTACTCTTTATTGTTTCCTCCATAAGATTACAATAGTAAACTTATTATAAATATAAATAATTACAAGAAATGATCACAGTAAGAAAACAATGGGCTGCCTTATTGCTAAAAGCCATATCTTCCAGGCAACCTTCGGTTAAAGAGGATTATTTATAAACAGTTTGATCAGAAGCACGATGAAAATTCTGTTATTTTTGAATATGAGTAAGTATGTATATAGTCTCTCCGATCCTTAGAATTCCAGATACTTCTGTTTCATTACTATCATAGATAAAGAACTTACGCTATGATTTCTTGATACTCTTATATAGTGATGCATTTTAGGAAATCTCCACTGATAAACATAGCATTACAGTATTTTATTAATTCAAAAAGTTATACCAGAAGACGTGGAAAAAAATCCACTCTTACCCATCAGGGGGAAAGTTAGTAGTAACAAGTGAAACTGGCCGAATTTTCTTTTATACTGAACCAGATATAACTTGTTGACTTCTTCATTGTCTGTCAGCTATAAAAAATATTGTAAACGTCGTAAGAATGAAAAAGAAAACGATCCACTTTCCTTAAAAAAAATACTTATCAGGCAAAATGTTTCGGATAACGCCGTACGTTTATAATACTAGGTTTCTGTTGGTAAGTATTGTTGCTTTTAAAATTAGAAATTAACAACATAAAAATAAAGTTTTTTGTGTTGGATGTGTTGTGATTTCCGCGGGTAGATCTGCTGTCGATTTGATTTTTTTTTAATGGATGATAATGGAATGGTAGCCCCGTCTGCGCTATTGGTAAATGCTGGCGGGACACCAGTGAGGGATGATAGATGAGGGTGAAGCAGGTCAGTTAGCCCATCGTGACAAATGTAACAATAAACCAATCACCATGGTTTCCAGGGGGAACCGCGAGGAGGTCGACCTGATAGGGTTTATTGCTAGCAATGGGATTGCTAATCCCCATTACTAACAATACCTTTCCCCCTGTCGATTTGCATATAATTTAATTATGTCGAAAGTCAGTAGGTAACCTAATAATGACTCATTTGATATTTTATTCGATGTGATTTTAATCCGATTATAATACAATTATGACGAAAGTCAGTCAGCTCGTTTTTTTCACCGCCTATAATACTTTATATCGGGATAAGAAATTAGCTAATCACGTTAAGTTTTATTTTGTGGCATCTTATATGGATTCTATATCGCTTTGAGGTGAGGTGATTTTTAGTAACCATTTTTTTTTTAAGATTGCAAATTTTACGGTTTTGGATATTTCCTTTTAGCCCAGTTTTAATATCTATTACTCTTATTGTAGTAAATATTCTTCTTGAAAAATTTATATATTTGAGTCTATATATTTATTTATTTTTATTTTATTTATTTATTTATTTTCTCCACAAATTTTACAGAAAAATACAGTTACATGAAAAAAATACAACTATATATGTATGTATAATTACAATGGTCTGTAAAACTTGTGGGAGACTGGACCCTAAACTAGATCAGAGATCTGTATCTCAGGAATCCAGACCCCAACTCGGACACCATGTACAGCTTGCATTAAGGCTAAAATTAAAATTTATATAATAATATATACCTTTTAGTATACCTTAATTTAATATAGTTTTTTTAAATAGTGTGGAGGATCAATTCATAGATAATTGGGTAAGTATCAGTGTTTTGTTTACTATTAACAAAACACCGCAGTGTGTTATGATAAAAATCGAAACAGGATGCTGCGTTGGATTGGCCATTAAGAGAGGATGGATGAAAGAAGAATTACGAAAAAGATTTATCGAGCACGAATGAATAGAGAAGTCGGTAGGGGACATATGTCGATCAAATAGGTGACGTGCTGAAGAAGGGTTAATTTAATAGTACTCTTAACCGCCGAGTGTGTATGAAAAGATTGACGAATGTGGAGGAAGCGAAAGAGACTTGTTTTTAATCGAAACATTTGGCGTTCCATTGTTTCAACCTACCCTAATGGGAGATAGGCGTGACCGATATATATGTATATGGTTTTGTCACAAGTGAAATAATTTTTTTTTAATAAACAATTTTAATTTCATAATTAAGATTGTGTCTTACAAACTGAGAAGAATCCTATAAAAAACATCGGCTGTTTTTTTGAGGAATATCTGTGTGTAAACGTTACAGTGGCGCCGTTATCCTGCCGATATACAAATAGTTACTATCACACATGCCCCACCCACCCTGAAGTACAAGGACCCAACAGAACGACAAACCTGTCCTCCGCCGTTACCACCGCCCCCTCCACCGCCGAAGGACGACCGTGTGTTCTGGGGAACATTGGGTGTTGTGTTTCTTGCTGGAGGTTTTGCTGTGTATGCCAAGTAAGTTATAGCTATTTGTTTGTAATGATGCTCACAGCCACCTTTTATCATCGGATTGTTATACCCCGTTATTAACAATCCCTCTCCCCCCAATCGGTAGGGATCAGTTAATCGATGCATCGTTTTATTATAGTAAGAAGAAAGGATGCTGGTAGCTCAGAATTAAATTTTTTGGCCAAATAAGAGGAAAGCGGACAAGTAATTTTAAATGGTTTTCATTTCTAGACAAAACCCTGAAGTGCGTGATTGGCTGTCAATCCAAGCTCCATGGTTCGACGACTTGATTGCTATAGCGTACCAGGAGAACATGACATATGGAGAGTTCTTGGCGAAGAGCATCGAAGATTTTAAAAATTGTTACTTGAAGTATTTCACCGATAAAAAACCCAAGAAGTGCTCTATTGATGGAGAGCCTATTCTGTGTTGGTTTTTGTTTGGATTTATTTATTTAGTTGAACTAGAATAATTTAATTGCACGTACAAATAGTAGGTATATATTTTATTAAAATGGTATATATTTTATGAAAATTGCAGATATTTCTGAAGGATCTAGAGGTAAAGGATCTAAAGAGAAAGGGCCAAAAGAGAAGATAACTGAAAAAGAAGATGAAGGTATGATATCTGACATTTCCTTAGGATATAATTATGTTACTTTTGTGTGACAAAAGAAAGAAACTATTAGGTATATTATTCACCTTTGCTTTCTAGTAGAGTATCAATATATTAGGAACAGACTTCGATAGTGTCTGTAATTTTTTTCTTTTTTTTTATGCAACTTAGAATGGTAAACAAGCTGACGGCCCACCTGATGGAAAGTGGTAACCGTCGCCTATAGACATGAGCAGTACCATGGACATAACAGAGTATACTGTTTTACCGATGATAACCCTCCATGCGTTGCTATTCCTGAGGACTCAGGTGTTATTCCTCTGTACCCAGTAAATTCACTGCCATATCCTATCCTTCAAACCGAAGTACAGTCATGCAAACACGACACAGGTAGAAATACGAATGGGACAGAGTCGCCCAAGTAAACGACTTTTATACAAAGTCTCCTTCTGGTAAATTATATGGACATAATTCATTTTGCGAATATAACAGTCTCTTTATATTTATCTTGCTTGCTTTACACTAGGTTGCAATATTCTTGGCTTCTCTATTTCCACAACATATAAAGATGACCTTTGTAGTTTGTGAAATTATATTGTTTTTCTAGAAGAGACAGAATCGGAGCAACCTCCCTGCGAGATTACACCTCCGCCAGTCATTACAAAAGACATCTGTGAGATCGAGATGTGTTTCAAAGACTTGGGAGATTCTATCATCAATAATTATCTAACCGCAAGAGACGCATGTGCTTATTATAATAAGGTTTTTTATTTTTCCATAATAAAATTAATTTAAAATGCAGGTTACAGAGGTATAACTTAGATAGGCGTTACAGAGTATATGTATATTTGTGACTTCAGTGTTCAGCCAGTCAGGGCGTTAGCTTGTTTGCTATATTTGCATAGAAAAAGATGTAATAATTATGTAATACCATATGTTTCAACTAATACATGTACCGATTAATTCTGTTTGCTTAATGGTTGATTGGTAGAGAAAGTGTCTCCCGATATTAAGTCTCTGTTATATTTTATACACGTAAGTATATTTAAATATTCGGTAACCCTACTGCAAATCAGCGCTGTGGTGTTGTGAAATGTTACAGCATATACCGAATGAGACCGCATGGAACTCCATTCAGTGTTCACTGAAGTACGCGTAATGTCAATAAATGGTTAATAATTTTTTTTCTATTTTCATTCCTATGTGAAATGTTAAATAAATTATTTTCCATTCTATTCTAGTTATATTGTTCGATAAAGTTTGAATAAAAATTGGTATTTAGTTCAGAATACAATTAATATAAGTTTGTTTTAATTGCAGTTAGTAGAAGAAATAATGGACAACTTTTGTCTGAATTCATTTGTAAACTTGCACGCAGCGATGGCTGAACGAATCGACTTAGTCAACGTGTCTCTTAAAAATATCGATAGTGCAACCCCTAAATTAGGTAAACATATATTTGGAAATGTCTATGTCGTATTTAAAAAGCGCCAATAATATTTGACCGACAAATAGTGATAGATTTTATCATCACCTTTATAGGACGTCAATGCCACGAGAGAGATTACCGAAAACTTAAAAAATTGAAAGTCTTAAAATTTGCACAGGCATCCTTATTATAGAGGTGCTCGTTAGTAAAGTCGTACCCAAACTTTCCATTTCCACGAGTTTTACATTTTGTGTTAACGAAGTATATACCTAATGGGAAGTGAAAGTAGTTCACTAATTCAGTCCAGGTTAAACTAACTACTATTAAGAAAATCAAAACATGAAAGATTATTACATTGATGGGTAAAAAATGGGTTATAAATTTGTAGAAGTAGTTTAAACTTAGAAATTTTAAAAGTTTGTTAATGGCATATATCGTTTAATCACGTAATCACTGGAATTTTTTTTTTGATGGGTGAAAATGGTATGGTAACCCCGCCTGCGCTAACGGAATACGCTGGCGGAGCACCAGTGAAGAGTGATCGATGAGAATGAAAACAGGCCAGTTAGCCCATCATGATGAATTCATCAGGAATTAACCACGATAGTTTCCAGGGAGAACCGCGAGGAGGTTGACCTGGTTGGGTATATTGTTAGCAATGGGATTCTCAGTCTCCATTACTAACAATCCCTTTCCCCCTTAATCATTGAAACTATAGTGACTACAAACATGCAATTTTTAGAAAATACATATTAACTTTCCAATTTAATATAAGAGTATAATGTTTTCAGACGGGCTAATACATTATTTCGAGTGCGGTGTAAAAGCTTCTAGCGAAGCTATGAATAACACGAGGTGCCTTATAAAGGAATATCGAGACAAAATTAAAGCTATGATGATTGAATATAAGTGGCAGAACGACAAGTCTGTAGTATTAGATGCGCAATGGCAAAAGGTAATTATCTGTTTTCCAAAAAAGTGCATATAGTTTTGAAATGTTTATTATCTAACAATGTTCGGATCGAGAATCGAACTCTCCACGAATTTGACCACAAAACCTTGTTACTTATTTTACTCGCAAAAATATAGTTAAATACGTAAATATTGTGTCGTTATTTATTATTCAATTTGTTAATTAATAATCGTATATTTGTCATGTTTATAGGTAGAAGAATTAATGTTAAAGTACACAGAAGAAAACGAGACTTTATTTCCTGGTTTAAAGTATACACAGAAGAAACCTTCGATGCAAGGCGATGCAGACTTACTTCTGTACCATACATATAGATATGTAAGTCATGTGCAAGCAATAAATATGGTCAAATCGAAATAATTAGCTTAAATTATTAAAAACATTTTAAAGCAATGATTAGCATCTTTTTAAAGCGATATTCTATCAGTGGAATTGTTGTCTCTGACTAGTGATTTTTTTGGAATATGTATGATTATATTTCTATTTCACGTAATAAATTATAGTGTAAAGATCACGTCTGTAAAATGCATAGATATGCATCTTTATACTATAATTTATTTAGTGCAAGAAAGCAATAAAAAGAAGCATTCTTTTCCAAAAAAAGATTCACCTGAACCCTTTTTTGGAGAAGAGTGCTTCTTTTTCTATATAGTATGTATTAACAAAAGTGTATTTTTAGTCTCAAAAATTGGAAGAGGAACTGAAAGGAGCTAATACTCGTATGACTGACAGAGTGAATAGAGCTATCGACAGTAAGTGCCTTGACAATATTTTTCAAACTATAAAATTAAAAATATAAAAAAAAAAAAATCTTTTAATCCCACATAGCAAAGAGTGAGTTTAGTAGAATGAATAGGTACTGAATAGGTAGGTTATAGTGTACTGTAATGAATATAAAATTTATTATTGTAGATGTCTTGGTCGAATTCGAAAATGCATAGAAAATTCATCATTGAAAATTAAAAAATATAATATGTCAGTGATTAATAAGATATTTTTTTAATTTTCTAAAATTAAGTCAAGATTGTCGTACATTTGTAGAATTTATCAACGATAATTTATTTGAAGAATTCCGACATTTTTCTTTATTCGAAAATAGAAAGGTTCTGGTTTGAATATTATCAATTAAGACAGATTTAAGCACATTAAAATTTTTATATTTTCCTGCAGCTTTGCCACATTGTGAAAAAGATAAGAAAGCAAGGGAAGCGAATATACAGGCAGAACTTAAGAGAAAGAGAGCTGATTTGGAGAAGGAATATAAAAAAAGAGTAACTCCATCCTTACAATATCTCTCTTTTTTTTCTCAGATATTAAGTATTTTATTTATCATCTTATTGAGAATTATTTTCATGTGGGAATAATTAATTCCTCTAATACTTTGAAAATATATATTCACGAATATTTATTGATACACTTATATGAATGCTTAAATAGTTTATAAAAAATGAATAAAATTAATTATGTCTCATAGTTAATTATTTGTAGAAGTTAATAAAATAAAAATTAATATTTAAAATTTAAGAAATATATTTATATTTTGTTTGGGTGTTTCCAAAAATAAAAATGGTACTGTCGTCATGGGATTGTACATTCAGAGCAGAGTTTGTTCCTCCATAGCATTTTTATGGCTTAACCAATTAGTATTAAATTTGGTATATACGTACTGTATAGGATAGAGAAGGACATAGGCTACTTGGATGACGCTGCGAGTAAAAGCTAGTCTCTTATATTATAGCCAGAAATTGCACTTTGTCTAAGCACAAATTTATTACAGTATGACGATTTAAGAGCTACCAATGACAACACTCTGAAAGAAGCTTTACAGAAACAGCTGGCCAGACACCAAGAAAATGTACAAATAAGACTTATTCAGAAGGAAAATGAAGTAAGTTACTGTGTATTCATTATTTTCGGTAACTAAATTATAATTTCTCGTTCACACATTGTTCTATCAGGATTTTTTAATCAACTGCTGATCATAGACCCTCATTGATCGCCATATAGAAGGGACTTGAGCCACTCACATCTTGATTTCCTGAAATATATATGATGTTATCGTTATATCAAATTAGTTTTATAATAAGTGACAATGGAATGGTAATCTCACCTTCGCTAATAGTATACGTTGGCGGAGTACCAGAGATGATGAGAAAGGTAAGTTTACCTGGAATTAAACTTGATGGTTTCCAGGGGACACTCTGAAAACATTGACCTGACAATGCTAGCAAAGGAAAAATATACAGCTAAAAATAACTTCCCCTATACTGCATTTATCTGTATAGGGACGTTAATCGAAAACCATATTTTTATGGGTTATCTAATAAAAAAACAGTCGGTGAAATAAACTTCAGAAACGGTCTTTTCTAAATTGTCTAATTACAAGTCTGGGTGTTATGGGTTGTTGCTATTTTTGTCTCAAATGTAGTTCATTTTCATATTTCTAATACCATTATTTTTGTAGCTTCAAGTAACAGTCAATTGATGTAATCGTTTGGCGTTATTTTTTTTAGATAAAGGCGAAGTTTAATAAATTGGTAGCAGAAAAAGTGGCGTGTGAAAAGAAAATGTTTGCGAATCAGTTGAAAGAGATGGGTGCCAAACTGAAAATTGTTGAAGATAAACTTAACGGTAGATAGATAGATAGATACTCTTTATTGTTTTTCCAAAAGATTAAAGTAGTAAACTAATTATAGACAGATACAAATAATAACAAGAAAACGATCACACTGAGAAAACAATGGGCGGTCTTATCGTGAAAGTAATCTCTTCCAGGCAACCTTTAGATGGAGAGGATGAAAATTCTGTTATTTTTAAGGACGACACTTTTCATTTATAAAGACAAGGTGACAGTGTATTTGTTGATGCTCATGATGCTGTTTATATCCATTGAGGTTGGTCACGCTTACCATTTTTGTTACTAGGAGTCGTTAACTTGTTAGCACTGTAAAAAGTGTTAGTGGTGGTTAAAGCATGGTTTAGGTTTTTTTTTTATACAACTTAGAACGGCAAACAAGCTGACGGTCCACCTGATGGAAAGTGGTAACCGTCGCCTATAGACATGAGCAGTAACATGGACATAACAAAGTAAACTGTTTCGCCCATGATACCATGCGTTGCCATTCCTGAGGACTCAGGTGTTATTCCTCTGTACCCAGTAAATTCACGCCATATCCCACCCTTCAAACCGAAACACAGCCATGCAAACACAACTGCTTTACGGTTGAAACACGAATGGGACAGAGGCGTTCAATCTTTTCGTTATCTACAGATCGCTTGAAAGCGGAGCGTGAGACTCGCAGATCACAAGAATTATGGACAGCCGGCGCTTCGTTGCTCGCTGCAACAAAAAAGGGCGATTCGATAGTAAAGGTCGATATGGAGTTGAAGGCCATTGAGAAAGCTTCTGGTTAGTATTTCTTCTCGATTGATGCTTTGGTTGAATGGTCATTGTGTTTCTTTGTAAAGTCAGAGGCCGATGTCATTTGCTTCACAACTGTCATTCTAATGCACTTGCAATGAATCGAACGAACATTTATCTACATCTTTAGTATCTTTGACTTTACCTTTACATACAAAGCTATCCATTTATCGTGAGAAGTGTTTCAAATCCGCTGATTTAATATCCTAGAAGAAGAATCTTAGATGTTTGTTACTTAAGTGCTTTTAAACGAGTGAACTATTAAAAATTTACTAAACTGTGGGCTTGTGAGCTCCATCTTAGACCACATCATTGTTTTATATCAGGTGAGCTCGTAAGATCAAGGTCAGTCAGGGGATTTTTTCAATAGTAAAAAAAAAAAAGATTGAAAGGAATTTGGAATGCAGACGGACTTTATACAGGGTTAATAAATAGGATATGCATTTTCTATTTTAGTTCATGTGAGCAAAACCGTTAGAATTACAATTAGCAAGAAATAAACAAATTTGCAGGCGATGGTGACAAATTGGTGCTGACTATTCTGAAGGCTATACCAGATTCTGTGCGCGAGAAAGGAATTGTTCCTGAAAGTGTACTGCGTGAAAAATATCATCTGGTAAATATTCATGCATCTTAAATATTTTATAGAGTGGAAAGTTGAGACAGTGTGCTGACGGATACTTAAATATGTATGAATAGTAGAATTGGATCCTTATTATATATTTAATTTAATTGATATGTTATTTGTGCACTAATGCCAGTAAAGTTCTACGTTTCAACAGATGGAGAAAACTGCTTTGAGGGTAGCCTTAGTGGAGCAGGATGGTGGGGCCCTGCCGATCTTCTTCTTGTCGTGGTTGCAGTCTCTTTTTCTGTTTATGAAGGTTATTTATCTAACTTTACGCTATTTTTTATAGTTAGTTTTTTAGAGTCAAACCGAGCATCAACAACTGCTGTTAATATATCTTATGAAATACTAAAAATGAAGTATGCTTACTATAGTAAAGATGATTGAATAGGTACCTAAGTATTTAAACTGAATTTGATAAAATTTGGCACACAAATAGATAATATTCTGAAATAGACCTAGTATAAACTTTAAACATTGAATAAGTGTAAATAGTGAATGTACCTACATAATTAGATTTTTTGTTACAGCTTTCAGGTATTCCTCAAGTAGAGATTGATAAGCCACCCCAGGAGCCTTTTAAAAATTTGGATACATTTGATTTATTGCAAAGAGCCAGGCAAGTTGGAGAAGTAAAAGTTAATAAATAAATAAATATTGCAATATATGTGAGGGGTTTTAGTGCATGAACACGAAATGGAATGTGTCCCTGTGCTTATAGTTTGATACAAATATCTGGTGGAAAAAAATATATGAATGGGAAAGAATTAACCAGTTGGTTTTCAAGGGGATCCCGTGGAAATTTTTTCTTTTATGTGTGATAATGGAACGGTAACCACGCCTACGTTGTTGATATACTGAATTATGACAAGTGGGGTTGAAATCAGATCAGTGAGCTTATCTTGATGAGTTCACCAGAAATGAATCACGTTAGATTACGGGGATTTCATTGCGGTCGACCTAGGGTATATTGTTAGTACCAGAGGGAGACTTTGTACAAAAGTCGATTGCTTGGGTACCTCTGTCCCATTCGGGTTTCAACCGTAAAGCAGTTATGTTTGTATGGCTGTGTTTCGGTTTGAAGGGTGGGATATGGCGTGAATTTACTGGATACAGAGGAATAACACCTGAGTCCTCAGGAATGGCAACGCATGGGGGGTATCATGGGTGAAACAGTATACTCTGTACTGCTCATGTCTATAGGCGACGGTTACCACTTTTCATCAGGTGGGCCATCAGCTTGTTTGCTATTCTAAGTTGAATAAAAAAAAATAGAACTACAATTTCCATTATTAACAATCCCATTTCATTTTCCCCGTGGAAGTTGATCTGATTGACTGATAGTAACACTGGTTCTTAGTGTCTCAATTACTTCTCACTACCAAATATGAGCATAAATGCGTGAGGAGTATCATTAAGTTATTCCCATCAGATTTTGGATCGAACGCGGTAATTTAGCGGCGGCGCTCCGCTACGTTGCTTCCCTGGAGGGTGCGTCTCGGGCTGCGGCATCTACATGGCATGACGCTGCCAAATCTCATTTGGAGACCAGGCAAGCAGCTGAAGCTGTCCTGGCTCATGCTGCTGCTTTAGGCCTGCAATATATTTAGAGTGTAAATATTTGAATTTACTTGTAACACCAATAAACAAATGAGAAATATGTAGCAAACTTCACATTAATGAATTCGAAAATTGAATTTTGTTTACATTGTTTAACGACTAAATACATATATTTTTTTACGTTACATAAAATATTTTTTATTATAATAACGTCTTTAGGTTAGTTGTCCATACTGCCGAATTTATTTTGATAAACTAATCTGAAATGGTTTAACATTAGGCAATGATAGTTTGAGATCGTGATAAAAAAAGAAATTTAAAAATATTTCAGGATTGTATGGAAGTTGTATCGCAGAATTAAATATTTTTGTTATCTGTGATATGTTAGTATTAATGTATAAAAATACTTTTATGTGGTAGTAATACTGAAGAAACTAAACCTAAAGACCTCTTATTGTAACACAATAATAAATAGGGTGTTCAAATTATTATGGTAATAGTACTACGATTGTATATCTATTAATGATATAATTTTTTCTCAATATTACGTGCTATTAAGATTAACTCTCAAAAAGTTAGACTGACTCATAATGCTGTATAAAAGTTTAATGATTTGATAATGACTAGATGACTAATCTAGAGTCATGTAACTGTAAATAATTTAATACATTAATATTCAAAATTAAAGTGTTCAAGCACGAAATAATTTATGGAAATTATTTAATAAATTTTAAAGTTTTTGAATAAAAATTGAAATTTGGAGAAAATATTTGTATTATTTAAATTGTATATTTTATTTCACATAATATTATTTTACGTAATAAGACGAGTTATGAAATTAAATAATGACAGATCTTAAATTATTTAATAAACGTGTAAGGAATATTTCCTTAGATATTAGGAATAGTTCTTGGCATTTAGTTCCGTCTGCCTACTCCGCGAGTGACTACAAGGGCTGATCCCCCTATTGTATCACATCTCATTAATATTTAATGTATGCATTATTTCTTAAATCGTGCAATAAAGTGTAAAGAAATAAATACATAGATAGTTGGCAAAAAGATAGATGCCTAGTATATATTCTAGTTCAAATTCAATACGAAAATATTAGAAATTGTTCTAGATAATGGATACTATCGCAAACACATTCCAGCGTGTAGTGTGAAATTAACATATGTTGTAAATATTAATTATAATAATGATTATAAATCATCATAAAATTGCATTATTCACGCTACGAGTACTAATTTTTAAAATAGAATTTTAAATTTATATAACATTTGGCAATGATTTACATAACATGGCATTAGATACGTAGAAATTAGAAATTAGATAGTAGAAATTGTTAATGAAATTTATTATTATGTTAATTTACTTAATGTGTATAAAATTTATTTTATGGTTTTAATTTGGTATTTTTTTTTTCGTGTATATGTTACGCAATAACTTTATTGTAAATAGACTTTGATAATTCTGTTTGCAATCGACACAGTAAACTTCTTTTAGTTCAATATTATATTAATCACTATTGCAATATTTGTTTTTTATAGAAATTAGAAAGCAAATTTAATATTTTCAATTTACTTTTTGTATTATAACTGACTACTTTATATTATGACCGATTGTTATGTCTCGATCACTAGTACTCTATATAATTTACATTCACAACAGCGCAGTAGGTAGGAACCTACAAATTAACTCGTTTCAATTCATACAAAAAAAATGTTCTTCACACATCATGAGTTCAGTTAGTAATCATTAATTGTTATTCTTTTAACGCAATTGCCGGTATCGCACATCGATGATCATTGAAGTCAGACTAACTGTTTATTAATATTTACTAAAACAAACTATTTTTTTATATTAACTTTCAGATGTTATACCAGATGTCAACTCGCTGTGAATTATGACAAAAATAATTTAGTAATTAATTTGTTTTTCTTTCGGCAAAAATTTTTTGTTTTATCTGAAATAAATCTGATATAGGTATTTATAAAATATAGATATTTTTATCAATATTTTATAAGTATCTAAATGACTGGTAGATTAGTTAAGATAATTTGTAAATGTATTCCTAATTCTAATTCTTTAACCAACAAAAAACCTAAAAAAGTGACAAATAATGGAAATTGAAGCTTGTTTTTCTGGGTAGTTATAAACGTTTGGATAGCTAAATGTCCCGCCCACCCTATTTGATACGAACGACAAGTCGCCTCGAAGTAGCTAAGATAGGATTGAGAATTAATTCTAAGTCGATGTATGGAGATAATAAGTAAGGATATATGTATGTACCTACATGGAAGATATTTAGCAAGAAATATTAGTAGAAAAATAGAAGGTACTACCATAATTTTTAGAAATTTTGCCTGGCTGTTTGTTTATATGTTTGTTCCGGCATCACACAAAAATTACTACACCAAGTTGAATGCGGTTTTCACTGTATATCTAAAGGTCTAACTTAAAAACAGGTGATTATTTAATTGGATTTTCTACTTCTGTAAACCACGCGTTAGAGATAGTGGGCAAAAAGCTACTAATTAATATTATAGTAAACATAGGTATTGGTTGAAAGAGCCAAAGGTTTGGCAATTATCATTATCAAATCCGTCGTTATTGTTTATTGACTCTTTTTCCATAGACTACATAGACTCCTCCATTGACTACCACAAGGAACGGGATCATCCTTATAAAGGAAGGTGTGGCCCATTTTATGTCAGGCCCATAGATTTGGCAATGCGCATGTGATATTCCTGACAATTCTGGTAGATGGTGGTTATAGGCTACGATAAACGTTTACCATCAAACGAGCTCTGCGTTTCTTTATTATTATTGTTTTAAAAAAAGAGTACACTGGCTTCAAATACTATGAAACAGGAAGATAATGATAATGGCAAGTAAGTATCCCTTATATGTATGAAACAACTCGCCTTGAAAGGAAGAAATACTCTTCATCCGGTATCCAAATCACTGAACCGTAGAGGCGTTCGTTCAGCGTTGAACACGTACACAAATTGTGATAACACACTGCGTGCTAATAACGTGACTATGTATAGTAATACGAGTATAGGCAAGCGACCGTGTATTCACTTAAAAAAATAAACGAGAATTATATTATAGTATCGGCCCTGAACTGTCCACTGCTGAACATAGGCCAACCCCATAAGGGGAATACCATAAAACAGAAGAAGAAAAGCTACAGTTTACTACATAACCTTAACATTGCGTGTGTTTTTTTTTGATAGGTGAAAATGGAATAGTAACCGCGCTTGCGCTAATGGTATACGCTGGCAGGGTACCAGTGAAGGGTGATTGATAAAAATGAAAACAGGCCTGTTAGCCCATCATGATGAATTTATTAGGAATTAACCATGATAGTTTCCAGAGGAAACCGCGTGGAAGTTGACTTCGTTAGGTATATTGCTAGCAATGGGATTCTCAGTTTCCATTACTAACAATCCCTTTCCCCCCTAACATTGTGTGTTAGGTGGGAATGGGATTGTTAATAATGGGGTCTAATTGACCCATTGCTAGAAATGCACCTTATCAGGTCGACCTTCACGCGGTTCCCCTGGAAACCGTCGTGTTTAATTCTGATGGAATTCATCACGATGGGCTAACTGACTTACCTCTTCATCCTCACCTGTCATCCTTCACTGGTGCCACGTCAGTCTATACCAATAGCACTGGCGGGGTTACTATTCCATCATCACCCATTAAAAAAATACTTTGTTATGTCCATAGTATTGTTTATGTCTATAGGCGACGGTTACGACTTTCCATTAGGTAGGCCGTCAGCTTGTTTGCCATTTAAGTTGTATAAAAAAATCGCCCCTCACGTGCTATTCGTCACCTGAAATGGTTTTCATTTATAATAAAGAGTTCGGTTTTGATAAGACGTCGTGTGTTACAAGAAACTAATATCTGGAACAATCATAATATCGATAAAGTTTGTTTCCTAAATCGATTCTTCTGCGAGCTGAACTTAGTACTTAAAACAACGTGCTCATACCACTATAACATGGAGTGCAAATATCCTATCATAATGAAGTAAAATATGTTTGTATGAAGGTTCTAAAAAATGTTTTACTGGAAGATAATATATCATATATTCATCACATCATTTTACAGGCACTGGCGATAAGGGATTTTTTTAAGCAAAGCCGCGGAAAATAATTAGTTTTATTGTTACCTTGTAAACTAAACTCTACTTCTTTTAAGAAGTCGTCTATTTAAAATTAGGCTCAAATATTAAAACTGATTGTTGCAAGATGTGCAGTTATTTAGATAGTCTGGGAGCTAACTAACATGAATATAGTTTTCTGCTTAAAGGACAATTTTTCATTTACTCCTTCTTACCATAATATACTAAGTTTTAGTGTCAATTACATTTCAAATAGACAGAAGTTACAGCATTCAGTAATTTTACTGCTTTCTTATTCATCAATTTGGAATAAAATATGCAAGTATGCATGTATAATGCAGAAATAGGTGAAATAGCGGTACCCATGCAGATGACTGGTAAAGTGGCTCTTGTAATGTAATAATTTATAAGTGGCACACAAGTACTTTAATTAACTCGTTCTTAGCTTGGATAAATTATATTGTAAGAATTCAGACGACAAATATTTGGAACCTTTTCTTAAATTGATCCGACCAAGAATTGAAAATTTAAGATACTACGCAGGTTCACAAAATAAACAATAAATAATTATTATTTAAGACACATAATTACGTTAACAAAATAAAATTATTAAAGAAATACAACTGGACATAGAGCACAGCGCCATCTAGCCTCAAATTGAGCAGATACTAAAATGTATGCATATAGCTGTTAGCTCTTGGTCTAGTCATAGATACTACTATATGAGTAATCCTTACTACGTATTGTTCCCCAATATAAGTCAGCTTTTAATAATGCCCCACGCAGTTCGTTACGCACGGCGTACTATAAAACAAGATCAACAACTTTTAACAGATATTGTGTATAATTTTAATAAATTAATATACATATCATAACAAATATTATTAAAAAATAAACATGTAATTACATATTAAAAAAAACAATAACAATAAAACATGGTGTCCCACAGGGATCAATATTAGGACCAGTGTGCAATAATAGAATTTAAAAAAATGTGATTTAATATCTACTGAAATTTCGAGAAAGGGAAGTGATCAATTTTCTTATTAAAACATTCTACATTATGTGCAATAATTTCCTTGATGTATCAAATTATAAAAGGAAATCTGTAATTAATAATTTCAATGTAATTTCAAAATACATAGTTTTATACACTTATATAATTACATACGTTTGTCTACACTGCAATTAAGTTGATATATATAAAACTTTCTTCGAGTTTAAATTACAAGTTATATTTTTAGTAACATTATTATGAAATTTCAAATATATATTAATATAATTTAGTTCTAATTTTGTATTAATTTAAATTTTATAAGTATACAGGAATTTTTATATCGTGTAAATTAATAATAATTGGAGAAGTTTCATCTAATAATTGTATTGTATGTTTAAAATTGTTAACTCAAGGACTGTTGTATTAGTAAAATGATTGTGCTAATATTGATTTGGACGCTATGTCTGTTATGTGCATATTATCTTTGGAATCAACGCTCCCGGGACACGGATAACGAACCACCGATGTGTCCGGGAGCATTACCCGTGATTGGACATGCCCATCTGCTTATTGGAGACAGCAGTTGTAAGTATTTAATTGATTTATTTAATTTTATGTAATAATGGATTTTCTTTTTTTAATGGGTGCGAATGGAATGGTTGCGAATTCCACAAGGGAGTTTGCCAATAGTTACCTAGGTGGGTTGGCAACTGCAGTTAGGATTTGATGATGGTTTAAGAAGGACATTGCTAGACATCCTTCAACCGTTAAACTCCCTTAGTCGCGGGGTTATATGCGGGGAACACACGATAAGTTTTGGGGTGTACATCCTTTATGGGATCCAGTTAGAAGAGGCATGTTCATCCAATTTGGTAAATAGATAGATACTTTTTATTGTTTCCTCCAAAAGATTACAATAGTAAACTATAATTAGAATATATACAATTACAAGAAATAATCATAGTGAGAAAGCAATTGGCGATCTTATCGCTAAAAGTGATCTCTTCCAGTCATGGAAGAGATCATTTTTAGCGAACCTTTGGATGGAGAGGAGTAATTATAAACAGTTTGATTGGAGGCACAATGAAGATCCTATTATTTTTAAATATGGAGATGTAATACATGTAATAATGTATATCAACATGTAATATATATCAACTCATATTGGTACTCAAGTACTTGAGATAATTTTATGTATAAGATAGATAATTATATTTCAAAATTTAATCTTAGAATTACATATTAATTTTATATTATTAAATGTTTAATCATTTTACCAACATTGGTAGAAAATTAAGGGCCCACTTTTCCATTTACCTAATTTTCTAACAAATTCTTCCCATTTACGGTGAGAGCTCATTTGTGGTTGGGATCCTATTGTAGCTAATGCATAAATGTGGCGCTGTTTGTCATGTATAGGATATGCGGTTTATTGTAATAAAATCTTTTCAGAAACCAGAAATATTTCTGTTTTTGCTTTGCCTTTACATAGTGTTTTATTAATGATGAATATAGATAATCGCTGAGATGATGACGATATGATATCAGCCATTATCTTTTCACTGCTAAACATAGGCATTTCCTTAAATACCACAAGGAACGGTTCTGAGCTACCTGCATAATATTTAATATCTTTTAATTAATTTACATCTTCTGAATGAATAAGTCATTATTTGGAAACATACTTCTCAACGATTTGTATATATAAGCGTTTTTAGAATTTTAAAACTTACATATGTAAATTTAACATTTTCTATATTTTATGATTACTAGATTTATGGCAAGCTATGGTGGATTTGGCAAACAAAAGTTATGCAGCTGGAGGCGTTGTATCAGCTGCCATAGGTCCAAGGACGATTTATGGTAAGTGTAAGAAAAAGTGGTCTACATACCATGGCAATCTTTTAACGTTACATTCTAGGTTTAAGTTTCTTTCCACAAAAGAGAAGAATATAGCCTACCATTCTGGCCAGACAGTTTTGTATAGAATAATTTCGCGATTTCCTTTATTTGCACTGATAAAAAGAACTTTCTTTCCCTTTGCCGAAAAGAAGTGATCAATGTATGTTTATGCTTTAACTACACGGATAGGCTGAACCGTTTGCTTAAAATATTTTACTGAAGGAAGCATGGGTGAGTAAAGGGAATCAAATGTCAATTATCTTCATAGACTCACACCATTTTTGGATACTTCACTCTTTTTCAGATAGTACACAGTTCATTCGATTATATTAGTAATAATAATAGAAAAAGAATATGTGTTATTTAAATAAATTTTATTAAAAGCGTTTTTGAACATTGTTAAAACTTTTTTTAAGAACAAATTGTATTTTAACTATAAGACTAACCCGATAAACTTATATGTATATTAGTCGAGCATTCTCATTAATGCTCGACTAAAAAATAATAATAAGATGGTAGAATCATAAAAATAATAATTAAACAAAAAAATACTGCAGAATTTATATTTCTCATTTTCAGTTGTAACTGATCCGGATGATTTTTTCACGGTAGCCAATACTTGCCTGCAAAAAGATGGATTCTATGACTTTGCCAAACCATGGCTTGGCGAAGGTTTAGTTACGGGGACATGTGAGTACATTTATTTATAATCGTAATTTTTTAAATTTAATTTGTAAATGTTATTTGAATTTATAAACATGTGATAAAATGATGCTATGCACAATTTTTTGGTATGTTTGTATATGAGAATTAAAAAAAAAAAAGATTTTTTATGCCAGTTCTATATGTATGGTAGGTAGAAATAAATCTTTCGAAGTTTAATTGTCCCTTGTGAAGTAAAAGTTAATCTTGGGTAAATGTCTTGATTTGTGGTTTTTAGCGTGCTTCTATAATTGTAATAATGCGTTATAGTTCCAATACTGGACAGGGTTCTCTCTTCTCAATAGGATAAACTTAGCTGATTTAATGTACATACTAAATTTTTATTTTTATTTAGTGTCAATTTGGAGAAATCATCGTAAACTGTTGAATCCGGCCTTCAGCAACACGGTCCTGGATGGTTTCATCGAGGTGTTCAATAGTCAGTCCAGACGGTTGGTGAAAGATCTGTCGGTCGAAGTCGGGAAGGGTTCATTTGATCACTGGACATACACGAGACATAATGCCTTGGAGACTATCTGCTGTTAGTATAGTAATAAGAATTACTACTACTTCTTATGTGAGGGTATTTTGTATGTCTTGATATACTCTATACAAGTGCTTCTAGATTGCTTTCTTTATACCTATATATTTGCACTAGGGGTTTCATCTCGCAGAGCCCATAAAGACTTTGGTGCGGGGTGGGGGCGCAGATATTTATTAAAAAAATGAACATTAGTTTTAAAAATAATATAGTATCTTAACCATAGTCATGGCATAACACGCCGAAGATGGCCGTGGTATAACATAGCATATCTTATAGTATTCTTATACTGCCTATCGTCGGCTCCCTATTATCTGTTTTCTAATATTGAGGTGATATTTTTTATAAATGCTTACGTATACAGTGCGATGACGGAGAAATAGTTTCTTAAGCCTAGATTTTTTTATAATAATCTGTCACTTTTGTGACTGTCATAATAATTAATAATTCATATAACAATAATTTCAGTGACAGCATTAGGTGTGGATTTCACGGATCACAATCTCCTCAACAGCCAATACGTGGTGGCAGCTGAACAAATCTTTAATACCATGGTGGACAGATTCCAGAAATTCTGGTTGCATAGTTCCATAACTTTCCGTTTTAGCGGTGTGAAGAAAAAACAAGATGAGTGTTTGAAAATTTTACACAACATGTCAAATACGGTAAGTATTTTTTTTTTATACTGGCAACCGCAAATAAACTAACCGCCTGCTTGTTGTAAGTGGTAACATGGACGTTTAAAAACAAATATGGTACTTTCCATGTGTTGCCATTGCTGCGGATTGAAACGCTTAATACCTAAGTAATTCCAGGGTTAATATAGTACTGCTGTGTACTATATAATGTAGACTACACTTGGGTGTGTTTTTTCTGCCATAAACCGAAATACAGTCTTGCAAGCAAGCTGTTTAGTGATTTATATTGAAAATCACTAAAAAACTTGCTAAGTGATTTATATTAAAAAGTAAAAGCTTTTATTGTTTTTTAAAAATGCTTTAAAAAACCTTTTTCTTTGGAGGCTACAATAAAATTTATATTTCATTGTGATACCTAAAAAAATCATAAGAGTGAAGGTAATTACAGACAAACTTAAAAAGAAAATATATATTTATTGATTTTATTTTTACTAGTGCAATAAAGAGTAAATAAATAAATAAATATTTCTAGGTACTACAAAGAAGAAAGTCTGAATTCATAGGAAATGTATTACCGGAGAGAAAAACTGGAGGTTCAACACGTAAGTATTTTATTGAAATTTATGAGTTTATCACATACTAGCTTTTATCCATGATTTCGTTCGTGTAATTGGGATATGTTTATCAACTGGGATAAAAGTAGCCTATATGTTTCTCCTTCGCATATAGTACGTATACTAGTACACCAATTTTCATAGTGATTGGTTAAGCCGTTGAAGCGTTATTACTGATTTGTAAATCATTTCAATAATTTTATAAATTACTATGTCTATGAAAAATAACATTTAGTGATTTGTTAGTCTATCGATTTTATCATTTTATATAATTTTTATATAAATATCTATGTATATAAAATAAATTCCATAGATCCATATAATATAATACATTCCCCAGATAATATAATACATTCTAGTACTTGTATATACATAATTACGAGTATATCGGCATAAAATATTACATCAAACAAGAAAAGTGATTTTCTTGCAATTTCAAAGTAATGTTAGCTTGCCCCTACCATTTAGAAGATATAATGGTGTATTCTTGATATCGTATTTTTGCCAAATTTTTTAATGACTATTTACTAAACTATTTATTTATGATAATGATGATTATAAATTATTTAATATACTATTTTTTTATATTCGACTTGGGGGTTTAGATTCCTGAGATCTTTGATCTAGTTAAGGGTCCAGTTACTCATAAATTTTACAGGGTCATACAGGTGTATGCATTTATACATATATAGTTATATTTTTTCATGCGGCTGCCTATTTTCTGTAGTATTTGTTAAGAAAATAAATCATGTATAATATTATTTACAGGTAGCAAATTTAAAGCCTTCATGGATTTGCTGTTAGAATTATCAATCGAGAAGGGAGTACTGAACGATAGAGAGATTAGAGAACACGTGGACACCATGATTGTGGGAGGGCACGACACGTCCGCTAATGTCCTTATGTATACTTTGATATTACTGGGATCACACCCTGCAGCGCAGGATCGGGTTTATGAAGAGTAAGTATGTACAGGCTTTGCTTGCGTGAATTAGTATATAAACTATCCTATATGTTCAGTAAGACTATAACCTACCTGTATACGAAATTTCATTCAAATCGTATATTTATCTAAATATTGTGGAGGGATAAATGGAAAAGAAAAGTCACTTATAAATTTATTTGTAATCTACTCAGATTGCGCGATGTTTTCGGCGATTCGGACAGAGACGTCGAGAAGCACGACCTGTCACAGCTGGTGTATTTGGAGGCGGTACTTAAGGAAAGTATGCGTATACATACAATTGTCCCAATAGTCGCGAGACGATTGGACAGGAATGTTCAGTTAAGTAAGTATAACTTTTTATTGTAGATAGTTGATAAAATTTACTTTTATTATTAATATAATTAAATTATAATTAAGACGATGTTTGTACATGGGAGATATTTAAGGGGGAAAACTGTAAGGCGTCTTAAGAAGAGGTGTAGAAGCTAAAAGAATAATTTTTAGGAATTTTGCTTATGTGATTTTTGGTTCGGCATCAAGCTAAAACTACGGCATAAAATTTGTTGTGGTTTCTTAGTAGTATTTCTGAAGGTCCAACTTAAAACTTTGTTTAAACAATGGCTCATTTGCCATTGTTTAAACAAAGATTCTGTTTTTAAGTATTTATTTCTTAATTTTTAGAGAACTATACGATTTGGCGGCCGGCAGATAACCCAAAAGCTTTCGCTGGCTTTAGCATGGGGAGACGGATGTGTTTTATGTTTTTCTTATATATATATAGATAGAATATCTCCTACATCGACATCCCATTTTGTGATAAATAGTTATGGGATTTCATTATAACTTCTATATTTATTTTGTTTTATAAGATGAGTTCAGTTACATTGTGTGCCTAAGCGTATATGGTTGGACAAGTCCGCTAATGTTGCCAGATAACCCAAACGCTTTCGCTGGCTTTAGCATGGGGAGACGGATGTGTATTGGTATGTTTTATGCTTATATATATATAGATAGAATATCTCCATACAAATGCTTCGAGAAAAGCAGATCAACTTTTTCATACAATTTTGCGTGATAAATAGTTATGAGTGATTTCATTATAACTTCTATATTTATTTTGTTTTATAATTTTCGCATATTTTTAATGCGTAAAAACTCATTTTATTTATTAAATAATTAACTATAAATATGTCAAGTTACATTGTGTGCCTAAGTCCGAGTATATAGAAAACTGTTAAAAAAACAAGTCAGCTAATTTGACAATTAGCTGACAAAAAATTTACCCGTTTTAAAACTCCATATTAACCAACAATCTTTGACTGCCGTTTTGTTCACGCATGCTTTGCGACACGTCATCGAAGTGAAATCACGAAGGCATCTTCAGGAAATTTATTAGATCACCGCTCGGAGCCTAGTATTAACCGTTCGGCACTCAAACTGTGAATATATAATATAAGCTTTTACTCAATATGCAATTTAATTCATATCTGATTTGTTTCAATTGTATTTTATTATTTTTATAGGTAAAACGTACGCTCTAATGTCAATGAAGATAACGCTAGCTCATCTCTTACGGCACTATAAAGTATTTGCTGATGACAGTAAACTCGAATTAAAACTGGATGTTATGTTGAAACCATCGGCGGGACACTGCATCAGTATAGAGCGACGAATGTAAATACGGTTGAGAATGATTCATAATTAAGAATAATGAACCTTTTTCAAGGGTCTTTAAGGAAAATGTATATTCAACGTTAACAGCGTTCATAATCACGGAATATTTACCACGCAACAGGACATTTCATGCTGATCAGCGTCACTTACGAGGGCGTTACGTCTAATCAATGAGGTAGTTGTAAGTTCACAATTGAATTTACTACATTGTACTACAACAGGGTTTCGTAGGGCGATAACAAATTACGCTGAACTGTATTATTCATGTTTATTATATAAGATAATTACACTTTTTTTTGTTATTTTTTTATTATAATGTTCTATAGATTTTGGTGAATGTATTGCTGAATCCGTAAAACTCACCAAAAATATGTATATATATCTTAGATTATATAGATAGTGTCTCCATACAATTGCTTCTTGAAAAACGGGTTAACCTTTTCATACACTTTCGCGTGATAAATAGTTAGGAGTGATTTTTTATAACTTCTATATCTATTTTGTCTTATAATTTCTGCATATTTTTAATGCGTAAACACGTAAAAGTTTTGCCAGTAGTTGCCATATTTGGCAGGCAGGTTGGCAACCGCGGTTGGGTTTTCAGTGATGTTTTAAGAGGGACGCTGCTGCCCATTCCTCGACTATTAAGTTTTTTTAGTCGCTTTTTACGACACCTGTGAGAAAAGAGGGGTAGTTTATTCTATCAATACCACAGGGACCACAGGGTACCTACTATCTATATGTAACTTTATCGTTTTAAAAATAAATCATTGTGATTATTAGAGAGGGTTGAGGTGAAGATAGGAAAACAGGCAGTGAACAGCAGCCGGATACTGTAGAAAGGTAAAATAAACAGTAATAACAAAACAATACGAGTAGAATAGAAAACAAATATAAAAAAAAAAGATCCACATTGTAGACAATTGTTACCTTAATTGTTTTCCTTTTATAAGATTTCTGTAATTTTCAAAGTAAAGGTTCAAATATAATTTGTGGAAGTATTAATTTAGTACATTGTTATTTTATTTTAATATTAATTGTATGTTTTTTTAGTTTTAGTATAATTTAACACTTTCTATGAAATTTGTTTTATTTTTCCTTTTAACATGTAATGTGAGAGGGATTACGATTAGATTTTTAGATTCCAAATCTATATTAAATGCTTATAATTTTTATTCATAGTTTTATTTTTATTATTATTTAACATTGATATTTTATGTTTTGTTTTATTTAAATAGTTACAATATGCTACTGTTTGAGGAACTTAAAATTATGGAATTTAGTGGCCCTCACTGCAAACAATATTAATATACACCTGTTTGGTGGACATTCAAGAGATCTCCCTTGAAATCAATATTTTATTATGATACTTAGTATACAAGCTTACGGTCTACCTCACGGAGAATGGAAACTGTTTCCTATAGATCTGAACTGCATCATGGATATCAAAGAAAACATTCTGTTGCCGAGAAGCCCGTCGGAAAAGGGATGTTTAATTGGGGTCTAAATGTCCCATTGCTAGCTATTGCTGGTAATATACCTTATCATAATCATCGATGATTTCGTTACCGTTGGCCATCAATTGCTTTTATCCTCGCCCATAGTACCCATAAAACGTAGCCATTTATAAGGACTCCTTTTATTTATTTATTTAAACTTTAGTGACCAGTAAAGGCGAACTTAATGTTATTAGCAATCAACTTTTAAGATATGCAGACACTCGATAATGGTTATGATAAATAATAAAATGTTTTAATGTTAGTGTAATATGGTAAATTACATGCATACAAACATAATGATTTCATATATGCATTAAAAATGAACCTACATATAAATATTTACAAATACTATATATTATATACGAGTATATAGTGAGTGAATGATTATGGTGGTATGTTTCCGTGTTATGTAATTTCAATGGTAACAATATCTCATGTTTGAAACTGAAACACAGTCATGCAGGCAAATCTGCTTCACGGTACAAACATGGTGAATTTATTTAATTTTCTACATACTCGTATTTCATCATGTGATTATTTGAGGCTTTATGACTAGTATATCTATGTATAGATAGGTAAATAATTTGTAATGGGGTACTTTGCCGTTGTGGTGAACATAATACTCGACATTCCATTGAATACATTTTTTTGCTTTATCCATTCGTATCTCGTAATATAAAATATATCTCCTTTCATAATCGTCGGTGTCGTAAGAGGCGACTAAGGGAACTTAATGCTCAAGGGATGGGCAGCCGCGTCTTAAAACACCACCAAACCCAAACTGCGGTTGTCAATCTGCCTGCTAAGCGTGGTGACTACTGGTAAAATCATTAGGGTGAGGCCTATGTTCAGCAGGGGACAGCTAACGGCTGATATGATAAATATAAATATGTACATATGGTACCGGAGACTTCTCATATCACAAGATAAACTGTGTCTCTTACACATGTAGGAGATATCCACATGCGTTGGTATTCATAAGGATTATCTTGTATATTATTCTACATTAAAATTTACTGTATCATTTTTATAAAAGGTACAATATATGTAGTGTAAATAAATAATTTCACTACCATATGCAAACTCAAATACAGCTTCAAGTATGTATGCATATTTGCTTCATAGTTGAAATACGATCGAGAATTTTTATGTTTTAGTATTTCCTAAACGATTTTTGTACAAAACCTCCCTCTGGTTAAATAAAATAAATATGTTAAATCACGCAATTAAGTAAATTGTACGTAATGATGTATTTGAAGATAAGCTTGGTCCACATTATACAAAGATTCTACATCATAGCCGATTATAAGAATCTAAAGTTTCTCTTTAGTGTTATGGCAAAGCCCAAATCTGGATATTTGATAAAACTGATTATTAGAGAGTAAATATAGCTAACTATATAAATAAATATAAATTTTTTTAATGGATGATAAAGGACTAATAATCCCGCCTGCGCTACCGGTATACGCTGATGGGACACCAGTGAGGGATAATAGGTGAGAAAGAAAAGGCAGGTCAGCTAGTCCATCGTGATGAATACACATAGAATTTGGCATGCTGGATCCTAGGGGAAACGACGAGGAGGTTCACCTGCTAAGGTAGGTATATTGCTAGCAATGAGACTGGTAGTTCGCATTACTAATAATCATTTTCCCCCGATAAATATCAATTGTCGAATGTATATAAATGCATCACTTCAGAACGGCTGCATTTATATGGACAATTACTTTTTTGTTGTATTTGTAACTGATAGGATAAGGTTTGTACTAAAAAAACTGAATTAACAAGCTGAGAGATTAAGCTAGTATTAAATATATTTTAATTTTTAACCTTTTTCTATTTTTATTTAGTAGTGTCGATCATCATACTTGTATTATAATACTATTAATCAATTTATTAAAAGGCAGACTTAACACTATATGAAGTTATGAAACATGAACAGAAAATATATCTTTTTTATTGCAATATTAGGCTAAAAAAAACACAAGAAACCACTTCTTTTTTTATTTATTTATTATTTCAAGAACTTGAAGCATGAAGGTAGATAATTACATATAACTATTATTTGAATCTAATCACATATACTGTATAGGTTAAAAATAGTACTTGATTTATCTACTATTTATTAGAATAGATAAGGAATAATATTTGCGGACTAGATAGGTGCACGGACTATTTATTGACTTTTTCCTGCTTATTTAATGATGAATTAAAAGTTCGAGTTCTTATTAATTGGTTCTTGATTAATAATTTTACTTTTGATTCATTTTGTAGCTGTTGTATATCAGCGTGAAGTATGACCAGGAGGTTTTGATTATCTGGAAATATAATTTGAAAATTAACATGATGAGTGCTATTTAGTGCATATGTTTTATTTATAACACCGATACACGACGGGTACCTCTTTTTATCAGGTTGGCCGTTCCATAAAAGAAAGTTAACTTGGCCTCTTGTCTATCATAATATTTACAAAGGCATATTGTCAGAAATTATATATATTTTTTTAAATATAATATATCTGGCATTTGATCTTCGGTCAGAACAATTTAGTAGATGCACTTTTTTATAAAATAAAATTATTTCTATTGATATAGTATATCAATAGAAATAATTTTATTTTAGTCAATATTATTAGAAATAATTTACTTAAATTAAATAAATATAATATCATTCCATTGACCATGGATTGTTGAAGACTGGCCAAAATGTTTTTCGATTTTTTTTTTATAAACAGGGGTCCTATTTGGTTATATAAGAATTGGTATGATTTTACAAGAATAAAGGAGACATTTTTTATTGAAATAAAAATATCGTCGTTTTGTCATCGAAATACGGTTATTTTTCAATTTACCGTTGTGTAGCTCGCCAGACAGATAATTGTGAAGCCATATGTAGTTACACCCACCGCTTTCCCAGTTCTGTAAGTACAAATAGATGATTAAAAAGAGAAAAAAGATCTAAGTGTGTATTTAATGACGATATTTATAGTGCAGTGGTCAATGAGTTGCTTTGCACTAACGAGGACTCGGGTTTAATTCGTAGTCGAACTCAATTTTAAAAGGACTCGGCTCTAAATGTACTAGGTTGTAAATCCAGATTTTCATTACCTGGTTTACAACACTTATAAAATAGGGTTAACCTAGCTTAAGGATTAGGCCATTTAGTGTAATTGCTGAAAAAAAAAATAGAGGCGCACTAAACATATTAAAAAAATATGAATCAAATAATCACAAATAATTTTGAGCCTTTTATACTAACAGGTCTTGTCCTGGATAACAGGTCTTTTATGCACTTACTATGTTTGTCGTTTCCAACAATTAAAAAATGATCATTAGTATTAAAAATAATAACGGTGTATCCAGTTAGTACTCTAGGAGATTTTTTAATTTTTTTTGTCATTTTTGAGACGGAAAAATATTCTGTATCTATTGCTGGTAACTTGGCCAGCCTTTTTTATATGCCTTTTATATTTTTTATTTAATATCTGGTTTTACACTTCTGTTCTATGTGGTTTTCTAAATATATGATTTGCTAAGACTGGCCATTTTATTTTTCCTCAAGCATAGTATATACAATGGATTATTCTTTAATATCTTTTAACTTTACTAGTACACAAAAATACGTACCTGAATAGCATGATTTGTATGTTCTTCTTGATTTTCTGAGACGATGTATACCATCCGCAGTTGTACAGTGCTTGGGATAGTCTTTTACTCTGTTAAACAATATTTTAGTACTAACTAAAGACATTGATTTTATGTTGTATTTATTTATTTTTATTGACCCATTACAAAAAAATGTTTTGTACAAAATGCGGACTTAATGCTATATAGCATTCTCGATGAAAAAAAATGGAAAATTGTTGTAGATAAACAGTTGCAGATATTTCTATATTGATTCGCAAATTATACAGGGTGTAAGGGTCGGGTTGGCCATAACGAAAACAGCTGATTCAGATGAATGGTCTGATTTAGATGTCAGATGATTTTTTCTCCGGAAATGCACCACAGCCATATTATTAATGATTCTTAGTTTTGACACCGCGCAATGTATTTGAAATTTTACGACGTATCAAACACCGCGGGATATCTACGAGTACAACGCGCGGTCAACTGTGCTTCTTCGTAGGTAGTTTTACACGCTTGTAGCGTTGACCTTACAGAACTGATTTCGCGCGTCGCGGTAGATTTTAATACGAATTTACATTGCTGTTTTTTGGTATTTCATAATATTTTACTAAAATTTTTTTTTTATATTATGACATGATCTCATATATTTCATGATTTTAAATGAAAAAAGGCGAAAATTTGTAATTGTAGCAAATTTATTAATTTAGCACTTTGTGCGAGAATGAGTAATTTTATATTTGTTGTATGTACCTGCTTTCTCTTAAGCCATATAGATCTAGAATAGAATCTTCTGTCACAGTTTATACAATTTTAAACGACTTTAAAAGGGTAAGTATTTGAAACTTACAGAATCAAGCAACTTTTGTCCAAACCAACATATAAGCCACGTCTGTGAAAGTATAGTCACCATAGCCGTTTTGTACATAAATTCATACCATTTTTCAACGACCTGCAATTAAATGTAAAAACATTAAAATAAAATTAGTTTTATATTAGGTTTTATCATAGATTATGAATAATGACCTTATTTGACTTAGTAGACAGGATTTTATTAGATGCATATTAATTGATAAGTATTAGAAATGTTATTAAAACATGAAAATCAAATTTTAATGATTATTGAGCGATTGAAAAATTTCGAAGCGAGCGGGATTTGAGTTTGTATTAAGTTTGCTAAGTTCCTAATATTTTATTAGCTGGTATTTTCTTTATATACACCACGAAAAAGGTAAACAAGCATACAGCTATCTGACGGTAAATGATCACTGTAGCATATGGATAACTGTAACATTAGAGGTGTCTCGTGCGCGTTGTTAAAAAAAATTAAAACACTTTTTTGAAGAACCCCATACTGTAGTCTCTAGGGAAAACCTCGGCAGGGAGCTCAATCTACAGGCTGAGCGATAGTGTTAGAAACTCCCATGAAAAAGATATGTCTTTTGCGCATTGTAGTATCACAGAGGAATTACCACAGATTATAATTACAGCATGTTGCAAGTGATATCCTCACTAATAATATAAATTCTTTAAGTTACTTTTTAATGAAGTAACCAATCGTTACGATATTTGTTATATACGTACTATATGAGATGGAAAAGGATATAGGCTACTTTTTATTTCAGTTACACGGATGAAGACGCGAGTAAAGGTCAGTCTGATATATTGTCAATTTTTACTCCAAACGAACAGTACCTACTGTGTGAGATTTCTTGAGTCGAAATCGATCTGGTAATCACAATTAATACTTTATCGTAATCTAATGTTATATTGAATCCATAGATTATTAATTTACGTATAGTTTAAATATTTTTCGAATGGTTTCAGTATATACTCAGTCATATTGTACAAATACAGTTGTAGAGCAATTATAGTAGTCATAAAAATATTTATGATTAAAAATAAATAATCAGGGTAAAAGTCAGACTCGTGTACTTTCCATTGCACATGTACTGATACCTACAAACTGTACCCCACTTCCCCTCGCTCAAATAGGGTTGTCACCAAATATTCCTTTTATAAATTACTTTGTCATAATGCAATGTAATTAGTTTTTATATTGAAAAAGCGAAAGTGTTAAGTTATATTGTATGTAAAAGTTATATTGAAAAAAAAATAAGTAGCGATCTCATACAGACAAACGTAGTGTATCAGTATAGTAAAAAATATCTGTGGTACTTACGACTATGACGAAACTAAGGAAGCATATTATTACAGAGCTATTGATAAAATTGATGAGCAGTGAGAAACTAAATAGACTCTCCACATCTGCACACAATCTGAAGATAATAAATAAACAAACATATGAGAATATAAGCAGTAAATAAGTATTATAGTTTTTTTTTACAGGTGTTAATGTTATGGTAACCCTAGCTACTATTTTACTGTTACCACTCGAGAACTATTGGTCACTCGAGAGATATTGGCCAAAGTGTTGACAGAATATTAATAGTACATGATAAGTTTTTTTAATGGATGATAATGGAATGGTAACCCCATTTGCGTTATCGGTATACATCGGCGGGGCACCATTAGAAGATGATAGGTGAGAATAAATGCAGGTCAGTTGGCCCACCATGACGAATTCAACGAGAATTAACCATGATGATTTCCAAGGGGAACCGCGTGGAGGTCGACCTGAGTGGGTATATTGCTAGCTATGGGGCTATTAGACCTCATTACTAACAATCTCTTTCCCCCTACACGATAGGATAGGTTCTCTATTGTTAAAATCTATCTCTTACCGAATTAAAGTACGGTGTCGCAGAATTATGTCCAATAACTCTTTTTGATGGACATCTTCTCGTATTTCTTCGTTTTGCATTTCAGTTGATGCAACTTGATCATTTCTTTTGTGTTTATTATGGATTGCTATTTATCAAAATTGTTAATAATATTATAAGTTATTATACATTAAATTTGTTCTAACTTAATTTCTGTCTGGGAATTACCCTCGATCAATGCAATATAATAGATTTTGCAGTTAAGATCAGTATTTAATAGAAAGTGATAACTGTTGCTTATAGACATAATACTTTGATGCGATGTCGTTCTTTAAGAATAAGATGTTATGCATTTACAGGGTACGTAACCCTGTAATTTCACTGTCACATCCTATACTTATCGCCATGTGAATCCGGCATAGAATTGGTCATCTCTTCCTTTTTCGTGGGTGTCATAAGAGTCGACTAAGGGAAGGCGAGGGATGGCAGCAGCGTCCCTCTTAAAACGTCTTTAAAAGCCTAACTGCGGTTGCCAACCCACCTACCAAGCGTGGCAACTAGTGGCAAAACTCTCCTTATGGGGAAGGCTTATGTTCAGCGGTGGACAGTTAATGGCTGAAATAAAAATAATAATGTTTCGGTTTTAAGAGTGTAAAACCGAAACATAGCGTGTAAGCACAGCTGCTGGCAGAAACACGAGTAGGACAGATGTATTGAGTGGAGAAAGGGATTATTAGTATGGGGAACTAGCGACCCTATTATTAACGTGTGTAGTAGTTTTTGCGTGATATTGGAACAAACTTACAGACAGACAATTTTTTTTTATTTCATAGTTTTTGGCTGTCCCTCATATACATTTTTCTTAAATATCTCCTATCTACAGACATCGTCAAGTTACGATTTTATTATATTAGTAATATGTTCAAAATTCGAAATTCAAAAAAATTCAAAAATCATTTATTCATGTAGGACATTTTAGCCGCTTATGAACGTCAAATTTTTACATTATAATTTTATATTTACCCTACCGTCCAGTTCGGTATATAGATCCAATTGAGAAGAACTGGCAAGAAACTCAATTGAATTACTTTTTTTTTAAAGCCAGTTTATTTACAATGTATATTTATATAGGTGTCTATGTCTAACATTAAATGAAAATTCAGTGCATGAACAACTATTGCCATGCACACTCGTCATTCAAGTAATCGTTTAGTGAGTAATAGGCTTTGCTCAGTAAATATGATTTAACAGATGTTTTGAATTTATTTAAGGGTAATTCCATATCCTTTGGTATCTTATTGTAAATTTTTATGCCTATTCCCATAAAAGACCTATTAACTTTTTCTAAACGATACTTGGGGACAGCAAGTTTGTCTTTAAATCTAGTATTAACATTATGAATATTGCTGTTTTTTGGAAATAAGTCAAGATTTTTATGAACATATAGAATATTTGAATATATAAATTGAGAAGCAACGGTGAGAATATTTGCCTCTTTGAATTTCTCTCTTAATGAGTCACGACTCTTCATACAGTAGATCGCTCGAACGGCACGTTTTTGTAATATGAATATATTCTTAATATCTGCCGCTTTTCCCCATAGTAATATTCCATAAGAGAGTAAACTATGAAAATAACTAAAATAGACTAATCTAGCAGTATCAGTATCAGTGTACTGTCTAACTTTAAGCACGGCAAAAGCTGCTGAACTTAGTTTCGCTGCAAGGCTTTGAATTTGTGCACCCCATTGTGTTTTATTATCTAGTGTGATTCCTAGAAAGACAGTAGATTCTATAAATTCGAGAGATTCGTCATTTAATTTAATATTGCAATTAGTATTAAAACTTTTAGATAGAGAAATTAACACATTTTGTTTTTTTAGCGTTTAACATAAGATTGTTAGTTGTAAACCAGTGCAGGAGACGCCGCAAAGCACTATTTACATCGTCATAATTATTAGTCATTCTATTAACTTTAAAAATCAATGAAGTATCGTCTGCAAACAATACTATGCCGCATCTATCCTGCATGGCATATGGGAGATCATTAATGTAAACTAGGAATAAAAATGGACCGAGAATAGATCCTTGAGGTACACCCATTTGTACAAGTGACCCGTCAGACGTAGCGTTGCTAATCTTCACTTTCTGTATTCTATCAGATAGATAAGATTTTATTAAATTTAAAGCATTGTCTTTGACGCCATAAAAAGCAAGTTTTTTTAGCAATGTATTATGATCAACGCAATCAAAAGCCTTAGAAAGGTCACAAAAAACACCTATCACATCCATTTTAGTTTCCCATGCAGCAAATACGTGTCTAAGCAACTCTGCACCTGCGTCTGTAGTTGAACGACCTTTGGAAAAACCGAATTGACTATTGTGGATTAAATTATTTAAATTGAAATAACTGACAAGTTGCATAAGGATTATTTTTTCAAAAATTTTACTGAGTGCTGGGAGTATGGATATAGGTCTATAATTTATTGGGTCACTCCTATCTCCAGATTTAAAAAGCGGTATGATTTTACTAATTTTCATTATGTTAGGAAATTTACCTTCATCTATACATTTATTGAAAATAAAAGCAAGAGAGGGCGCAATAATTTCCATTATACTATCCAGTATTTTAACAGATATACCCCATAGATCCTCTGTTTTTTTATTATTAAGTTGTTTGAATATTTTCATTATTTCTACTGATGATGTATGTCTAAAGTTAAATACAGCTGATGACTTGCTAACATTGTCTGTTAGTAAAGTTTCAGCAGCAGACGGGGAAGATTTTAGAGCCTGTGTCGTAATTAATGGAATATTAGTAAAATAAGATTCGAATGTATGCGCGACCTCTGTGTCGGAATTTACCAATTTGTTATTAATATTTAAAGCTATTTTGCTATTTTGAAAATTAACTTTTCCAGTTTCGCTATTTATTACTTTCCAAGTGGCTTTTATTTTATCTTTAGATTTAGTTATTATTTTACCTAAATAGAGAGACTTAGCTGTATGACAAACCTTTTTAAATATTTTCGAATAAGATTTTACATGTTCATGAAATAAGGGATCGGATATATAGCTTCGTTTTTCGTAAAGTTCGTAAAGATTAGCCTTAGACTTATAAATACCAAACGTGGCCCAGTCACAAAACTTTGATTTTACACTAGTTGAAAATGTTTTTGTTTTAAATTCGCTGCTAGCTTCATGTTCAATTAAATTAAAAATATGTTCACATACAATGTCCGGGTCATATTGAGGTACTATGACACTAGATATTTTATGTTCAATTTTATTTTTAATTTTTATTTTTTATTTTTAAGTGTTACGTAATGTCTTCGCCAAATTTAAACCGATTTTGATAATTAATTCTGTAATCGATAAAATTTACTTCTATAATGGTCCCGTATTCATTTTGTTAAGATTAAAGTTTTTTTTTATACAACTTAGAATAACAAATAAGCTGACAGCCCACCTGATGGAAAGTGGTAACCGTCGCCTATAGACTTGAGCAGTACCATGGACATAACAGAGTATACTGTTTCGCCCATGATACCCCCCATGCGTTGCCATTCCTGAGGACTTAGGTGTTATTCCTTTGTATCCTGTAAATTCACGCCATATCCCACCCTTCAAACCGAAATACAGCCATGAAAACACAACTGCTTTACGGTTGAAACACGAATGGAACAGAGGTACACAAGCAAACGACTTTTGTACAAAGTCTTCCTTTGGTAAATTTGTAATTTATTTCTACTATTTTTTTTTTTTTTTTTTTTTTTTTGATGGGTGAAAATGGTATGGTAACCCCGCCTGCGCTAACGGGATACACTGGCGGAGCACCAGTGAAGGGTGATCGATGAGGATGAAAACAGGCCAGTTAGCCCATCATGATGAATTCATCAGGAATTAATCATGATAGTTTCCAGGGGGAACCGCGAGGAGGTCGACCTGGTTGGGTATATTGCTAGCAATGGGATTCTCAGTCTCCATTACTAACAATACCTTCCCCCCTATTTCTACTATTTAAACTAGTCGACTGAATAAATTAAAATTAAATTGTATTGCATTCCTTAATATTTTAATTAATGTTATTTTATTATTATATAATTTCGTAACGTATAAATGCTACAAAAAATTTTAAAATTAAATCATTGTAATTTTTATTTTTAATATTTGCACGCTTGACCTAAGTAGATTTTGTAAGGTACTTTTAATTTATAAGATCAAATGTTTTATACCCAAAATCATTGCAAATAAAGTTATTATTATTATTATTATAAACTATATTTGTTTTAATTTTTTTATACCACGAAGGTGACAAATAAGCATGCGGGTTGCATGATAAACGGTCACTGTAGCTTATGGACATCTGCAACATTAGGGGTGTCACATGCGCGACTCTGAAAAAGTCTCAATATACCTTTTTTGAAGAATCTGGTCTCTAGAGAATGTTTAATAGCAAAATATCCTTATTTGACTATTACAACATTAAACTTTAGTGTTGTAATAGTCAAATTTTGTTGTTATATTGACTCTAATGTGGGTTAAAAGTTGAAAGTAATATAAAATTTAATACATACCAAGTGGATAAATGTTTATTAGCTGTTGATCTGTTGGAACAAAGATAAGTTTTTCAATTCTAAGCGACATCAAATCAAATTGTGTAGTGATGTGACTTACAAAAATGAAGAACAATAAATCACCGCTTACAATGCCCATGATTGACAGTATTGCTGAAAATAATGTGAATTTAAACATTTATTTATAAATTACATACTTCATCATCATCATTTCAGTTGTTAATTATCTATTACTATCTATGTAATAGTGCGCTATGTAGCCTTTTTCTTTTTCTCATTAATCCTCTTCCCAAAGTTTGTCTGGAAGAGATTGCTTAACCATAAGGCCGCCTTTTGTATCATTTTTCATTAATATTTACTGTATATATATATATATATATATATATATATATATATATATATATATATATATATATATATATATATATATATATATATATATATATATAGTCTCCATAGACGGCAACGGTTCCAAGCCACCTGCATTCATTGACTACCTGCCTGGAGGTCGTTACTCCATCCAGTGGGGTGATCATTCAAAATTACGTTTGCTTGTACAGAGTCGACACTCAAAAATCTGTTTTCCCCATCAGTTGCCGGTTCCTCGAGCTAAGTGACCTATTGGCATTTCAGTTTTTTTTATACAACTTAGAATGGCAAACAAGCTGATGGTCCACCTGATGGAAAGTGGTAACCGTCGATTATAGACATGAGCAGTACCATGGACATAACAGAGTATACTGTTTCGCCCATGATACATTTTTCACGACTAACTTACCGTTATTTAAGAAGAAGAATTTAAATTGAAGGAGAATAAAAGAGAGCGTGAACATGGCACTAACGAAAAAGTGAACATGAACGAACGCGAATTATATATTTATATATATTTTATTCATTAGTACATATATATGTGTACAAGGCGGACTTAATGCTAAAAACATTATCTTCCAGTCAAACTTAGGGAAGTGTCAGAGTACACGAATACGGTACTAGAAATAATTGATATACATACATATTAAAATTTATAAACGAATAAATATACATAAAACTTATGGTGGAGGGATGGGTAGCAGCGTCCCTCTTAAAACATGTCTAAAAGCCTAATTGCGGTTGCCAACCCGCCTGTCAAGCGTGGCAACTACTAACTTCCCTTATGGGGAAGGCTTATGTTCAGCAGTGGACAGTTAACGGTTGAAATAATTTATTTATTTATTATTTGTTTAATAAATGTATATAAATAACAAATATACTTATACATATATAAGATATACTATATTGTATATAAATTACTTACTATGCCACGATTGAATTATTATCAGCACTTCAAATACATAAGGTTGCAGTGGGTCGAAAGGGAGCCAGTACAAGTATGCTAGTATTTTGGGCACATCTTGACCAAAAGCAATTTGTATTATGGCAGTGTAACATGGCAGCATGCAACCGATGATCAAAGCGTAGTTGCACCAGTAAAATCCTGAAATTTCTATTTATTTTAGTTATATTACTTATGTGTTCGATTTGTTTGAGCGTATCTTGTTATTATCACAAAGTATAGTATTTATTCACACTATTTTGCGCCATCTATTGTGAAGTAAAGTTAATATTTTACTAGAAAGTTGGTCGTTTGAAAAAAAATATTTTGGTTATTTTGGAGATTTTTTTTATATAGACTTTAATTTAAATGTGTGTTATATTATGGTTACTATATTGTAAGAAATTTTGTTACAACTACACTGCTTGCTATGTTTATGTGAAATGTTAATCCAAATACATACAAATCAACAAACGTACAAACAGAAAAACACTTAGACGCGACATTTAAAGCGATATCGATAATTTTATCGCTAGATACAAATACAAACTTGTTGTTTCCAAGTATCATTTAGAAAAAGTTAATAAGGTATTTTATGCGAATTTTTCTGAATCCTGCAGTAGATTTTAAACAATGACAATTTAAAAGTGTTTATAAACAATTCGATTTGTATAACGATGACTTGATTTGATTTGAAACTATAATATTTTCTTATTATCAAGTTCAAAGAAAAAGAAAATGACGATTTAAAAATGTTTGTAAATAAGTCAATTTGAGTAAAGATGGTTTGAAACTATTTTCTTGTTTTTAAAATCGTGATAAAAGTTTATTGTAACAAGCGGAGTCACGAGCATAACTAGTCTTGTATGAGCAATATAAAAGTATACCTGTAGTAACAAAATTCAGCTGTTTTAGTGCCTTGCTAATTATAACATGTTCATCTTCTGTTACTTTACCCTGGGGCCACATATTGCGTAATTCATTAATCAAATTCTCATACATTGACTCGTAATAACATATCTTGTAAGACTTCAGTATCGCTACAATAATTAAGTATTTAATACATATTAATAACAACTAGATACAGTTCTATAATAGAGTTTCACAAACTCTTCTCTTCACAAACCTTTTGCCAAAAACAACTCAACTATTTTATTCTTGTGCTAGCTTTGTATCCTAGATCTTCCATAGACATGCACGATTTGGGAGAAGGGATTGTTAGTATGCGGATATCAGTCCCATTGAAAACAATATACTCTATCAGGTTGACCTCCACGTGGTCCCCCCTGGAAACCATCGTGTTGAATTCCAAGTGTATTCGTCACGATCGGCTAACTGATCTGCTTTTTCAGTCTCACCTGTCGGGGTGAAGGGATTGTTAGCAATGGAGTTTGACAGCCCCATTGCTAGCAATATGCCCTATCAGGTTGACCTCCACGTGGTCCCCCCTGGAAACCATCGTGTTGAATTGCAAGTGTATTCGTCACGATCGGCTAACTGACCCGTTTTTTCAGTCCCACCTATCGGGGGAAGGGATTGTTAGCAATGGAGTTTGACAGCCCCATTGCTAGCAATATGTCCTATCAGGTCAACCTCCACGTGGTTCCCCTTGGAAACCATCGTGAACAGTTCTCGTTGAATTCGTCAGGATGGGCTAACTAACCTATTTTATCCTCATCTGTCATCCTTCACTGGTGCCTTGCCGTTGTATACCGATAGCGCGGGCGAGGTGATCATTCCATTATCATTTATAAAATATAAAACATATAGGATTTGTTAATGTGTATGATTAAAGACACCAAAATATTATAGATATTATTTGCCAACACCCAAAATAGTAAATTTCTGTTTTGTTTGAAAAATATTTTAATTTATGAACTCTCTAAAGCAACATCAATTCTGGCTAAAATCTAATGCTGGTTGTAACTGAATTATTACATTTTAACATCATCGTCATGTCAGCCATAAACTGTCCACTGACGAACATAGGTCTCCCCTTAAGGGAGATTTTGCTAATAGTTGCCACGCTTGGCAAGCAGGTTGGTCAGTTGATATCTTTGTAAAATAAAAAAAAAAACTTACCTGAAATTAGATAACCCATACACGGTATCATCCCGAGACTCGCAATGATATCTTCAAAAGACCCTCCCGTAACAGTTCTGATTAGTTCTATGATTTCTAATATAACAGCTCCTAGAAGATTTGCAAATTCGAACCAGTAAAACACTTGAAACCAAAATCTGGAAGAAAATAATATAGCTAGAAGTAATTAATCTGAAAAGAACAACTTATATTTGAAGTAGGTTGAAATTGCTTTAGTTTAGTCACATAATTTTATAACAATATTATGTTATTTCTTAGACTTTATTATCTAATTAATTCATTTATTTATTACCTTACTATTAACGTACTATCTGAAAATACATTCTTTCAGATAGAAAAATATTTTCTTTATTGGTTTATAAATAACGGAGTTTTAGGGTAATAAAGTTTTTTAAGTCAGCCCAAAATATTAAGTTTCGCTGGTAGAATATTATCATAGGATGCTGACAATATCAATGAATATCATTGTATATAATACAATACAATTAATATGTATATATATATATAGGCTTGATCCACTGCTGTCTCTTATATAAATATATAAAGAATAGAATGTGTACCAACTTGACTCTATCGGAGTCGTTGCGTGTTAGCCGTAGTCCCAAAATCCACAATACCTTCTTTATTTTCACAAATGTTTCATCATAATCATTCAAACTGTATATCTGAAAAGTATTAGAAAAAGTACAGGGGTTTTTTATGGTTAGACATGAGCAGTACCATAGACATAACAGAGTATACTGTTTCGCCCATGATACCCCCATGCGTTGCCTTTCCTGAGGACTCAGGTGTTATTTCTCTGTACCCTGTAAATTCACGCTATATCCCACCCTTCAAACCGAAACACAGCCATGCAAACACAACTGCTTCACGGTTAAAACACGAATGGGACAGAGGTACCCAAGCAATCGACTTTTGTACAAAGTCTCCCTCTGGTAAAAAAAGTTTATACACTTTCTTTATGCTGATAATAAACACTAATAAACCGAAAGGGATTATTAGTAATGGGTTCTATTTGACCCATTGCTAGCAATACACCCTATCAGGTCGACCTGCACGGGATTCCCCCTAGAAACCATTGTGGCAATTTTAGTAGAATTCGTGATGGCCTAACTGATCTGCCTTTGCATCCTCACTTATCATTCCCTCACTGGTGTCCTGCCAGCGTATCCCGATAGCGCAGGCAGGGTTACAATTTCATTATTACCCATTAAAAAAAAAACAGATAAAATTATGCCAGTGACGGTGGTCGGTTCATCCTCTGCCATATTGGATTAGGTATATTATGTTTAGCGAAATATGGATATATCGGGTATTATTTTCACCATATCGGCAACAGCAGATGATATCTTTGACTACTCTATTAAAAATTATAGTTGTAAGCAATTTTTTTTTGTTATATATTTCTAATAATAATTATACCAACTCGTTCTTCAGTAGTTTCTGTTCCTACACTTTCATTTTTCTTTAACAATTTTTTTTTAAAAGACGCCATTATTGTACGTCGGTGAAATTAAAAATATGAGTAGCAACACACGCTTGGTCTTATATTTAAAGATTAGTTCGAAAATCATAGTGTAGTGTGTAATTATATATTGTGGTACATTATTAGCTTTTCTTTTAAATACTAAGCAGGTCAACGTGATATATAATTAATCACAGATAATATATGAGAGGTGTATAATCAATGAACATGTGCAGATATTCCCTTATTACGCTTTTTAGGGTTCTAGAATTTTATTTAAATAGAGTTTTAGTCTAAAGGTTTTAGCCTTACTGGTGTCATCATATAGAAAGAAAAGAAAGAAAGAAAACATTTATTGACAACAACAAAAAGTTACATAAATTATGAATTAAAAAAAACTTATGAATTAAAAAAAAAAAACTAAGATCATCATATCATATCAGCCTTTAACTGTACGCTGCTGAACATAAGCCTTTTCATTTGGGGGGTTTGCTAGTAGTTGCCTCGCTTGGCAGGCAGATTTAGCAACCGAAGTTAGGCTTTGGACATGTTTTAATAGGGAAGCTGCTGCCCATCCCTCACCCTCTCTTAGTTGCCTCTTACGACATCTACGGGAAAGGAAAGAGTGGCCTTTTCTAAAGGACCACACGGCTTAACTAACTAACTGGTGTAGTTGAGGAAAATTTTTGATGATGCCCTAAAAACAGCATTGAGCAACTTGTCCTGCTGTTCAGTTAAAACCAATATCAAATTTGATGCGACCCTTTTTTATACGTGGCTTTTGATCCTCTTTACAAATGAATCACGAACGCCTAGCTCCCTTCCTCCAGTAACTATCAGTAATGAAAAGGTTAATTCTTCATTACCAGCAACATGCTGTCAGATGGATTTCCACGCGGTTCCCCCATGTAAACCGTCGTGGTAATCCATAGTAAATTTGCCACGAAGGGATAACTGACTTAATATTATTTTTCATTAGGGCGTCGCCATTGTATACTATATTTTAATCGAAGATAAGAAACATCTCCGTCCCCTATCCTCTGAACCTGTAAAAATTCTCAGCTAGTATTAAATGAGTACCGGGGGATAATGACATCCAAAGCGCTAGATCTCCCCAAGTACAATACTGGTCGTGATGAACAGTCAACTACGGGTACCTATACCAGGAGCCAAGTAGAAGGGTTTATAAGTAGTCACACGTGATCCCAAACACAAAGGGTCTTCGCTGTTCGCCGGAACTGAGTCGTCTCCAGCTAGGTCAAGTCCCGGACACTGCTGCCACTAGCAGCATTCGCCTGAGCCTCGTTCAGACAGAGGTGCAGTAAACGTGCCCGACTTTCACGTCCAGCGCTCGGCTCCATGTACCTCGACCGACCTCCAAGATCGCCAGACGGTAATGAACACTCGCATGGCGACTTAACTTTAAGCCCGCATCCTATGGATATCTACTTAACATTGACTAACGGCTAGCGTTTTACACGGACCCTTGTCTGGCGTGGACTCCTAGCGAACATCCTACATCGATAAATGCCCAGCTTGGACTGACTCGCTGACATACTATGATATTATGGTTCCTACTGGAATTTACTAGTTTATAATATGTTGGGATTTCTCAGAAACTTTGATATTATATATATATATATATATATATATATATATATATATATATATATATATATATATATATATATATTTACGAGGGTAAGGTGAAAAGTACCCCGTAATCGTACAATTTTTATGTGCGCACGATATTTAAATTTATATATGTATTTTAATGAAAAATATGCATGATGTACCATGATGTAGTACTGCAAAAATTCGTGTACATAAACTATTTGACAGCAACTTTAAACTTGTCATACTAACTAATGAAATCTAGGCAAGAAAAATAAATTTTACTAATAAGAATGCCATTTCTGTATCAGGGCGAGAATTTTTCACCTTACCCTTGAATATATATTAAAAACCGGTATAAAAATACTAAAATGGGACACGGTATGTTATTTCCTAACTTAGCATACAGGATATTTTATGTATGATTTTACAGTATAGAGCAAGTATATTGTAAGTATATGTAATGCTTTATTCATGAATACTGGGTGCCATACAATATAGATTTACTACGTCACTATACTACTTTTAATAATGTAACTGCTACATAAATTATCTCTATAGAACTATTTGTGTGAAATTTATTGCTTGTAGGTTTGTACTAGCAGAGTGAAGTACGACCACGACGTCTTAATGATCTGAAAAAAAGTTTTAAATTTAATTATGTGGTTGTGTGCGTTTCGCTCTAGTCTCAACATGTGTTATCTTTTAAACGGGGATTAAAAATTTGGGAATAAATATGAAGAAATTTTTAAAATTTCTTCATGTAACATCGAATGCCTAAACAAGCTGACGGCCTACCTGATGGAAAATAACCGATGCTTAGACATGAACACCACCACAGATACCAAACTAATAACTAAAACATACTGTGACGCTCCTGGTTAATCCCCTTTACATTGCCATTCTTGAATCATCATCATATTAGCTTATAACTATCCACTGTCGAACATAGGCTTCCCTCTATTAAGGGATAATGTCAGTAGTTGCCACTCTTGGCAGGTAGGTTGGCATTCATAGTTAGGTTTTGTTCCTAGACCATTAAGTTCCCTTAGTACCCTTAGGAAGCGGTGACCCATTCTATGCCTGGGCCATAGTGCATTCTTAAATACTAAGATGTATTTAATAATTTGTACATTTGTAAAAATAAGATAATTCGGCCCGGTAGACATTGTTTTAAGCCATTACCGTCACCTATCAGATCCATTTTTTCATATCATGACAACTTAAAACAAAGTTGATCTAACAAAATTTCATTAAAATTAGTTGAGCAGTTTCGGAGATTAAAGTGAACTTTAGTATAACGAGATACGAGACTTACATATTAAGATATTATAAAAAAATATAATTACCGCTGTGTAGCTAGCTAAGCAGATTTTAGTGAATCCATATGTAGTCACACATACATCTCTTTGAGATCTGTAATTGAAATAATATAGTATTTATCAATGGGAGGAAGTATCCAGTCGATGCGTGCATTATGTAATTGCAAAGTTTAAAGCAAAACATCAATAAACTGTTAATAAAATTGAATGGAAATGTAATAATTTTCTGTCAGATTTTATCTATAAGGGGTTTCTCAAAAGGGCGTATTAAGATTTCTTCCAAATTGGCAACGTGCACGTGACACTCCTGGGTGCCACAGTGCCATACTTGTTTGCCACCTTTGTGGTTTAAAAACATGTATTTTCAACATAATTGTCTTTTTCATACTGGTGGTTTCTTATACTGGTGGTAGTGGTATTTTTTTATACAATTTAGAATGGCAAACAAGCTGACGGCCCACCTAATGAAAAGTGGTAACTGTCGCCTATAGACATGAGCAGTACCATGGACATAACAGAGTATACTGTTTCGCCCATGATATCCTCCATGCGTTGCCATTCCTGAGGACTCAGGTGTTATTCCTCTGTACCCAGTAAATTCACGCCATATCCCACCCGTCAAACCGAAACACAGCCATGCAAACACAACTGCTTTACGGTTGAAACACGAATGGGACAGAGGTACCCAAGCAATCGACTTTTGTACAAAGTCTCTCTCTGGTATTGGTATAAGTGGTAACTGTCACGTATAGACATAAACAGATATACAGTGTATTGCCTTATTGCAATCCTCATGTATTGTCCTTTATGAGAATTAATTTGTAAGATGATCAAACCTACACTCACCTATGAATCATTATATGTATATTCTTCTTGATTTTCTGAGATGTCCAATACCAACCACAGCTGTATAATGACTGGGATAGTCTCTCACCCTGTATATAAATGAATTAACAATTTAATATATATATATACAAATGAATTTTAAAAATCCAACCCCTAAAAACGAGGGTTCAAAGTTTGTATGGAATTTAGAAATTAGACTCATGGTTCAAAACAAAATTCACACGCAAGCAAAGTCGCGGGCAAAAGCTAGTATTAAATAATGATTTTCTGATACAATGTATTAATGAAGGCAGGTTAGTTTTAATAGCTTATTTGGTCTTGACAATGGCTCATAATTTTGTTGTAGGTATTTATAGACGTATATTATAATTTTTATAACTTGATAATGATTAAGTGAACTTAATGGTCGAGGAATGGGCAGCAGCGTTCCTCTTAAAAAATATCACCAAAGCCTAACTGCCGTCGCTAACCCGCTTGCCAAGTATGGCAAAAACCTTGACTGACTAAACCTACTAAAAAAACCCTCAATTACAAAGGCATTATGTAGAAGTATTATATATACGTTAAAGTATCATAAGTCTGATCAATAATGTAATAATTATTAAAAACAAGCTAATGCAATCCGCCATCTTGTGGCTACAGCAATTATAAAATAATGTTATTTACTTTATTTCTATATACTTGTCATGCTTTTTCCTTTGACACTCATATTAACAGGGTTGGCAAAACATACCTACACTAATATAAATATAATAATATACTCGTATTGAAGTATTTTTATTAATGGATGATAATAAAATGGTAACCCCGCCTGCGCTAACGGTATACGCTGGCGGGGCACCAGTGATAGATGATAGGTGAGGATGAAAAGGAAGGTCAGTTAGCCCATCGTGATGAATACATTTGGAATTCAGCACGATGGTTTCCAGGTCAAGAGGTAATCCTAATAATTCCAGGCAATGGAACTGATAATCCGCATTACTAACAATCCCTTTTCCCCCTATATTGAAGTATTACGATATTGAAATAACAATATGAAGTATTGTTACAAGGATACTAAAGATGTATCTATGTATGTAAAATTTTTGCGAAATCGGTTAAAGGAATTCATATCGTATCAAATTGTATCAGCCGATCATTGTCCACTGCTAAACATAGGCCTTCCCAATAAGGGGGGTTTAGCCAGTAGTTATTGCTATGTTTAACAGGCGGGTTGGCAACCGTATTTAAGCTATGGTGATGTTTTAAAAGGGACGCTGCTGCCCATCCCTTGACCATTAGAAGGAACTAATTTTATTTATTTCTGCTCGTAATATTTTACATTAACCAACTGAAAACATTTAAAGTTAATTAAAAACTTGTAAAAATATGGAAAACTTACAGAATCGAGCAACTTCTGACCATACCAACATATAAGCCATGTTTGACATAGTGTAGTACTTAAAAATGACTTGTACATAAATTCGTACCATTTTTCAATCACCTGGAATTAAATAAATTAATAAAATAATTTATTGTGGATTATATAATTAATTTATAAGACTAGAGTCGAATTTACTAGATTAACTGTGTTGGGTTTGACGCATCTGTATCTTTGTTATTTAGCTATTCTTTTATTTCTCAGATAATTATGATCCCATGCCAATATTTGCAGTTCTTTTTTTAATGCACTAAAGTAATGATTTTAATGTCTTACAAATGGCATGGACATTACTTCAGTATCATAAAGTTTTTTACCACTGAGGTACCGGAATTTCTCGACATTCATTCATTGTAGCTTATTTAATTTATCGTTCTGAATCATTATTAGCCTAATCTTTTCCTTACTTTTTCCTAACATTTATTTGGGCATTTCTACAAATACCTGTCAATTATAATTTTTGTGGTCACTCCTCTTTGAAGCATATCATTTTTCACACAGTCCATCAACTTGAATATACATGATAAATACAATATATGCTTTTTCCAACATCAGTAATTATAATTCAAGATTTGATTTCACAAAAAGAAACTTCGTTTGCCAAATTCGTTTAGAACCGGAGAAAAAATTGCTTGCGCATAACAAAAAGTACACGTAGTACACAATTTCAAAAATACTTCTTTTTGAAATTGTTTAAAAATTTACAGAAAAAGAGATGATTAGTAATAGATACTTACAACACAGCAGAAATTACTAAAGCATATGATAACAGAGCTATTCAAGAAACTGACGAGCAACGAGAAACTAAATATGGTCTCGACATCTTTACATAATCTGAAAAGAAAAAAATATATTTAGGTATATATAAAAATGAAATTGAGTATTTGCAAAGTACTCTGGACGGATTTTTTTTTTGATGGGTGAAAATGGTATGGTAACCCCGCCTGCGCTAACGGAATTCGCTGGCGGAGTACCAGTGAAGGGTGATAGATGAGAATGAAAACAGGCCAGTTAGCCTATCATGATGAATTCATCAGGAATTGACCATGATAGTTTCCAGGGGGAACCGCGAGGAGGTCGACCTGGTTGGATATATTGCTAGCAATGGGATTCTGTCTCCATCACTAACAATCCCTTTCCCCCCTATTCTGGACGGATTTGAACATGACCAAAATTAATTCGTGTTAAAAGCGTGCAATATCGTCCGAAGATTTTTTATGCCTTTATTTATTATCATTATATCAGCCTTTAATTGTCCACTGCTGAACATAAGCCTCCCCCTTGGGGGGTTTTGCCAGTAGTGGCTACTCTTGGTAGACGGGTTAGCAACCGCAGTTAGTTTTTACTGATGTTATAAGAGTAACGTTACTGCCCATCTACTACTTCCTCAGTAGAAAGGAAGGGATGGTCTATCCAATATCGGGATCACATAGCAAAAGAATTTATGTTTTCAATATATGTTTGATATTAATATCGGATATTTACCTTATCAAAGTACGGTGACGTACTATTATGTCCAATAATTCTTTCTCGTGGATAGCTTCGCATAGTTTTTTGTTTTGCATTTCGACTAATTCCAGTGGCGAATGTTTATTTTTAAAGTTTTTATAATGGATTGCTGTTAGATAAAACACGAGATAATATTAAAATTTATCTTTAGTATATGTTTTTTTTTAATTTCTAAATATTGAAATTCAGACTTGCTAGCAATAGATGAACTGCGATAGGAGTTTTCTTTATTACATTATTTATAATTCTATCCCATTCATATTTCTATTATGAAGCAGCTGTAATTGCATGACTGTGTTTTCAATTTGAAGAATAGGTAATGGCAGTGAAAGTACAAGGTACGGAGCTAATCAAGGACAGCATCTTTGTCCTCAGCAATGGAAGCCATAATAGATACTATGGGAATAACAGTGTATTCCGACATATTCACGGTGTTGTTTATGTCTTTAGGCGACGACTACCACTTACCATCAGGTGGGCCGTCAGCTTGTTTGCAATTCTAAGTTGCATAAAAGCATAACTTTTATTATTATAGGTATAGTTAAAGAGTGAAATACATACCAATTGGATATATGTCGATCAACTGTTGATCCGTAGGGACCAAAATGAATCTATTAACTTTAATAGACAACAAGTCGAATTGCGTTGTAATGTGACTTATGAAAAAAAAGTATAGCAAATCACCGCTTAAAATGAACGACATAACCAGAATAGCTGAAAACATTGTTTAATTAATTCATTTATTAATCTTACCAAATCAGCTGTTGTGTCCACTGCTGAACATAGGCTTTCCCTTTTTTATCCTTTTTTATTTATTTTTTATCCTAATTCACAAATAATAAATTAAAACAGGATATTTTTATGATCGATATTAATATTAGGAAAAATAGGAAAAATTCTATTGATTGCTTGTTTGTAATAAATTCAAAACCAACCAACTTTAAAAATTCTTTTGTCTATAGTAAGTTGCATTGTTAGCAAATAATATAAGCGACGTGTAGGACGACCCCCCTACTAGATGGAGTGACGACCTGATATGCATTGCAGGGAATAAGTGGATGCAGGTGGCTCAGGACTGATCTTTATGCTAGTCTATAGAGGAGGCTTATGTCCAGCAGTGGACGGATAATGACTGAAATGATGATGATGATGAATATAAGAGACATATTATTTTCTATTTACCCGTGCAAAGCCGGGGCGGATCTTCAGTGTAGGATTTATAAGCTTGCTGTTCATGTAAAGTGGTATATATATATATATATATATATATATATATATATATATATATATATATATATATATCGAAAAAATTGTGAGTTTTAATATTTATCGTTAATGTAATTGTCTATGATATTTTAATAAAAATAAAAAAGGAAAATAATTACTTACCATGCCATGTTTGTATTACCACAATAACTTCAAATACAATAGGCTGGAGAGGGTCGAAAGGGACCCACCAAAGGAACGGCAGTACACCAGGCTCGTTTTTACCAAAAATATTTTTTATTATTATGATGTAACACGGCACGACGCAGCTGATGACCAAAGCATAGTTGCACCAATAATATCCTGAAATTTCTATTAACGTTAGTGATGAAAATGCTTTTTTTATGCAACTTAGAATGGCAAACAAGCTGATGGCCCACCTGATGGAAAGTGCTAACCGTCGCCTATAGACAAGAGCAGCACCATGGAAATAACAGAGTGTATTGTTTCGCCTAAGACACCCCCCATGCGTTGCCATTCCTGAGGACTTAGATGTTATTTCTTTATACCTTGTAAATTCACTGCCATATCCCACCCTTTAAACTGATACATAGCCATGCAAACACAACTGCTTCACGGTAGAAACACGAATGGAACAGAGGAACTCAAGCAAACGACTTTTGTACAAAGTCTTTCTCTGGGAAAGGACACTCGTATTAGCGTTACTTTGTACAATATTTTAATATTATTATATTATTTTATATTTATTTAATATTATATCAGCCATTTACTGTCCACTGCTGAACATAGGCAGTTCCCATAAGAGGAGTTTTTCCAGGAAATGCCAGTTGCCGGAAGGGTTAGTTACTAATGCGGACTACCAGTCGCATTACTAGCAATGTGTATCAGATCGACCTTTACGTGGTCCCCCCTAGAAACCATCGCGTTTAATTCCTGGTGTATTCATTACGATGGGCTTTTCATCTCATCTATCGTCATTCACTGGTGCCCTGCCAGCGTATATCGTTAACGCAGCAGGGTTACCAGTCCATTGTCGTCCATTAAAAAAAGCCGACGGAGTTATAAGTTAAAAAATATAAAACAAAAAACATTCGAATTAAGAACTTCTTTCTTTTTGAAGTCAGTTGTAAAATAAAAGTGAAAATGAATAAGACTAATCAGTAAACATTAGTTGTGCATGCATAAGATGAGATGTGAAAGTTATTAGCATGGAACAAGAGTTTATATGTAATATATATGTAAGTCCTATTGGTCATCTCTGTCTGCCTCGAATGGGATTTAGCATGAAGATAGACATGATCGTACCTTTCAAAACAATCCTTAGCTGTTTTAACGCTTTGCTAATGACGGTATGTTCCTCTTCAGTGACCTTACCCTGGGGCCACATGCTGCGTAATTCATTAATCAAATTCTCATACATTGACTCGTAATACGTTATCTTGTAAGACTTCAGTATTGCTATAACGATAACGAAATATATATATTTCTCATCTCTCCCTTTAGACAAACGGCAAATGAATATACAGAGTACCTATCTGCAGATACGACGTTGGATGTTATTATTTCTCGTGAGTGCTGTAATGAAAACGTATCTATCGATAAATACATTTTTGCTGTTACATACATGAGTTAGAATGAGATAATAACGGTTGATATTTTGTTATTTACTGTACGTGCTGTAACGAATACGTATCTATCGATAGATATATTTGCTACTTTTTTAAGAGTAAAACCGTAAAGAGAAAAAAGAGGTATGATTTTAAATAGATTTGTAAAGTAAAATGTCACAAAAAATCTTTTAAAGAATCTATAAAGTAGGTAACTTTAGAAAGAAGTAGGTATTTTCGTATGTATGTCACGTTTCATATGCAATATTTTCAACAAATGTGACCTAACTTTAATTTTTTTAATTCAATAAGATTAGTTTGGCATACATTATTTTTTACAAAATTAATGCAAGTTTATTTTAATTTTTAAACTTTACAAGTAGTAATAGTACTACAGAAGCTCAATACACTGCGGTACTATTCTACTATTTATTATTATTATTTATACAGACCCAACGGTAAAAATCCTATACAAGGTATCATTCTAAAAAGAGTAGTGGCGTCCTCGAAAGAAGACGCTCCTTTAGTATCTTCGATCGTCTCCATGGTTTGCAAAGTGAACGCCATCAATATATTCGCAGTTTCGAACCAGTAAAATACTGAAAACCAAAATCTGAAAAATAAATCTAGATTAATTCAAAGATCAAGATAACAAAGACAAAAATAAACAAATAATTAAATTTAATAGTATGATTCAATAGTACTTTTTAAAATGGATAGTAATTTAATAGTTCGATTCAATAGTACTTTTAAAATTGATATTAATTTAATATATAATCCAAAATACTTTTAAAATTGATAGTATAATAATTTAATAGTTCGATTCAATAGTACTTTTAAAATTGATAGTAATTTAATAGTTCGATTTAATAGTACTTTTTAAAATTGATAGTAATTTAATAGTTCGATTTAATAGTACTTTTTAAAATTGATAGTAATTTAATAGTTCGATTCAATAGTACTTTTTAAAATAGATTTAATTTAATAGTTCGATCCAATAGTACTTTTAAAATTGATATTAATTTAATAGTTTAATCCAAAATACGTTTAAAATTGATAGTAATTTAATAGTTTAATCCAAAATACGTTTAAAATTGATAGTAATTTAATAGTTCGATTCAATAGTACTTTTAAAATTGATATTAATTTAATAGTTAATCCAAAATACTTTTAAAATTGATAGTAATTTAATAGTTCGATTCAATAGTACTTTTTAAAATTGATAGTAATTTAATAGTTCGATCCAATAGTACTTTTAAAATTGATATTAATTTAATAGTTTAATCCAAAATACGTTTAAAATTGATAGTAATTTAATAGTTTAATCCAAAATACGTTTAAAATTGATAGTAATTTAATAGTTCGATTCAATAGTAATTTTAAAATTGATATTAATTTAATAGTTAATCCAAAATAGTTTTAAAATTGATAGTAATTTAATAGTTCGATTCAATAGTACCATTAAAATTGATATTAATTTAATAGTTTAATCCAAAATACTTTAAAAATTGATAGTAATTTAATAATTCGATTCAACGTGATCAGATCGTAGAATTGATCACTTCATGATGTGACTAACCATTTTATGAATATATGGTAATATTTCATGACATGAAAATTATTTGCTGTCCACATTATGATGTGCTCTAACCAGATCAATCAATAATCAGCGTTTGATGATATGAAAAGCTAAACACACGCTAACTACTTCATGATATGGTCAAACTATATTGTATTGTATTGATCATATTATGAAATAGTTATATTATATACCTTAATAATATGCCAATTAAAAATAATAGTGAAGTGAAAGGTTGTTTTTGTTAAAAGACCTAAAATTTACCAATGTATGGGATATTGGTAAATTTTAGGTCTTTCCAGTAAATATTAGGATTTATATAATTTTATGTGAAAGAAAGATCATAGATCATTTTTGGGGCTTTCAGAAACCCTTCGAGGGTATCCCTACATATGATTAGATCAATGAAATAATTACGCGAAAGCTGTCTAAATGGAGTGAGATGACAATAATTGTGTTTCAGGGCGTAAGTGGGCTATATGACTCCCAGGGCTATATGTCACCCAGAGGCATCCTAATCCCTTTTTAAGACAAAACATGATGAGCGCTCTATTCAATAGCGTACAAATTGATTATGAAAATTATTTTTATAATAATTTGTAAAAATATTCTAACGGTTTTATTATTAAACTAAAATAGAAATTTATAGAGAGATAGTTTCATATCTATGTCATTATAAAGGTTTTTTATACATTGCACAAAAATTATTCCATACATATTTAATTTTTAATTCTATTGCCACTATCGAATAAGTATATCCTTACTTTTATATCCTGCGTTATAAAAACATTTGGATAATATATTTAATTACACGCAAACTGCCTAATTTGGTTTTTATTTGTATGTGAATAAATGATTGATTGAACGGATTATTTCCAAAAGATGAAAGTTTTTATTTTTACTTTATTTTTTGTACTATACCTTCCATCAAGTTTGAATTTAATTCGATCAATGAAGTTGCATTACCAGGGTTTACTTCCGCGTTGGTTCTATTTTAAATTAGTTACGATTGTGACGTAGTTTTATTTTTGAACCGACTTCAAACAAATTAAAGAATGTGTCCCAAAAAGAAAGAAGCCAAATATTTTGATTTAATAACTCAACTACTCAACAAAATTTCTATGGGACCAATTTATAATTATATCCTTTCTGATAAAAAAAGAATTTTGTAAATCAGTTTACGGAGTTGTAAAGTAACAAACATAAAAATATACAACTAAATTGAGTACCACCTTCTTGTTAAAGTCATTTGAAAAGAAGGCTTTTAATTCAATTATATTTTTTTATGTTTGTTATCTTATAACTCCACTATTTATAATCTGATATAAAAAAAATCGTTTGCATCTATAAGGATTTCAAATTAATTCGACAGAATATTTAAATCAGTTCACTATTTTATTTTTTAAATAAAAACAACTGATTCCGCTACGACTCTTATATAATTATAAAACCTATAGATTTTTTTTTCATTTTATATTTTACTAAATAATACCTGGCGTTATCGGAGTCTTTGAGAGTCAGACGTAGCCCCACAATCCATAACACCTTCTTTATAATCGCTAATGTATCATCAAAATCATCCAAACTATATATCTGTAAAAAGTATAAAATGCCGAATTATTTGTATTGATTTTAAGGGGTATTGAAGAGAAGGTATGTAATTGTATTTTTTTTATAATTAGACACAGGTTCTGATATATTATCAGTATATATTACCATATAAACTGCCTTTTAAATTTAATAACACAGCAAAAAAAGTTGCTTTACGGCTTAATCGAGGGATATAACACTCAGTTCTCTATGCGTACCTCAAAAAGAATTTAACTCGAAGATAAGTACTGTAATAATAAATATAATAATAATAAATTTTATTTGCTTTGACTAGGTGATAACAAAGATCTTATTGGATAAGGAAACAGTTCCATTTTCAGCTTGGAAAAACATGCAAATTATAATTTATAGTCTCTTACTTTAATAAATTTAATACAATTACCAATAATTGGATCAAAATTCACAATGGGTATATACTTTTATAATAATATTGTAACGCGGAAATTTTTGTAAATTATTAAATGATAATGAATTATTTAGTGATGTATTGTTTCTTAAAAAAAAAATAAAAACAATATACAAACTCGATCTTCCGTAGATTCATCTGCTACAGTTTTCGTTTTCCTAAATATATATTTTCTAATAAAAGACGCCATGTCTGCAATAGGTGAAAATGAGAAATGTGAGTATCTGCAAGGTTTGATTTTAATTATAGAAGTCTCCTTATGTGTATAGACTAGCTGTTACCTGCGGCTTCGCTCGCCCACATTTTTTTACTGGATATTGAATTGTAGTTGCGTCAACAGTAGTCAAAAATTAAACCGGTAATTCAATTATGTATTTATAAATCAATTAGCCGAGTGGTCCCGGTATAGAATGAGCCACCCCTTCTTTTCCCGCGGGTGTTGTAAGAGACGATTAAGGGAATTTAATGGTCGAAGAATAACCAGCAGCGTCTCCATTAAAACGCCACCAAATTCTAACAGCGTTTGTCAAAAAATACAGAAGAAGAATAAAAGAGGTGCATAATACCAAATTTCATTACGATTTGTTAAGCTGTTTTTTATGCAAGACATTATTTATGGAATTATGATCTATTGGCATAACATTTGTTGCTTTAGGCATTAAAATCATCAATGAATGAAGTATAAAAAAAAATTGTCATTTTATAGTAACTTATTCTTTCAAGCTTTCTCCCTATCAAAGATTATCACGATTGCTTGAATGGTTATGATGCCAACAGGCAACAAATGTATATAAATATATTCATAATAGCCCACAGGAACATTATGTTTAATTGAGATAAAGCAATCTACTTTTTTAGGATTTCTTCTCATCAAAGATTACGTACATTCCAAATAATAAAAATTATATACGTACTTATCTTATTCCACGAAAACAATGTTTAACTGAGATAATGTAAAATCATATCAGCAGTTAACTGTTTACTGCTGGGGGGAAAGGTATTGTTAGCAATGGAGTTTGACAGCCCCATTGCTAGCAATATGCCTTATTAGGTCGACCTCGACATGGTTCCCCCTGGAAACCATCGTGATCAATTCTTGTTGAATTCGTCACGATGGGCAAACTAACCTACTTCATCCTCAGCTATCATTCTTCACTGGTGCCCCGCCGGTGAATACCGATAGCGCGGGAGAGGCTACCATTCCATTATCATACATAAAAAAAAACTGTTCACTGTTAAACATAGGCCAGCACTACAAAGAAAGTTTTACCAACGCTTGGCAGGCGGATTGGCAACCGCAGTTAGGTTTTCGTGACGTTTCAAAAGGGCGCTGCTGCCCATCTCTTGATCATTAAGTTTTTTTAGTAGCTTCTTAAGATATTCACGGGAAAGGAAGAGATGGCTCGTTCTATGCTAGGACCACACTGCAAATGTTATATTCGTACTTATATTATCCCACGAGAGCATAATGTTTAGATAAGGTAAACTAGCTTAAGATATTTTTCTCTTTGGTAATTTCTAGATATTTTATGCCAATTTGTTTTCTGTGATGGGTTGAATTGTTAGAGCGTAGAGAGTTAACGAACAAACAAACTTACTTTCATTTTCAGGTATATCTTTGTGTTTTAAAGATTACATTGCGACAAATAACACAGTGAGTAATTGTTAGTTATTAAAACACAGCAGTGGCGATACGTAATGTGTAATTAACTATTAGTTTATAATCAACGTAATCGAGAAAAATACATGGACATGCTCTCTAAATGTTTAAAGACAATGTTACTTTGTACTATTATAGTTCCATGCAGGTAATTTGCAAGTTTTATTTATGCCACAAAAGTATATCTTTCGTGGTATAAATAATAATTGAATTTGTTTCAAATTTTCAAAAAAATATTTGTTTGTATACTTATTTTTTTGCTTGCCTCATGGTTGACTGGTAAAGAACGCCATTAGGTATTAGGACCGCTGTATGTACATTTATTTACATACATAATTGTGCATTGAAGTCTAAATAAATAAATATACATTTACTTTAATTTTTTTTTATAACATTCTCTTGTTATAGTTTTTTTTTTCAATTAAACCGACTTCAAACTATACATAACTAGTATGAATCAATTAAGGCGAATAAATCTTTTTGAATTAGTGAAGAACTTACGAGTATGTAATAAACAATTTTATGGACTGTCTGGATTTTTAAGTCAATATATGATTGATTATTTCTTAAGCTAGAACAAGAATAAATAAAATAGATAGAAACTTGAGATCGTTGCCGGTATTCATTAAGTATTATGTTCAAATAAAAGAAAGTGTGTTTTATTAAAAGTAGAAGTATTAAAGTAGTCAATTTCATTCTTATAGTTTATAGATTTTGATATATTAAAACAACAAAATAACATTATTATTTAACATAACCGTGTGGTCCCGGTATAGAATAGGCCACCCCTTCCTATCCCGTGGGTGTCGTAAGATGCGACTAAGGGAGGGTGAGGGATGGTTGGGTATATTATTAGCAATGGGATTCTCAGTCTCCATTATTTATAATCCCTTTCCCCCCGGTTTGAAGGGTGGGATATGGCAGTGAATTTACCGGGTACAGAGGAATAACACCTGAATCCTCAGGAATGGCAACGCATGGGGGGTGTCATAGGCAAAACAATATACTCAGTACGCTCATATCTATAGGCGACGGTTACTATTTTCCATTACGTGGCCCGTCAGCTTGTTTGCCATTTTAAGTAGCATAAAAAATAACTAAGTCCAAGCTAATTAATAAAGTGATCTAAATATGTTTCGATCAAGAATTGAATCCAAAAAATTATTCTGGAGTAAGGTTTCTGTCATTTGCGCCATGGGGGCCATCAAATCCATATAAAAATATTATCCAACCAAGAAAAAAATATCTTATCATTATACTTTTTAATCTACTAATTATATTTATAATTATACACTGTAATTATTCACACCATTGACCTATGAATATGATCATAATTTAATAAAATTTCATATTAAAACTCAAGTATTATAATTTTATGGTAAGTGTGATTATAATGTAGTGTGGAGTTATAAAATATGTAATATCGATATCTATGACCTAAACTGAGGGCCTACCATGAAATGTTTTCCGAAATTTCGGAGCCAAACGAAACAGAAATTCGATGTTAAAATTACATAATACATGCAGTTTGGAAATATTAAAAATGTTAAAATATTGTTCCTTTGGACTTTTATGATAGGATGTATGACGAACGAAATGTTAAACTCCATTTATTAGTCCAATTTTGGTATAAACAAAACACGAAATTGAGTCCGAAATTTCGGAATTTCATTTCATGGTAGACCCGCTGGTAGCCGGGGCCAGTCGTATTTATTAAAATGTCAAGATTTAATTCAGTCCTATATGGAATACCGATATTATAAGCATCCACAAAATACGTTACAATTTGAAATTGTTATCATCATCATCATTTCAGCAATTACCTGTCCAATGCTGAACATAGGATAGACCGCCATAAGGAACCATCCTGAACCACCTGCATCCATTTGAAGTCATTATTCCATCTCACATCCGCCACTGCGGGTTGCCTTACATTGTGTTTGCCTGTACGGAATCGTCACTCAAGAACCATTCTTTCCCAATGTCAGTTCTTCGAGCTATGTGCAGCCCATTGTCACTTTAGCTTGCTTATCCTTTGGACTATATTGGTGACCACGGTTCTTCTGCGGATATCCTTGTTTCGGATTTTGCCACGCAAGGAAACTCCAAGCATAGCTTTCTCTATTCATCGCTAAGTAATTTGCCAAGTGAAGTTGCATACAGGCAACGCTTTTTCTATAGATTGCTAAGTAATTTGCTAAGTAAAGTTGCATACGGGCAACCCTGTAGGACTATGTTTTCGTTCCATAGGTCATCATTGGCATTACGCACTGGTTAAACGCTTTCATTTTCAAACTTTGAGATATTTTGGATGAGAAGATGTGATATAGTTTTCGGAACGTTGCTCAGTCGAATTGAATTCGTCGATTGACCTTTCGGCCGAAGTTGGACTTCTCCGACTATACTTAGTTATTCCATACTCGTCGACAATTTCGAGCGTAGTATTTTCAATCATAACTGATATAGGTATGACATGGATGTTAGACAAGCTTTTAGTCTTTTTCATGTTCATATTAAGATCTACCTATTGAGAAGCACTATTAAAGTTATTAGGTATAGTATTCAAGTCCTCCGGGGATTCTGCCGTGATAACTGTATCATCGGCAAATCGAAGGTGAGTGATGTATTCGCCATTGACGTTCATACTATATCTTTTGCAGCTGTATGTATAGTTTCGGGGATATAATGTTACCCTGTCTTACATTTTTCTGTACTAGGATAGGTTTCGTACTCTGGTTTTGTACTCGGATAGACATCGTAGTGTTACTGTTCATACACTTTAACACTTTGATATTTGTACCAATATACCAATACCGCTGAAGGGACTGTAGTACCGCCCATGTCTAAATCGAATCAAAGGCTGTCTCATACAAACGCCAGACATAGTGGAAGATTATACTCTTCGGTTATCTGAACGTTCGTTACTTTCCATCGACTGTTCAGTTGTTTGTTGGTAGCCGATTCTGGAGATTCTTTGTAGTCCTTGCTCCACCTTATCATGACCGCTACCTTGGTTAGGAATAGCAGTATCACCGGAGGCTGGGGACCGTTTTTGCTTTGAAATTAGTATATTACAACAAAAAATGTTTTTTTAAGTATTAATCAACCGTGTGATCCCAGCAGCATAGAATGGGGCACCCTTTCTTTTCTCATGGGTATCGTGAATGGGGACTAAAGGAACTTAATAATCGAGGGAGAGGCGTTCTTCTTAAAACATCACCAAAGTCTAACCGCCTGCCAAGCGTGGCAACTACTGAACCCCCCCCCCCTCCCGCCCTATGTTCAGCAGTGAACAGTTAACGGCTGACCTGATGATGTGAAATATTGTTTGCTTGTGTTTTACGTAATTGAAGGAAATTTGGTATACGGATAGGTTAAATCCTATTATAGAACACACTATATCCTGTTTATGTACATAAAGCTGTATTCTTATTAAATCTATATATATTCCTTTTTTACCCACTTTCATAATTTATTTCATTCTTGACTCTTCTCTCTGACAGTAGGTAAGTATATATTTTATTTTTATAATAATGGGGTAATACACAGGCTAACATCTGTAATTGCTTTTTTCTTTTGCCACTCTTTCATGCTCATAATGAGCATTATAGGAGAAATAAAAATACTTTTAAATATAGTTCACAATATTTTATTTGTCGAAACACATTCAGTAGGTATTTTACAGATTTATTTACTGAATCAACAGACCGCATTGCTGTTAGGAACTTAATAATGCTGCCATTACTTCAAGTCTTTCATTTCATTTTAAAATATATTTAATTTCGATTAGTAATAGTTGATCAAAAGTAATGTCGATGGGAAAAGTGATAAGTAAATAAATGTATCTATCTTCATATACTACCTGTGTATTATCTAATACAAACGTGTAAGTGTACGATACACCTATCGTACTGTACATACACGTTATATTAGAACTAAAAAAGTTAGACAATGCGTCGATAATATATTTAATATAAAACAAACTCCTCAAGTAATATAGTTAAATTGTGTGCGAAAGCATTTTTTTGAAGTTTCAGTCAATTTAAATAAATTATTAAAAATTCACTGGATCATAATTTATTTTAATTTAGCTGTTGGATTTTTAATTCATAATCCAGCTGATGATTATTCAACTATTAATTTTATTAATTTTTTTTAGTTATGAGTATTTAGAAATGCGAGAGTCTGCTATTGTTTGCCGTGTAAATTTATATACAATTAAGAAAAACGGGTAAATAATAAAATTCATGATGACTCTTTTTATCTGATCACAATATCGGAAAGAATAATAGAATAATGGCCAGTAAAACGCCACACAAAAATAATATCAATAACTTTAAAAACTGTGTCAAAACATAGATAACAACTTCATATTTATTTATATAACTATTTAAACCTTATTACACAGTATAATTGTATGTACATTTATTGATTTGACACCGGGTGGTGTTCTCTACTAGTTAATCTTTAGGCAAATAGAAATAGGTAGACGGTGCATTAATGAATTGAGAAAACATAAAGTAATACTTAACATATTCATATATTATAAACAAATAATTAGATTTATATAAATGTACATAAAATATGTAATATAAATAAATTGTATATATGTATGTATTATATAATAAATAAATAAATACAAAAAATATCACTATATCAAATAATTTATTGTACTAGAAGAGTGAAGAAAACAATCTATGACTCAAACATAATAACCATCAAAGTTAAGTTTAAAGAAAAAGTGAGAAACGAAGACAAAGAATTTTATAAATCGGCCTTTTTTTAAGAAGTAGGAACGCAATTTATCTTTAAAAGCCAGTAATATATGGTAAAAATGGCGCGGAGAATATTGATGATGCGGATATAGCTTCCTTTCAAATAGACGTCAAAGAGGGGTTACATTGAATTTCCGGTGGATTCTTTCGACAATTGCGACCTCGATCTTTGTAACATACAAACGTTTGTATTCATGAGTATGACTGTTTGTAATGATTTGGGTTCTTTTTATGTATTTATTTTGCATAGATAATACAATATGTAACTACTATTAGGTATAAACTAAATATGTTTAACAGTAGTATCCACTGTATAAGCTGTACTTAGTTTAGCAGTTCATGACATATATCCAGTAAATATTCACGTTATATATTTACATTACATTACATTAAATATTATAAATTAATTAATATGATATATACATATTATTATTAAAAATAGTATAAAACAAAATCATTATCTGAATTTGTGTTTTACCGTTTACTTCTTTTTGATAACACAACGAATTTTTTAATAGGTGTTACTGTTATTTTTATAGATTTGTGTGTATATTAATTTACATCTATGCGACACCGGAAGGCTTGCTAATAAACTTATATATTTTAAAGTTAGTGAACTCATATATATATCAGCTGACACTTTTCTACTTAGCGAGTCTAATGAAGGCAACCTATATTGGACGCCAGAATGCGTAAACTTCTTATGATTATTAGTATATGCTGATTTAAACACAATTAAAAATCTTCAATAATTATATTTAAAAATAGGCTATAAAACTGCAGATCGAAAGTTCCTTGCAGCAATGGGTATGTCAATCATGTCATTTCCATATTAGAAACGTAGATTACATTAAAAAGATATCGTCATAAAATAGAATCTCAAATAAATACAACAACAATCACTTCATTTAAACAATGTTTTTAAAACGTAATAAAATATCATTGTCTTGTAGTGTCGTTTATTAATTACTAGTTACTAAGACATATCACACATAGGTGAAATTTGTCATGATGACAATTTTGTTATACATATACGTGTAAAGTAAGGAAAGGAGGAGGTAAGTAAAACATATTAGCGGAATAACGCTCGAAGATTTGTTCATGATTTTAAATGCATCATTGTCTCAAATTATTATTATTTATTCATAAGTATTTCTGCGCGCTCATATCTGACTTGATAGGAGTGTGAAAACTGTCATAATGACAAATGTCACCTGTGTATACTAGCTTTAGGTATTAAATAATAATCTTTGGAAATATTACCCTTGCCAAATACTGACGCCATTTGATTATTAACTGACATTTGATATCGTGGCTTGTAGTAAGATTAAGGAACCCTTAATCTTAGGACATGTAATATTTAATTTCGTTGTCACACTTCAAATGGAGTCCACTAGTTATAGTTTATTTATTTTTAATTTCTTAAGCTAAACATTTTGGTAACTAATTTGGTAATTTTAACAAAAAATAAGTTTCTTAAATAAATAAAATACAGTTTTTTGAACCACATAGAATATACTAGATAACTAAGTAAAGACTATGTTCACAACATTTTGAAAGTATTAATTACTTACACAATTTTTTACATTATGAAGGTGAAATTTTTTTAAGAGTAAAATATTTTTTACTACTTTATTTTATTTAAATAAAAAGAGGGCTATTTTTTTTTAATTATAGCACGATATCGTATTTATTGATATAAACATTAACTAAAAAGGTTACATCACAAGAATTAAAAAATATGTTGCCAGTTAAACTGTAAATTTAATTATAACTGTATTTAAACTAAAACAGTTTGATTTAAGGGTAATTGTTAATCTACTGTTATATTTAGAACATCCAAGCGTTTGTTTTCAAACCTACATGTTGTCAAAGGGGTTTTCAAGCCAATACAATCAACATAATCCTTGTAATGTAACAGTAGTTCAAATAGGTACACCCCGGACCTCAGTCCTGGACCTGATTATTTAGCTATACATAAACTTCACCTTTATAGCGTAAAAAAGTGTATTTAGGTCTAGGTATTTATCTAGATTTTAACAATAGTAAAAATTGCACAATTTCCTCATCTCTAAAGTTCTATCCAAAAGGCTTTCGAAATACCATCTTTCTTTAAGATTTCTACACGAATTCGTATTGAAAATAAAGAGAGACTTGTTTTATTTGATAATAGTTAATATACGTAGACATTTGACTTCATGGCACACTACATTATGTTTTGAGATTTGTCAAATAATAAGTTGCATTAAATTTTAGATATTAATTCTACCTATTATTATCTATCTATTAAGTTATCATCATAACAGTCAAGTAATTTTGTAAATTATAGCTAAATAATATAATATATTTGTGAATATTGTAAGAGACGCTGCTGCCCATTTCTTGACCAACATAATGGTCAAGAGATGGGCAGTAATGTCTCTTTTAAAACATCATTAAAGTCTAACTGTGGTTGCAGACCAGCCTTCCAGTGTGGCAACTACTGGCAAAGTCCGTCTTATGGGGAGGCTTTTTGGTCAGCAGTGAACCGTTAACGGCTGGTAGGATGATGATGAACATAAGTTTTTTTTTATATACAACTTAGAATGGCAAACAAGTTGACGGCCCACCTGATGGAAAGTGGTAACCGTCGCATATAGACATGAGCAGTACCATGGACATAACAGAGTATACTGTTTCGCCCATGATACTCCTCATGCGTTGCCATTCCTGAGGACTCAGGTGTTATTCCTCTGTACCCAGTAAATTCATGCCATATCCCACCCTTCAAACTGAAACTGAATGGGACAGAGTTACCCAAGCAATCGACTTTTGTACAAAGTCTTCCTCTGGTGAATATAGTATATTTATAATAAATTAAAAACCTACAAGTTCTTCGTGACTCATACCTGTAAGATAAATAGCTAATGTCTGAAATCATTTCTAAACCTTTCTCAATAATATACTTTGGTATTTTAAATACAATATTGGGACTTAATGCGATGAAAAATTTTTGTAGATTAATAGTATATACATAGGTATGTCTTTGTATGGCTTCTTTATTGAAAGTTTAAAATTAACTATTACGTAGGTATTGTCTATCTGGCGTAAAAATGTAATGGAATACTGTTAAATCAGGTACAAGGTTTGATGTAATAATAAAAAAAAAAACTAATTCTATAAAATTCATCAAAAATAATGTAGTGTACATGACCAGTCATTGGTATACTTATATGTTGATAAATAAGATTTCTTAATTCAAAAAACATACATTAATCTATTATAATATTGCACATTATAGCTTTGTAAGCGAAATGGACGTATCTAAAGAGTGACTCTCGGTTACTGATAATGTTAACAAAAAAAAAAACTATTCGACTAGCATCATAATACTTCGATGATGAATAATTATAATAAATAATTTAATTAAAAGAGGTCATAATGTCACGAATTATGTAAAATCTCGTTTCATACTTAATTAATATTGACGGTCGCCCCGTACATTTTATTTTACAGGCCAAGAGACGAATATTCTATTTTAAAAGTAAAGCACTAATGATTAAGGATATTATATCGTCAAGGTACAATAATTTGTTCTGATGAAATGATTATTACAAGAGAGTACCAATTAATTTTTATTAGTTAATTTACGCTCCCGGTACAAAAGGAAAAGCGTTATAAATTCGAACTATGTATCCGTGTAGGATGGTACTTAGCTATGTTTGATGAAAGCCTTTTTTAAGGCTTTTTTTTATTTAATCTACAATTTGAGTAGATTTTAATTTACTTAATGAATAAAATTTAATTTAAATCAATTTATATTACTGTATTTCACAATTGAAATAATACCAAGGTTGATATTTAATTCAGTAATAAATAAGTGATACTTATCACGAATATCGTATTTGTAAATAAAATAAAAATATAACTTTTTAAATTACGCACCTTAATATTTAGTCGGTGTATTATTACATATATAGATAAATATATACTATAATTGTAATATTGGTAATATATATATATATATATATATATACTTCAAAAGTAATACTAACACAGAATTAGCACCACTGTAATAAGAAATTCTAATAAGAATTTTATAATTCGCTGTCTTTATAATATAACGTTACGTGATAAAGTATGATAAATTATTATTAAAATTATTATACAATTGGTACTCTCTTGCAAATACTTGTTTTTATATTACCATTATAAAATCATAAAAGTAGGTGTTTTTAAAAGTCGTTCATTACTACCACATTTAGTCTGTGAATCAGTATGTACAGTACATGCATGAAATTATTTGGCAAATAAGTGCCACAAGCGTCATCTACTGGAATAAAGTCTATAGTTTTAAAATAGAATCTCGTGAAGTAACACTAGATCACAGTCTATGTAAATAATATATTAATAGATAAACATTTACCTAAATATGTTTACAGGAAACTATTACCGTCAATACGACGAAGAGATTAAAATGCTACAATTATTTTTTTAGTTCTACTAGAATACGATTGATTGAACAAAATTTATTCAACAATAATAAATGTTACATATGTAAAAAGGTAAAGTAGATTTAGTTAAATCTGTACCGCATTTAAAACCAATTCCATTAAATATTTGTCTGGAATAAAATATTAATGGTTTTGATTCAATTTATATATTCCATTAAAAATCTACTTCATAATTGACGCTTCATTTTATACTAATTTATATTTTGATAGATAAATAAATTATAAAATTGATAGAAGCGTAAGAATATTATTCTTGTAGTCGTTAGTTGTTTAAAAGCATTCTCATATTTTTATTAATATTAAATTTATAAAAATTAAATATATCTAACTCCTACTAGCTAATACTAGTTCCAGGAGACATATTTGATTTACAATTTTACATTAAAAAAATATTTAAATAAATTTTAGTCAGTCAATCGTAGCAAAAGTTTTTATATTATTCACTAGCTAATACAAAGTATCACCTAATAGTAGAAATGTACAAGTAACAGCTATTAACTTATTTAAGACATACAGTCACGTGTGGTACTGAACTAGTCGATCGATTTGGACGGCTTCACTCTGTCCAGCTTCTCGGCCCTTTCCGTGCTGTTTTGACTGCTCCTATGGAATGAATGAATGAAAACTGTTGTTCCTCTCAAACAAAGATACAATTAATGAAATATTAGTTAATTCTAAAGTATATATAAATAGAGTAGAAAACTTTTATTTGCTATAAAACAATTTCACATGAGAAGTGCAAAATAATAATTACAAAAAAAAAATTACCAAAGAGTTCCTATCTCAGCATTAAGCCACATAACTTACTGTTAGTAGCGGCATGGATGAAAAAAATATGATTTAATTCATTCGTATTAATTGTCGTCTCTTATAATATATAATACATATTGTTGCTAAATTGTTCAATAAATTTCCACGCGGGATTTATTGCACAAATGCGGGAATTCCGCAGATCTCTTAGATATCCGGAATGCGCTAATGTAGAATGCGGGATTACAAACCCTAATTTGAATTAATTAAATGCAGCTTACCAGTTGAAACTTAATCGTCACAACATATGGCACAGCCTGGCTTTATGCTTCGTCTTGCTCTGCTCGTCGGCCACCGCTGTCGTGTGACTGTTGCTGTCTGAGTTCACCACGGTCGGCTTCTTCACTATCGCCTTCTCTCTCTCGGCGTCGCGTTGCGTGCTTGTTGCCGCGTAGAGAGATCTGCAGCAGGCTTTGTTTTACTCGAGTTTTATAACTGCTGAGGCCAAAGTTGAATGGGAACATTAAGATTGTAGGTGTAATCTATTGTGACTGCCTAGACTAGAAAGAATCCATCGATAGAATCAATATCAGTAGCGTGTCTATCAGATAGAATGAGATGGCGAACTGCGCTGTCTTGTTCTTTCTAATGTGATCGTTGACTGAAGCGATTTTATTGATAGATTTATTTGTACCTTGTTTAGAAAGGTTTTGTGGTGACAGAGTAAGAATATAACATGGCACCACATTCTTTTATGTCCAGGATGTCGCAAGGGACGACGAAGGGTACAACAAATATGCACATGTAAAAGGACAAAATTGCGAAAATAAAATTGCAATTAAACAGTACTGCAAGCAGAGAGTGATAATAATAGGCTATTAGCTTGTCTCATGGGGAAAGATTTGTGCTCAGTTTGGGGCATTAAAAAGTTGTTCAGTAAGTTGTTGGTAAGACAGGCCTACTATGTCTTAAATAATATTATTATCAAATCTACTGTGATTTTTAGCGCTGTTAAATTGGAATAGAGATAGATCGTATTGCTTAGTTAATCTTAAATGTATATAATTATATTTTAGGATATATATTAGTTATGTGTTCAAGTTAAATAAGATTATTGAAATTAATTTGTTTAATGACGACTTTTAATTCAAAAGGTTTTAGGAAGTGAAAATAAGTAATTTATTTAGGTGATAGTTTTAGTTCTTAGTGATTGTTAGTCGATTGTAAAATAATTACCTAGTAAGTTTGTTTCTTGTAGGCCTCGACGCGAAGTTCCCGCTCTTCCCTCTCCTCAGTGAAGAGAATGTAGTTTTTATTGGTTTCACCACCGTCATACTACTGCTTTCTGGGATCGGCTTCGAGCAATTTAGAGTTGTCACGGTAAGTTCTACATCTTTGATTGGTTCGTTGGATGCTGGAAGATAAAGAAGGTTATATATATGTATTTTATTAGTCGAGAAATCTCTGTCTTCAAGTGATTTAAGATTTTACTGAATAAAAAAGCAATTCAAATCAGGACAAAATTAATATGGGAACTACATGGAAGTAATTTTCGGCGAAATGGAGTTATCTACTTCTAAATAAACGAGAATTAGAGATGTCACGTGACATAAAAATACAGGTGAATTGAGAATCTTTAAAGTTGCCTTAAATGACACTTTTCCCAATAAAATATTACAGTTGTATAAGAATTCCTCACCGGTGAACTCCTCAATGGGTTTGTCAATGGTGTCATGGTCTATCCATGTGAGACCCATTTCCACCTTCTCCGCTAGGTCCTGCCAACGCTGCCTGTTCTCCATTGTGCCTGTATACAGCGGTTGTATCCATGGAAACGTGTCGGAGAGCACTTTATATAACGGAAGACATATCATGTCAATAAAACCAACTTGCATTTGAGGCAGTTCATCTTTCTTTTCTCTGAAAAAGATTTTAACATATTCAGAATAATTAGACATATTTATTATATTTTTAAATTATTAAGCGAATTACTAAAATGTAGGAAATTAAAAAACAGCGTTGGAGATTGTGAATGCCTGATATAGTAGGAAAACGTTTATGACCATCTCCCCTCTTCTTCTATATACTTCTACTGTTATCCGTATCCATTGGTAAAACATTTATAGTCAAAGAGTTAGCTTTTCATTTTGGAACCAAAATTCATGAGTACTATGAGCAGTTTCAAAAAGTTTCAAGACATACTTGTACGATAACATCACCAGGTATCAGCACCAGAAAATCTACCTTTTTATTTAAAAAATATCAGATAATATTTTATATACATAATATTATATATATATATATATATATATATATATATATATATATATATATATATATACATACATACATACATATCTGTCACGCCTGTCTCCCATTAGGGTAGGCAGAAATAATGGAACGCCAAATGCTTCGATTCAAACAAACCTCTTTCGCTTCTTCCACATTCATCAATCTTGTCATACACGCTCGTCGGTTACGGGTACTTTTAATTTGGCCCTTCTTCAGCACGTCGCCTATTTGGTCGACATACGTCCGTCTACGGCGGCCCCTACCGACATCTCCATTCATTCTTGCTCGATTATATATATATAAGGATAAAGGACTTTTTGGGAGTTTGTGATATCTATCAGGCGAACAATATATTTGTTCATAGCATTTTGTGATGTGATCATGGATTCTTATCTAACCATAAGCTGAAAGTTATTTTTCAATCTGTATTTAATGGATGACTATTACTCGTACCTGTCCATCATAGCAATCGGCTGTTGATTAAGCTGCAGTTTCTCCAAGTCTCCCTGGTCGAAAAACTCGTCTGCAACTAACTTGGCTACTTTGTGCTGAACCTCCCAAGGCTTTGCTATGGCTGATACGTCGCACGCAGTCATCATCATACCGCATAATACTGAAAATATAAATATCATGAAAATAAAAATATATATAAAACGCATTGCAGGAAGTCAATGGATGCAGATAGCTTAGTATGGTATGGTATTGCTATGGTAGTCTATGGGGGAGGCCTATATTCAGCAGTGGATAGATAATGGCTGAGATAATGATGATACTTACATTCTTTTTTCTCCGGGCTCTGCCAATCAAATTCTCCATTGTCAACAAGTTCTAGAAACTTTGATTTCTTCTTGAAGTACATAGCCAGATCGGTTGACAATATAGCTGTCTCTACAACACGCATCACGTCTCTGTAATCATCTGGGGAAAGTGCCTGTTGAAAAAAGTATAAGTCAATAAATAATTAGAAGTAAATCTATAATTGAATATGGGTATTTGAACGCGTCATTAATAGCTACATTATGGGCTCTAAGATAAAGTATCTATTTGTAGAGAGAAAATATGGTCTAAGCTAGGATCATCATCATTATTCCAGCCGTTGATTGTCTCCTGTTGTAAATAGGGTTCCTCAATAGTTGTTAAAACATATATCATAAGGAACGGTTTTAAAATATCTGCATAAAATTTGAGATTATTGCTCTATTTAATCGTATAACGCCAGAAATATAAGTGTCGGAAAACAATAAAATCATTTCGAGCCTTTCACATTAACATGGTGTACATTGTGAAGCAATACGAGATGTTCGAAATTTTTGTGCTTTATCGATCTATTTCTTTGGTAAAAAATTATTAGTTTTCCTTGTAGTCTTTACTAATAATAGGTATTATATTATCTGTGGTAGTAGTTTGCCTTTATGATTTGGCCGGTTATTTGATTAGAATTATTTTGTTTAATCTCGCTATCATTAATATGTGTGTGGTTGCCGACACTTGAAGATTGACTACTATTATTATTACCGGATGTTTTACAACCCTCCATATTAGTCATCAATCTCCAATGACCATTTCTACCATGTACGTTTTGCGGCACGTGTTTTATCTTTAAACGAGGTATCTTTATTATCTTTCACAGAGTAGGATGACATTTCATTAGATGGAGTAACGACCTCAAATGCATTGCAAGGAGTTAGTGGATGCAGGTGGCTCAGAAGCGTTCCTTGTAGCAATCTATGGGGGAGCCCTATGTTCAGCAGTAGTCGGATAATGGCTGAGATGATGATGTTGGATTTCTACAAAATAATGCTTAGTTCAGTAAAATATTTTAAAGATTTCGATTTTCTCCTAAAATCTAAAGTTTCCCATATTAATATGGTATATCCCCCTATTAAGTTAGTGTGGGATGGATATTTTACCGTTTCTCCACACCTGTTTTTTTTTTTTTAAATATTGTTTAGTACAAGTCTCTCTTAAAAATATAATAAATTTAATTGCAATTTACATTGGTGTTTACCTGGAAAATATTATTGCTCTCACTGTTCAAAATCATGACACACTGATCGAAATGATGATGCTCCATCGTTGACGTAGAATACAATATGGCTAGAGGACTCTCAGTTTTCGTTTGGAAGGCGTTGTTAGTACCTCTATGGTCTAAGTCGTGGCATAGACAAGCTACTAACAAACCGAGAATTTCTAGATCCGACATAAATCTCTCCATTTTTCCGGTTTTCAGCATTGCGAACATCGTTTGCGCAACGTTCAGAGCGTGTCGCCAATTGTGATATTTTACTGGCCTATAGTTTTTCTTCACACTTAATATCCATCTGCATAAAACCTGGAATTGTATTGGATTTTGAATAGTTATTAACTATATTAGTTTTAAAGCTTATGTTCATTTTTATTCAATGTCTATATAAATATGAGAGATTAATGAACTCATTGTGTTTTGTCGTTTCCGACAATTGTTTCGACTTCATCCGGAAGTCTTCTTTAAAGGGCGTTTAGTGCTTTGCGTCTCAGCGTCTCGCCTCGCACTGTGAGTTCGTTGATCTCCCGTATTTATATAGACATTGTTATTAACTAAATTATTGTGATACTTTGTACCATTCGTGTTTCTGCCGTAAAGCAGTTGTGTTTGCATGATTGTGTTTCGGTTTGAAGGGGATACAGTAGCGTATTTATAGGGTACAGAGGTATAATATCTTAGTTTTCAGGAATGGCAGCACATGAGAGGTATCATGAGTGACACAGTATACCTTGTAATATCCATAGTACTGTTCATGTCTATAGGTGACAGGTTACCAGTTTTCATCAGGTGGACCGTCAGCTTATTTATCATTCTAAGTAACAAAAAAAAATTGAGCGGCATTGTTTATAATTTATAAAGATTAGTTATATATAAGACTATTATATTTTAGATATTAATAAAAAAATATTTTGAAGTTATATTTGATACTTACATCATATGGTATGTGGAATTTCTCAACTAAATTACATTGTAAAAACATCCGTAAAGTTGCTTTGCACGTGTCATCATCGGACAAATCAAAATCTGAAATTAAACACATTGAAAATTGTTAAAAATAAATAAATAAATGGTGTCCTACGATTTGGTAACAATACAATGTACCTAGTAGATTGAAAAATATATTAAAATTTGTTTTTTCTTTTATATTTATTTATTTCCTTCTTACCATGTCTTTACAAGATAGATCCGAAGTCGACAAGGTACAACAAACAACATTGTTTTATATTTTATAATAAAATATAGTAATACTTCCATACGATATATTATTTGATAGAGCAAGTATTCTAATGAAAGGTGCATGTTGGAGAAATTTTTTTTAATATATAGATATATTTTAATCGTAACATAAAGGACTTTCTTAAAAGGTTATTTACCAGAGAGAGATTTTTTAGAAAAAATATTTGTATCAAAATCGTGTGAATGGCACCTACGAGTATGTTCAATACGAGTATGTGATTTCCCCATCAAGCAACTATATTTGTATGGCTCAATTTAAGTTAGAAAGAGTATGGTAAAATTACGAAGTATATTCTATATAAATATAAGATTATAGTTGTCAGGAGTGGTTTAGCATGAATTCCATGGGCACCACAGTGCATTCTGTGACGTCCATGATGCTGTTCACGTTTATAGGCGACGGTTACCACTTTTCATTAAGTGGGTCATCAGCTTGTTTGCCATTTTAAATTGCATAATAATTTGAGATTGTGATCTAAAAAAACTGACTTTAATTGTGGCAAAATTAGTTATTTTAACTTAAAAACTACCCGACCGATTTTTATAAAATTTCTATGAAACAAATCTACAAGTACATCCTTTTGGATAAAAGAAGAATTTTCCAAATCGGTTTATAACTGACGGAGTTATGAGGTAACAAACACAAAAGAAATATAATTAATCTGATTACATTTTTCTTTTTAAAGTTGGTTAAAATTACTAATGGATTCGACATCAGCTTGCATATTGCTATAAAAGATTCATACCATGAAAGTGAAAACTGTATAGGTTGTATGTCTCAGACGACGGTATAACATCCTGACATAACTTATTGGTGTCTTCCGCTGATGCTGTGGCGTGATATGATAGACACTCGAGCGCAACCTGTAATCACAGTAATGGAATATAATCATCACCAACTTTCATTGTCACAAATATTTCGGATTTTGTTCCGCTAAAAAGACTATCATCGATGTCCGTACTCAGGCTCGCGCTTGGGTCAATGCAACTAAAGATTAAGTAGTCCGGATGGTCCCGAAACTAGTCAATTTTTCTTGAGTGAATTACACGTAAGTTAAACCGGTAGTTATTACGTTATAATAAAATTTTCAAATATTTTATTAGTGATATAAAAAAAAATATATATCTGTCTACACTAATATAATAGGCAAAACAATGGAAATATTTTTTTATTCAAATAAATTATATCTTATATATATATATATATATATATATATATATATATAGCTCAATTAAAAAAATATTTATTATCATGAATAAACTCAAAGTGTAATAATTTATCTGTGTATTTAATGAATGAAACACATAATTATTCATATACTTGCCTTTTGTTTAGCCATTAATTTACACGCGTTCTCATACATTTGCGTGTTGTGAATACCGAGACCACAAAAGATGGCGAATGCTTCAAAGATGGAGACGTCACCGTCTGTGAATTGGGAACCGTTCTCCTGGAAAAAAATTAACATAAAGTAAACTTTTATTGCTTTAATACATATTTTACAAATTATATTAGTAAAATAATTTAGTTAATTATTCATATATATTAATTATAAAGTAAATCATGTATCTAGAAGAAAACAAATAATAAAAGAGCACTAGATATAAGAGTTTTTTTTTATTTTTTTATGATACGTAGAATAGCAATCAAGCTAAGTCAATTTAAGTACTTTTTTTTTATACAACTTAGAATGGCAAACAAGCTGACGGCTCACCTGATGGAAAGTGGTAACCGTCGCCTATAGACATCTCCATTCATTCATGGACATAACAGATATATCTGTTTCGTAATTCTTCCATGATCCTCTCCAAATGACGTTGCCATTCCTGAGGACTTAGGTTTTATTTTTTCCTCTGTACTCAGTCCACACTTCTCTCATCCACTATTATTATTCATATATATTAATTATAAAGTAAATCATGTACCTAGAAGAAAACAAATAACAAAAGAGCACTAGATAAGAGTTTTTAGGAATCAAGTTAAGTCAACTTAAGTAGTTTGTTAATGCCTATAAAAGTGAACAGCGTCAAGCAACATTAGATATATTGTTATTTCTACGGTTCCTGTCATGCGTAACTATTCCTAAGGACCAAGGTGTTATGTTTCCATACCCTGTAATTTCCATGTCATATCTTCTCTCAAATCAAAACACAGTCATGCAAATATGAAACACGGGTAGGGCGTAGGCAATTTTGTAACAAAACCTTACTCGAGTAATTATTTAGTTATTAAACATCTCTAAAAAGTTGATATTAACATCAAAACGATATATAAGACCTATGGTTTCCTTTCATCGACTACGCTCATGAGTAAGGGCTCCTATCGACTTCGAAATTAGTCAACCATTCCGTAATTTAAAATGCAAATAAAACCGACATAATTAATTGCAATAATTACACTTACTTTATTAATTAACTGTGCCACGCCAATAACGTCTTTATTCGCATTGACAATAGGCATACACAGCATCGTCCTCACATTGATAGCGTCATCCACTTCTGGATCAACTGCTTCCATAGCGTTCTCTTTACGCCATTGACTCACATCCGATATGTTGAGAGCCTTGTTGGATTGAGCCACCTGAAAATTGGTTTAGTTTTTTATACTTCTCTTTACCTTTTTCTCTTTTTGCTTTAGAAAGAGAGAGAGAGAAGAAAGAGAGAGAGAGAAAGAAGAAAGAGCAAAGTAAATATTGTTTAGTTTTTATATATAATAATATAACTGATACTACACGCTATACCTTCGCCCCTCTATATTAAATATTTCTATCTACAAAAAAGCTTAAGATTGTGATATACTTTTGAAAGCAATCTTAGAATATTCTAATATTTAATATAAATATGAATTATGCAAACATGAATTTCATAAATATTAAATATTAATTACAGAATGAAGTTTCAATTGTTATGAGAGTGAGAAACAGAGAGAGAGACATTGAGAATATTCATTAATGAAGTTTGAGTAAATTGGAGTGAATGAACAAGTGGATCCAGGGTTAATTATTTTTCCTCCTCTATATCCATTGGTAGTGGAGCAATCGCTAATAATTGTACTCTAAAACTTAAATTACAAAAAATAGTGAATAAAAGTAGTAGAGAATTTAATTACAAATCTATACCTTACCGCCAAAGCAATAGAAGCTAAAGTTGATTTTGTGTCATGCCTCGGTGTAAGGGTGGTCCTGGACTGATGGGCGCCTAGTTCAAAGAGTGTGTTGAATCTAGTCGGTGCAGGTGGAGGTAACGCGGGCACTGCCGATGGTCTACCACCAGGACGTTGGACAATTCTTTCTAGATGGCTCTGGAATAATAGTATAGAACTTGGTTTACTGTGTCATCCATATAGATGCAAAATATATATATATCCATATAGATAAAAATAAGCACGAATAACATGGCATATAAATAAAAGAAAATAAATAATAATTTACTTAAATTTATTAAGGAAAGTAATGATTATGTTAGTAGTCATCATAGGATTGCAGAAAGTAGTATGATGTAATTTCTTAAGATATAAATAAGTTTCTAAACAAAGAATTTGAAGTTGGTTATAAACTAGAAAATTTTAGTTACAGGGCGCAATAATTGAGTAGCAATAAATAAATATTATGTACTGAAAATAGGTTAAATGAAATTTAAGTAATAATAATAATATTTTAATAATAGTATTAAATTTTTTTTTAAATAATCTAATTTTATAAAGTGTGTGTGAATTTAAAATTCTTGACCTTATCGGGATGCTTTAAAAATATTTTATATTAAGACGTTGCTTAAAAATTATTAAAGACATCCTAGGATACTCTAAAAACCAGAACATATCCTGGAAAAACAAGACGGCTAACAACCCTAGACTAATTATGGTTATGCAGAAGTACTAAGCACACCTAATATTTTGTAATAAAACAAAAACGAATAATAAAAATGATACAAATAAAAATAATTGTATGCCACAAAGAAAACAAACTTTAATTGTGGCAATAATTAAATTTTGATTTAAAAACAAAATTACTGAACTGATTTTGATAAAATTTGTATAAGTATATTCTTCTAGATAAGAAAAGAATTTTCCAAAGCGGTTTACAACTTATGAGGTATGAGGTAACAAATATAAAAAAGTACAACCGAATTGAGAAGCTCTTTATTTTTGAAGTCGGTTAAAAAAAAAACTTACCGACTCACAATGATCCGTGTCTAATATGAACACAGCACATCTATCGCATTTTAATAATTCCCTCGCTTCTGTCATTATTTTAGTCACCAAACATTCTAAATTGCTCTGTTCCTCAAATATGCTTCTAGCTAATGCTAGAAGGATCTGATTCCGTTTGTACTCCAGAACAGAAGATTCGAAGAGCTGGGCGTTCTGGATGCCAATACCGCAGAAGGTGAGGTAACGGCGGAAAACTTCGACATCGCGCGGTGAAAATTCCAAGGATCCTGAAAGAGTAGGGGCACCATTTGAATCGAGGAAAATAATAATAGATAAGTTAAAAAAAAACAGTTTTGGTGGAGTTTGAAAATCATTTATATATGTGAGAATAATTATCTATCACAGATTTATATTAAACATTTTTCACAAGGAAGAAATACTTAATTTTTTTTATACTACTGAGAATGGCAAACAAGCTGACGGCCCACCTGATGGAAAGTGGGAATCGTCGCAAATAAACATGAAAAATACCCTGGACATAACAGAGTTTACTGTTTCGCCCATTATACCCCCCATGCGTTGCCATTCCTGAGGACTCAGGTGTTATTCCTCTGTATCCTGTAAATTCACGCCATATCCCACCCTTCAAACCGAAACACAGCTATGCAGACACAACTGCTTTACGGTTGAAACACGAATGGGAGAGAGGTGCCCAAGCAATCGACTTTTGTACAAAGTTTCCCTCTGGTTATATTATTTTATTGTATTGTACTCGTATGTATTATTATTTTATTGATACGCTTTAAGTGTTTTAACGGATTAATAAATCACTATAGTATTTGGTATACATATACACGTATTGTATGAGATGGAGAAGAACGGAGCCCACTTCTTATTTCGGTCTGTAAACATATCCTGGTTACGCGGATAAAGTCGCTGGTAAAAGATGGTGAAAAAATAATCATTAGGTAGATATACCATCAGTTTTGTTGATAATCTGAGCGACACCGACCACGTCGCCTTCGTAGTTGCATATCGGCATGCACAGGATCAGTTCTGTCTTGTATCCGGTTCTGGCGTCGATTTCACTATTGAATCTGTGGAAAACAATGTTCTTTTTTTAAATATTTCCTTTCTAGTATTTTTTTTTTTTTATAAATAGCAATCAAGATGATAGCTACATGGCCACTGTATAGAATGGGCCATCCCTATCATTCCTATAGGTGCCGTAAGAGCCGACTAAGGGAACTTAATGGTCGAGATATGAGCAGCAGCCATCTCGAAATATCGCTAAGGCTAAGATAACTGCGGATGTCAATCCGTCTGCCAAGCGTGGTCACTACTGGCAAAGTCCACAAAGAGGGAGGTCTATGTTCAGTAGAGGACAGTGAACGGTTGATATAATGATGAAACAAGATGATAGCCCATCTAAATAATGTGGTAACTGTCGTCTATAGATATGAATAATACAATGAATGTCGCAGAATACATTATGAATAACCCACAGTACCCCTTATACGTTGTCAGAGGAACAGAGGAAACCTGAGTCCTCAGGAATGGAAACGCATGGGGGGTATCATGGGCGAAACAGTATACTCTGTTATTTTCATGGTACTGCTCATGTCTATAGGCGACGGTCACCACTTTCCATCAGGTGGGTTATCAGCTTGTTTGCTATTCTAAGTTGTATAAAAAAAGTCATCTGTGAGGTCTTTTTTTTAATGGATGATAATGGAATAGTAATCCCGCCTGTGCTAACGATATACGCGGACGAAGCACCAGTGAGGGACGATAGGCGACAATGAAAAGGCAAGTCAGTTAGCAAATCGTGATGAATACACATGGAATTCAAGACGACAGTTTCCAGGGGGGGCATGTGGAGGTCAATATGACCTCATGTTGCTGGCAACGGGACTGGTAGTCTGCAATAATAATCCCTCGAGAGGTTCGTACCGATTTAATTGCCATACGCTTTAAATAGTAACACAAGTATGTACAGATAGTAGCTTGATGGCAAAAATACGTGAGAGATTAGAGGTGGCACAGACAAATTTTCTACAAAGTTTCTTTCGAAATAATCTATTTCTATTCAGAACGTACCTTGGGTCCGCGTAAGCATTTTTTATGTTGATCGGATGTTTAGTTTGCGCTGCCAGCCCTGCTACTCCAACACCAAAAGGAATTTTGATCTCTTGTGTTCTCGCTATTTTGAGGGCGTCGTTTAATTCTGGGAAGAGAGAATAAAGTTTGTTATTTTGACTTTTTAGTATAAATTAAGGTAATTGGTACTTCCTTCAGATTTATCTCTCGCAACACGAAGAAAAGAAAATAACAGTAAATACTCTGATTCACACATGATTGCACTTCTTTTTTAGGAAGTCAGTTTTTTAGTCAATTGACTTTGTCTATATCGTTTCGCCGTTGACTGGTGCAGTATCTTTTTAAATCATTCACTTAAGCAGGTATATTCCACCTGTAGAAACACTTTCGTTATATCAAACAGGTATAATGAGTGAAATTCAGACTAGTACCAGAAATTATGGTTAACACATATGAATATGCGGTATACAGTAGGACTTGTGATCCTAATGAATATCAACAGTTATTCTAAGTGACTTGAATCTATTTATCCAGTAGGTATTTATAAGTTTCTCAGTAAAGAAATAAAGGGATATATTTTTATTTGAATTGAAAAAGTACAATAATATCTTATAAAGCCTGAACAAAATGAAGCCATTACATCACAGCACGTCTGGAACAGCTGTTGGTTTCAGCTGTGCTCTTCCTTTTTTAAATAACTACCTACCATCGAGAATTTTCTCTCAAGAATACTTTTTAATAGAATTTTACGATAATATATAATTAAATTGTGTTGCAAAAGAAATATCTACTTCAATTGCGGCAAAATTACGTTATTTTGATTTAAATACTAAACCGATTTGGATAAAATTTCTATGGGACTAATTCTGTAAGCATATTCTTTTAAATAAAAAAAGGAATTTTCCAAATCAGTTTAGAACTGACGGAGTTACAAATATTTCGATGCAGTAGTTTTCGCGTGATCTCGGAATAAACGTATAGATCGATAGATAGACAGATAAATAGATAAGCAGACAGTCAGACAGAATTTCTAAAAATTATTGTTTTGGCTTCTATTACTCCTTAAATAGAAAAATGCAAGAATTTCTTTATTTCATTCTTTTTAAATATCTTTTATGTACAATAATCGTCCAGTTTCAATTATATTATATAATTATAGCTTAATAATTTATAATTAAATAAAAAGGTACCAACCACCCCTAACAAGTTCTATTAATAGTATCAAAGTCTATATGTTTTCCTTACATTACAAATTTTCTTTTTCCTTTATTACATTTTTTATGTTGGGTCCTAATGAAAAAAGTCAAGTCATTAGGTATTTTAAATGTGGCACGTGCAAAAGTTTCGCTATTCCAAATACCTACTTTAGGAGGATAAAAATGGGATGAAATTACGAAATTACGTCACGTAGGTACTTATATAAAAACTGTACTAATGCTGTGTAATAGTGATTCAAGGTTGTTTTTGATAGGTAAGCTTTTATATTACTGGTTATTTTATAAGAAATATTTTATTTAATTCCTCTACCATTAGTATGTGTGACGACGACCCCTCCCCATACTAGGTGGAACTACAACCTCAAATGCATTGCAGGGAGTTATTGGGTGCAGGTGGCTCAGGGCTGTCCCTTATGGCAGTCTATGGGGGAGTCCTATTTTCAGCAGTGGACAGATAACGGCTGATACGATGATGATTATGATGACAATAACTGATTATAAACAATAATCATTAAAGAAGATAAATAAAAAAAATAATGAAGATAGATTACCAGAGGGAGACTTTGTACAAAAGTAGTTTGTTTGGGTGCCACTGTTTCGTTCGTGTTTCTACCATGAAGCAGTTGTGTTTGCATGGCTGTGTTTCGATTTGAAAGGTGGGATATGGCAGTGAATTTTCAGGATACAGAGGAATAACACCTGAGTCCTCAGGAATAGCAAGGCATGAAGGCTATCACTGGCGAAATAGTATACTCTGTTATGTCCATGGTGCTGCTCATGTCTATAGGCGACGGTTGTCACTTTCCATCAGGTAGGCCGTCAGCTTGTTTGCCATTCCAGTATTTATTCAAGTAGAAAGGGATTGTTAGTAATAGGGTCTAACAGCCCCATTGCTAGTAATATACCCTATCGGGTCGACCTCCACGCGGTTCTCCTAGAAACCATCGTGACTAATTTATCGTTGAATTCGTCACGATGAGTTAACTGATTTCTCACTGGTGCCCCGCCAGCGTATACGGATAGCGCGGGCGAGGTTACCATTCCATTATCACCCATTAAAAAAAACACAAGTTGGATAGAGGTGCCCAAGCAAACGACTTTTGTACAAAGTCTCCCTCTGGTATATAGATAGGTAATATCATTGATCATAAAAGTCGCTACGTACTATATCGAGCGTAGTTATCATTTTGATAAGGGACGGCAATCGATTACATGTTTGCGGGGCATAGATTTATAGAGGGGTGGTGTCCTATTTTTAGTCTGTCCCATTTGTTTGTCCCGTTCCACCCCACGGAAACGCCGCGGCACGAGTCCGTGTGCGTAAGGATAGACGTCTAGGAAACACAGCCAATAAAAAGTGAGTTTATGTAATACAGTTAGTATCAAAATGAGATAGACAGTCTGCTAAAATTAGATATAATCAATACTAATATTATAAAGAGGAAACTATTGATTGTCTGTTTGTTTGTAATGTATAAATTCGAAAATTATTTGACCTAATTTTAAAATTCTATCATCTATATTAAGCTATATTATCAATGAGTAACATAGACTATATGAATATTAAAATTAATTTATTCAAGAATCATTAATCATTTATTTTATTAATTTATTATTTTTTACATGAATAATAAATATTTTCTAATTATCCGTTCGAAGTCGGGGCGGATCGTTAGTTTATTATAAATGGATTATAAATAGCTACGAAAAGAGAAATTCTTTTTTGAATCAAATACGTGGGAGGAGCATCCGGAACCGGCGTTTGTGCATGGATGAGTTTCGAATGTAAACAATGATCGAGATTACATTCATATATGTACCTATGTAGGTAAATTTACATTGGTTGTTTTAGGTACTCTTCAGAAAAAAGATTATTCTACCTCGTTTATACAACTTTTACCGATTATGCAATGAAATATTTTTTTTAATGGGTGATAATGGAATGGTAACCCCACCCGCGCTTTTGGTATACACAGGCGGGGCACCAGAGAAGTGATAATAGATGAGTATGAAGCAAGTGAGTTAGCCCATCGTGACGAATTCAACAAGAATTGTTCACGATGGTTTCCTGGGGGAACAACGTGGAGTTCGACCTAATAGGGCATATTGCTAGCAAAGAGACTGTCAAACTTCATTGCTAACAATTCCTTTTCCCCCACAATGAAGGATTTCTGTGGTCTCGGCATAGAAAGAGTCGCTCGTTGCTCTCCTGTGGGTGTAAGGGTATTTAATGGCCGAGGAATGGATAGAAGCGGCCCTCTTGAAATATCACCAAAGGCTAGCTGCGGATGCCAATCCACCTGCCAAGCGTGGCAACTACTAGCAAAATCCTTCAATAGGGGGAGACTTACGTTTAGCAGTGGACAGTTAAAGGCTGACATGATGATGATGACGTAATAAAGGAACGTAATGTGTTTCGGCTGTTGAAATATATGTGCGGATATTTGGCGTGTAACATAGAGATCTTGATTGATTTTAATTCTGTACACTGCCATAATAAACAAATATGGCAGTCAAAAATTTCTCAAATCTAGCAATATTTATTTTTATTTTACCACGGCCATTTACTTATTTATGCATATATAAAACAATAATATGTATATATATATAATAATAATAAATAAGTTTTATTATATATAAGTAAGACATTTATTTATGTATAAATAACACTTTCATTTATGTATAAATAAAAAAAATTGGGTCACGTTATTTTTTTTTATTTTGATTACATTTCCATTTAAATTGTACCAGTAGTTTGACCATGTAAACATAACAATAGACTTGTATTTATACCTCTGGTGAGAGACCAATAGATTTTTTGTATGCATAGTTAATTTATAACGACTCTATTGTTTATTGTTGACAATATGGCGTCATCCTTATGTGTAAAAACATCACCCATAAGGCGGCCATACATTTTTTCATATAATTAATAGATAGTGACTTCATTATCTTTGGATTTTGAGTATAAATAATTTATTTGCCAAGTACGAAATGGTAGAGGTATAATTTATTATACACAACAGACTAAAATTATATCTCACATCACCTCAATTGATACACTATCCCTGAATAATACGACAATATGTTAGAACTACGCTGTATAAATACTATGCTGTGAAATATCCTATTTTCTATGAGAATGGGAAATAATAGGTGCTGCGCAGTTGATGTCATGTGTTTCTTCAGTCATTTATAAATAAAACAAAGGAGCTTGAAGTAATATAAATTATATACTGAAAGTTCGGTAATATAAAAAGTAAGGTAGTTTAAATTGTAATTATGTCTTACTACTATATAAGTATACGTATATATTTATATCTAAAAAAATATACCAATGTCAAATACTTCAAGAGATTGTTATACCATATTATTGTTTTTGTTAATTAGCATGCTGTGTTTCCTTTAAAATGATTGTACACTAAGTATAAATAGACAGTAATTTTAATATTAAATCTTATCAGTGTAACAATTGCTAGGAGACCAAATAAAGATAAAAATAAAATAAAATATGCAAATACGCTATATTTTTATATTTCTTTGCTGTTATTCCTATACATTTAATATATTTTTTGTTGTATCTACGGTTGACTGGTAAATAAATCCATATGATGTTAAGTCTAAGCCTTTTCATTGTCTACGTATATTAGAGATAAATAAATATATTGTTTAAAACTAGTATTATAATAAATAGACACTTCTAAATAGCTGCTATATTTCAACAGCCATATTTATCGTCTTATTTATTATTAGTAAAGTATTATATTATTTATGCATTGGTAGAGATTGATCTTGACAAGTTCTGTAATATTACAATTATTAACTATGCTTTTATAGAAATCGATATAAGACCTCTTTCGTCGTCAAAATGATTTATCTATAATAAAGTTTTTGTACAATAGTCTCCTTTTTTCGAGATCACTTTTATCCAGGAAATTCTTGTTGTTACGCCGCGGACCGAATAGGCACTTTTCGTTTACTTGTAGCAAGAATAGCCACGCAAAGTAGGTATCTTTGTATAATTGCCGCATCTATTTAAGTATGGTCTATGGACTAGAAGAAGGTTGGGACATTTCCTAAATGGAATACTTTAAACATTCTTTTTTATTAGTTTAACGACTTCTCATTACCGAATCTAATTATTGTAATTCGAAGTCGACAGTTCGGTTATTGGTTTTCCGAAGTCTTATTAGAAATTCATGAAGTTAGCTTACTAATGGAATTATGATGATATATTTTGGTATTCTGATTAAAGATTAATTGTAATGGTAGTTTCATCATCACATCGTTATATCAGCCGTTTATTGTCCACTGATGAACGTAAGCCTCCACCTCCTTGGGGGTTTTGCGACTTGTTGCTACGCTGTTGGCAGTTGGCAGGTGGGTTGGCAATCACAGTTAGGCTTTGGTAATGTTTTAAGAGGGACCCATTTTTCAACCATTAACTTCCCCTAGTAGCCTCTTACGCCGAAATAATACGGTCTTAGGTACTTTCATATTAATGATAAATAAAGAAATATCTAAATAACTAAAAATAGAAAACGTTGACTTATTTAATGCCAGTTATTGTATTTTTTTTTCATTGTGACAAATGCAAGCTCAGGTCTGGGAATTTAGGACATAATATGATTTGTATTTTCCAATATTCGTTTAATAGTAGATGTTTAACAAAAAATTTGATGTTTTTTGTTATTTTAGTCGTCTTTTACGACGTCCTTTTTTATGTAACTTGGTACATAAGAATCCTAAGAACATTGTATTATCACTTTTTCACCACACGAATATTTAATGCTATTTTTAGGGGATTTGTTAGGGTTTTAGGGTTAAGAGAAAAAATGAGATGCTTATAGGATTACGTGCCTATCTGTCCATCTGTCTGTCACAGCTAATTTGCTTTGAAGCTACTGGACTGGTTGAGTTTGAAAAATTTGGTGCACATATGTAAGTGACAGTGAACCAAAACTGATGTGTAATGTAAATAAATGAATTTTAAACATGGATATCACTTTTGAGGGGGTAAATTAAAGAAAAAATGTTTTAAAAACTATGTCGTGTTACATATCTAATGAAAGGGTTTATTGTGAGAATCTCAAATATATTATAATTATAAGATAAACATTTCTGAAATTATTTAAGAAAATAGGTGAATATTGACCATGCCCCCCTTTATCCCTGAAACTACTGGACCTAATATTTAAAAAAAACATAAAAATTGACTTTACCTATAAATTACAAAAAAAATTATAAGAAGGAAATTTCTACATATTAATGTGTATGTATTTCTTTTCCAGTTGTAATATTGCAACAAATTTGCTTCGAATATATGTATTAGATAGTTAAAGTTTTATATGTAACCGATTTGGATAATTATTTATCTGAAATGATATACTTATACATTGGTCCCATAGAATGTTTATCATAATCCGGTTAGTAGTTAAGTTTTAAGATCCAAATTAGTTTGTAACAATTGAAATCGATTTTTTTTTGGGTCAATCTTCAATTATTAATCATCGTTGGATATTTAATATTGTTACTTCGTTTAAAATATGAGACTTACCTGTATCCCTAGTGACGTCGAAGAGCTTCGCTTGTAGGTAGCGGTTCGGTGCTGTACCTTTAGCTAAGAATAGGCTGCCTCTGTCTGCTGACGTCAGCAGACACACGTTCACCAGGATCTGCGGGCAAATATTTTTTTTTTTATTTTATTGAAGTTAATTGGTAAGCGATTACCGTAGTCTATGAACGCTTGCAATACCAGGGCCTTTACGCGCCCGTTGTCTACCCTCAGGAAACGTCTTTATCTCATTTTTAAAGAATCCCATGCTGTCTCTTGTCTATGTCTCTTGGAAAAACCTAGGGAGCTCATTCTATAACCTGAGAGTACATGGGAGAAAATATCTTTATTAATAAAATGTAATAGTACAGGTTGATGTCTGATGTTGACACTGTCATGTCCATGGTACTGCTCATGTCTATAGGCGACAGTTACCGCTTCCCATTTGGTAGACCGTCAGCTTGTTTGTCATTCTAAGTTGCGTAAAAAATGTCTCTAATATTTAAAATTGATATAACAGTGACATTTTCATTCTAAGGGCCAATATCAATTAAATTTCTAATAAATTTACGTCGAAATTAATGTATTTTGTTTATGACAGTCCATAAAACAGTAATTTTGAAAAACTATCGAATTCAGTATCATGTATCGTAATATAGTATTAGGTTGTGAATTAGGTCTGGAGAAATGACGTCATAGAATTGATCCATTGTGATACTAATGGTACCGTTCATGCATTGCCGTGCTTGAGTACTTTTTTCTATGAATTTCACATTTAAAACTTAATTATGTGAAGCCACGACAATCTCCAATAGGCACTTTTATAATTTACCGTAGCACGGCACGATACGATTTTCAACGAACTTCAAAAAGAACGAGATTCTCGATTCGGTTATATTTTTTTTGTTTGTTGCCTCATAACTCCGTAAAATGTAAACTGATTCGGAAAATTCTTTTTCTATCTGAAAGGTTATATTCTCAGATTGGTATCATAGAAATTTTATCAAAATTCGTTTAGTAGTTGCAATATGAGATTCATGTTTCGCCATATACGAGTACAGGCATGTAAATATTGAATACTTAATACTATTTTTATTCACATTATTTTATTATATTATTTCTATATGCCAGTTTAATCAAAATAACTGTTTATGCTATAATCAAAGTCGATTTTTGACTGTGGAACACAATCCTAATTATATTGTCACGATATATCGAGGATATGCTTATTAAATGTATCATTGTATGAAGATATATTTAGTTTTCCATCATGCTATGTACGTTTACGTTAAGAGTTCATATAATTGCATACATTTTGTATCCCTATTTTCGTATACCTACGTGCTACGATAAATTATAAGTGCCCAATGACGCAATAGGGTGCGCGAGTAGGATGTGGCCGCAAATGTCGAGGAGTAATACAGGGGTGTTCTAAGAGTGTTCATACATATACTCAACGAAGTATAGCATTCACGTCCCGTTGTAATTATCTGTTAATTTTCGAAAATAATTGGACGATTTTCAATATTTCCAATTAATTTGAAAGTCCTCTGCTAGCGAACTATAACGTTAATATTAGAATACACTTGGTAAAAATCTACCACTAAAAACTATATTTAACTTCGAAATTTTTCAAATACTTTTTTAGCCTCAGAATTTAAATTTCAGTGACCGCTTAACAAGAATATTATTGCATGATTAATGTTGTTGTTTTTTTTTTATGCAACTTAGAATGGCAAACAAGCTGTCGGTCCACCTGGTGGAAAGTGATAACCGTCGCCTATAGACTTGACCAGTACCATGGCATAGTACCATGGACATCAACAGAGTTTTACTGTTTATACAAGTGAAACAATGTTTTAAATTGGTTAAGCGTTCATTGAATTTGTCCATTACAAACAAAAAAATCAAATCTTTCCTCGTTATAATATTAGTATAGACATACAAACGAGCTAACAAACATTCTTTAACATATATAATTATACCGCCTTTTTTCTTTTCTCCTCTACCTAAATATATTGCCATTCCTGAGGACTCAGTTGTTATTCCTCCGTAAATTCAAACTGAAACACAGCCATGCAAACACAACTGCTTTACGGTTGAAACACGAATGGGACATGAAACATGAATGGGACAGAGGTACCCAAGCAATCGACTTTTGAACAAAGTCTCCCTCTGGTACAAAAAGATTATCAGTAAGTGGTGCAATAAAGAATAAATAAACAAATAATTTCAGTAAATATGATATATGTATGTAGCATAGATAAGTACTATGTCGCAATTGTACATCATATATATTACTCAACTGGCTACGTGCATCAGATAAATTCCCTTTTATTTAATGGTAGTAACCCGTGAAATTGCTTCACCCACTGAATGAGACGTACTAAGGGGTTCAAATAATGAACTCAGTATGAAGGAAATGATATACTTGGCAGTAAATTAGAATATGGGACATTATTTATATAATATTGTATAAAAATGTACGTTAAAAGTTTTAAGTTACTTTAATTCAATTTTTTATGGTGTTTGAAAATGACTAAAAAGATGGCCATATCATGGATACCTATATATATATATATATGTATGTATCATGGCACGATATCCTATAATTTTGCTGTCGTCATATAATAGGAAAACAGAATGTATGCATTGGAATATGTATGGAGACGCTTTTAATTTTCCGCTACGACATACAATATAATAAGTCTGTTAAAGGAACAAGAGTAAAATTTTATAATAATATACCTAAGGATATTTGATTTGTATTTTCTTTATTTATATGACTATATTTTATTTTATTCTTATCCTCGAGTATAATATAGTATATCTTATATATGTGTATGTATAATATATTTGTTATTTATGAATATTTATTTCTATATATGTAAACTTTAGTAATATATGTATATCAATTATTACTAGTACCGAATTCGTGTATTCTGACACTTCCCTAAGGATGACTGAGAGAGAATGTTTTTACTATTAAGTCCGCCTTGTACACATACATAATGAATAAATAATATTAAGCCAAGTTTCATTAAGATCATTGTCATCATCATCTCAGCCATTATCCGTCCACTGTTGAATTAAGGCTTCCCCCATACAATGTTATAAAGAATTGTACTGAGCCACCTGCATCCATTGACTCTCTGCAAAACATTTGAGATTGTCACTCCATCTAGTGGGGGTCGTCCTATATTGCGTTTGGGGTCGTCACTCAAGAACTTTTCTTCCCCATCGGTTGTCGGTTCTTCGAGCTATGTGACATTTAGATCAAAAGATGATAAATAGACGAACTGTTTCGAAATATGAAAATAATGTGTAAATGATTTGTTTTACAGGAATTAAGTCAATAGAGCGGGTGATTGATAGCTTGAAGTAACGATGTTTTTTTTACCTTTATTTATTTAAAGGAGGGCACAGTGTAACTAATTTAATATAATATTAACTAATTTCAGGATATCGTAAAATTAACTCTACTTGATAAAAGTTTATTGAAAAAGGAATATCACGGAAAGATAAAAAAAACTTATTACTTATCAGTTCTGCTATGTCATATACTAACCTTATATCCTCGTATGAGAGATTTACTAGGAAGATGATAATTTAGGTGACTGTATGACGAAAACGTGTGTGCTCCGGCATAGAAATATTAAAATAACCTGTGGAACTGGAGGCGGCTAATGGCGACTAATGAGGGAGGGCGAGGAATGGGCAGCAGCGTCCCTCTTAAAACATCTTTAAAAAGCTAACTGTGGTTGCCAACTTGCCTGCTAAGCGTAGCAACACTGACAAAAATCCCCTTATGGGGAAGGCTTATGTTCAGCAGTGGACAGTTAAGGGCTGAAATAATAATAACGAAAATATTACCTTGTGACAGAGCACATCGATGTCCAATTCGTTGGCGACATCTTTGATCAAGTCCATGAAAAGGTCCGCCTCATCCAACTGGTTTTGTATCGCCGAACCACTGGGTGATCGTGACCTCTGCAACAATAGTAATATTGATTAAATAGTGTAGATTACAGTAACATTGCTGTGTAGTCCCGGCATAGAATGGGCCCCCTTCCTTTTCTGTAGGTGTCGTAAGACGCGAATAAGGGAATATAACAGTCGAGGGATGGGCTGCAGCGTCCCTCTTAAAACATTATTAAAATCTAACTGCGGTTACCAATTCGCTTTCCAAGTATGGAAACTACAGGTGATACTCTTGAGGGAGGTCTATGTTTAGCAGTAGACAGTTAATGGCTGATATGATGATATTAACACTGTTGCTTTTTTTTTGTACAACTTAGAATGGCAAACAAGCTGACGGCCCACCTGATGGAAAGTGGTAACCGTCGCCTATAGACATGAGCAGTACCATGGACATAACAGAGTATACTGTTTCGCCCATGATACCCCCCATTCGTTGCCATTTCTGAGGACTCAGGTGTTATTCCTTTGTACCCTGTAAATTAAAACAATCAAAACAAAAAAACAAAACTATGCAAATACAACTGCTTTACGGTTGAAACAAACATTATCACAATGGCACTTTATTTATACAATTTACAAAGTCAAATATATATAGACTCCCATTGAAAGTGGACAGAATCCGTACTAGAATACTGCGTGTACTGTGTTACGGTATTCTGGCCCCCACACTCATACTATATGAAGAGTATATTTTTGAGTAAAAGTGTCCTTTTTTTTTACACAAAACATCATTCACATACTCACTTTATAACAGTAATTATAATTTATATCAACACGTCTGTATTAAATTTACATCACATACTTACATTAAAATATTTACTCATGTTGAAGGCTCTTAATTAATTCCCAATTCTGTTTCGCTATTTAATTTCGCTAAGTAAATACGTTTCGGCAAAGTCAATAGCCCACATTTGATCAACTGTACATTTCAGTGGGGGGAATAAATTACGAGGCCCTAACCAACTTTGTTCGTGTAACTCAAACATTAAATAGATAGGAGCTTTATAAATACTTACTAATTTTTATTGGAGTATTTAAGATTATTTTCGAGGGGGGAGGGGAAGGGGGCTGTTCCCTTAAAATAAGGCATAATGCACTTTCAGACTTATCTTACTCCCTTAGCATCAGTTGGCTTAAGCAATTCTGGGGTGACCACTGACACCCATCCCCGGCTCTAAAATATTTCAATGCTAAAATTATGAACGAGAAAGTAAGTTTATTTATTTTCTCTTAGCGATTTAATCACTAAATCTAGCTAAATCAATCATTAGGAAATTTAACAAGCATTATACTAGTTTACACAGATATATGTTAATGTTAATACATACACAAATATAGGTTAATGTTTTAGATCTCGGTCACATGGACAAAACTAAATGAAACCGACTGGTAAAGACTTATCATTAAATGAATATCTACCATATTGATCAAAAAGGAGTCTCAACTTTTTCAACATAGGTGCAAGTATGGACTAAATGGCTTGATGGAATTTAAATAAGGTGATGTTGTTATAATTGTTAAAGTAAGAAATATTATATAACGATAATCTGTAAGTAGATTTTACTTCCTAAAAAACAACTTAATTTTGACAAAATGATTCTTATTTTAAAAAGCAAAATAAAAACGAAAATACGTTTTGTAGAGGCATTAGACTGTGGATTAAAATCCTACTGCTATTATAAATGTGAGAGTTTGACGACGGTTGGATGTTTGTTACTCTTTCATGCAAAAACAATAACTGTTGAATGGATTTGAATAAAATTTGGTCCACGTATATCCTAAGTTAATATCCTGCGAGATAAAGCGTGTAGGTACCTAATAATTGAATTCAAATATTGACAAAAAGGTTTTATGTTCATAAAATGTTTCATCGTATATGTTTTATGTATGTTTACTACTCAAATAACTTGTTTTATTATGGAGCAACATGTATATGATTTAAAGTAAAACATTTTTGTAGGTGATTTTATAAAAGAAATTATTTTTAGAAACTATCATCATCATTATATCAGCCATTAATTGTTCATTACTGAATATAAACCTCCCCCATAAGGGGGGAGGGGGGTTGCCAGTACATGCCGCGCTTGGCAAGCGGGTTGGTAACCGCAGTTAGGCATTGACGATGTTTTAAGAGAAATGCTGCTATCCGTCCTTCGACTATTAAGTTACCTTAGTTGCCTCTTACGACACCCACGGGAAAGGAAATGGTATTCTATTCTATTCAAATAGTTCTCGTCAAAAACTATTGGAATAGCCTTACGAAAATACGCCGTGTAAATGCACTACACAAGTCAAAAGTGAAAGCCACTTTGCTGACGACCGAGTATTGACACGTTTCCGCCGCACTTTGTATAAAAAACCGGCTCATTCCGCTTTTTTCCAGTTTCAATCTTCAAAGTAGAGAGTAAATAATCGCAGGGTTGTGTGTAAAAAACATTTCGTTTATATATTTATGAGTTTCTAAACTTTTTTAGGGTTCTGTACCTCCAAAGGAAAGACGGAACCTTTATACGATCACTTCGTTGTTTGTCCGCCTGTCTATTTATCAAGACCCCTTTTCTTATGAATGCATCTAAGTATCGAGTTGAAATTAATATCATATACTCAGGTCTGCAATTATTTAAAACAGTGAAAAATCAACGCAATCAAAAGACACAGCCGTTTATGTTTCCTTTATATCGCATATTACCTACATATCTCTTTACGTTCGCAAAGGGAATCAAAACCAATAAGATAATTGTCGTTGACCTAGAATCATTAAATTTGACAAGAAGCAATGTAGCACAAAGTAAAAGAGAAAATCCGAAAACGGTAAATTTGTAGTTATTTCACAAAAAAAAATGTTTGACTTGATTTTGTACGGAACCCTCGTTGCGCAAGTCCGACTCGCACTTGACCAGCTTTTTTTATAGAGACAGAAGCTTTTATCCGAGTCTTAAGTATATTTTATTGTACCTACACATTTGCCTCTTTTCATCCTCTTAAGAGATAATTAAAAAGGGATGGACATTCTCAATTGCACCCACACCAACTTCTACGAAATTCACCCATTTTTATTGACGTTTCTAGTTATTTATCTTTGACGTCATTTGTCGTACCCGGGGTTCTACAACCCATACAAAACAAATAACATTTGTACACATACAAATTTATAATATATTTAGTCAGGGTTGAATTATATAATTTTTACCTTAGTACTTATCGGAAAGAACAATTTGTAATACTTTTATTTATAGTTACTTTTATAGTTTCTGTATACATTTTTATCAATTACTTGTTTTTAGGTATACTAATATCATGATTCTCCCTCATTGGTGCCAGCGTATATCATTAGTGCAGGCGGGGTTACCATTTCATTATTATCCAATAAGTCATGATTCAGTTTACAATATATGCACTTATATTCAATGTTCACTCAACTAAATAATTATGTGGGTACTTAATTACTCAATTGATTTTAACCACATTTTACAATTACACCAACCAAGCTTTATTGAAGTATTTGATCAAAACTCACCACGGACTTAAAATATGTCTTTATAAATATATAATGACAAGACAAGCACGGCAAAAAGCGTGCCCTTCGAGATTGTAGACTGAAAGACGTGACTTTGAAAGAGCGACGTAGCGTTTATACCAAAATAATTAATAGAATTATAGGAAAATAATAAAAGTGAATTTTAGTTATATTACAATGTTACTATTTATATAGTACAAGCAAATATGTTTAAACAAGTTTTGCTTTATACAAACTTTAACGATAGTAGTTCTATTTATATATAATAATTATATATATATATTACATGTTAAAGTAAAATTGGTAGATGTAGTCACTAAATCATCATTACTAATGAAAGAATACGAGTATTTCTTCCATAATTCTGTGATATGTACTCGTAAAAAAGTAAGTACAAAGATAATGCGGTGTAACTCTGACTCTATATTTACAAGGAATTGATACATTAGCTAATTATTCTCTTCATAACTTATTATTTATTGTATTATTACAATTATGAAATCATTTAAATAAAAGCAATACCTTTTTTTTTATCTCATTCATCGCATTATTTTCTTTTCTCGCATTTTGAAATAAGAATAGTCAATTAATATCCATCGTTACTAGATTGGGTATTTTTTTATCACAATTTTGGGTAAAAAGTTTTATGTTTGCAAAATTTTGAAGAAAAGAAATTCTTGGAGAAGTGATTGGGGAAAAGTGAAATGGGCTTAGAGAAATTTATATTATTAATTTTTTAAATTGTCATTGTTATTTTTTGCAGAGCAACAACAAAATTTACTTGTTATGAAACAAGTTTATATCTAAATTTGGTAATTACGCAAATAAAGTTTATTTTATTTTTGTAAAACGTTATCGCGAAATAACTTGGCTCAAGAATTTATTACTGTATTTTCTTGAGATAAAAGAAATGACTAACGACATGGATTAACTTCGCAAAATAAAGCCGTGTCGATCAATTTGAAATTTCTTTATAGAATTTTATCGACGAAGGATAAAAACTGGGTTAAGAAAGACGTGCGCGATTTTGCATTTATTGTTACTGTTGGTGCGAAATAAACAGATTTTCTCGTGAAAGTGTCTATTATAGAATAAATTGTCCTTCTATATGCCATTATGATTTCAGAACCGTATTAAGTAAATATAGTATTTTTATTGTGATTTTGTTCACGTAACCAATTATATTAATTGTTCTGAATAAAAAATAGGTCTATGTCCTCTTCCATTCTAAATATTGGGTGTATGCCAAATTTTATAAGGATAAGTTGAACTGTTAAAGTAACAAGAGGTAATAAACTTTCAACTTACTTCAAAATTAAGGAGGTTTCGGTTGTATTTTTATATCTATTACCTCATCTATTTTAAAGCCGATTGCTTAGGTACCTCTGTCCCATTCGTGTTTCTACCGTGAAGCAGTTGTGTTTGCATGGCTGTGTTTCAGTTTAAAGGGTGGGATATGGCGTGAATTTACTGGGTACAGAGGAATAACACC